ATGGGAAACCAAAGGGTCAGCAAGGGAGGGTAGAAGAGAAGAGTATCCTTCTCCATGTTCCCCCAAAAACAAAATCCCAAAATTCACACCAAGTACTTTCCTATCTGAGGACCACTCATTCACCAGATAATTTTGTTTTTTCTTTCTTTTCTTTTTTTTTTAAATTTTTGAGAGAGTCTTAGAATGTTGCCCATGATGGGCTCAAAAACTCCTGAGCCCCCAGCAGTCCTCCTTCCCTGGCCTCCGCAATAGCCAGGACCATAGAGGTACATCACTGTGCTCCCAAGATGACTTTCTTCACTTAGGTCTCAACTTAGATGTCACAGTCTCATAGAAGCAGTAAACATTTCATGTTCCCTGTCCCTTCTCCCTTGGACATTCTTGAGCCCCTTATCCATCTTTATTTTCTTTTTGGCATTTGTCCTGATTTCCTGGTCCTGTGTATTCATCTCCTGTCTAGGATGTCAGCTTCCTGAGGGCAGGGACTTACCCTCTTTTGCCCACTGTTATATGTTTGTGCTTGGATCAATGGCTGGCATGTCATGGTCACCTAGTGTATATCAGATGATTTCTTTCACTGTTAGGAGGTTTCCTGTAGACACATCTCCCACAGAAGGGGTAGAAAGTAGAGAGGGCTTCTTAACCATCCAGCATAAGGTGATGCCCTCTCCCCTACCATTATCTATCAGCTCACCCCACCTCACCCCATCCTCTTCAGGGAATTGTGTATTTTATACATATATTTTGTAGTGTACCCTGTTTGTTACCTGTATCCCTTGCTGGAAGGCAAGGTCCCTGAAAGCTAGAGCCTGGTTTTGTTTCTGCCATATCCCAGAGCTCAGAAAAAAGTCTAGCTCATGTTAGACACCTAATTAATGGATCAGTCTCTGGGCAACCTGGTAGGGGGAGGTAAAACACAGAGGGTCCCCATACCACTCTTTGCCTGCCAGATCCCTGGTAAGAGCCGCGGTACAGAAGGTCATTCACAGGCCCAGATGCTGCCCATGACAGGTGGTGTCTACCATGAGACACTCCCAGGGCCACACAGAGGCAGGGTGTACACAGTTCCACATGGGGTATACACAGGAGGGCAAGGTTCTTGGGAACTGGAGTTGGCAGGCAAGATTTCATTGAAGCAAGTGGATATTGAGCCAGGACTTGACAGTTAGGTAAAATGTGTTGGGCAATAAAAGGGAGAATGGTTTTTATGTCAGCAGTGAAGACTGGGTAAGGAAAACGTGGAGGCTGGACTGGCTTTGAGTGCCAGCACTTGGGCGCGTAGCCCAGCTCTCTGGCTCCTAGCTTTCCCCTGCAGGTCTCTAACCTTCAGAGGCTTAAGCTCTAGGCCACAGCAGGTGTTGGGGGGCTGTCAGCACCTTTGCTGTTCTGGACCCAGATATACCGAGCAGGAGTCTTGCTGTGTCTCAGCTCAAGTGCATATTGGATAGCTTCCTTTTATTCAAGGGATAGCTCCCTTTACCCTCCACCCCCAACCCCAGTGCTGGCTTCAGATCCAGGGTCTTGCACATGCTAGGGAAGTGCTCTACCACTGAGCTACATCCCTGGCAACAAGAATTACCTTTCTTAAAGGCACTTGTACTCTGAACAGTGAGTACAGTAAATACATACATACATAAATAAAAATCTGAAATGCTGTTGTATTATTTTTTCACCTTATAGGATTTTAATAGTTTGGGATTGTGAGTGATGCTTGCTGGTAAATCTTGTACTTAGCATGTTTAAGGACCTGGATTCAATCCCCAGTACACACACCACACACCACACACACACACACACGCGCGCGCGCGCACACGTGCACACACGCACACACATACACATACACACACGCACACACACACACATACAGAGGTTTCTATCATTCCAGATTTGTTTTGAATTATAATACTTGTATCTTTGGTGTACCTGTACTGTGCCTTAATTCTTCCAGTACTGACAAAAATTAAGTAGAAGTAACAAAGTCTTATCTACTGGGATGGCAAGCACAGTAGCTGGTATTAAACCCAGCTCCTAGACAATGTCAGGACCCACATGGAAGAGATTTGTACAACACCCTGGGTAAATGGCTGAGGCGGATGGGGCTAGCAGCGCACATTGTAGCTGGGAGGGATTTGAGGGGCTCTGCTCTGTGTTCTGTACATGCCTGGAAGCCATGCGTTGCCTGGAGAGTACTGAGTACTCAGTGAATATTTTTACTGAATTTGTTGAATGAGTTAACTTGCAGTTTGGAAGGGGTTTTACATCTAATTGTATATGTAGAGATGAAGTTCTCTTCTAACTTCTATGCAGTGGTTGGATCCACCTCCTTACCTGGCTTTTGTATTTGGTTGCTGCAGGTGAGGTTTGATTTTTGAGGTATAAAGCAGGTGATAGGTAATAGTTAATAGTAATAGGTAATAGTTCTAAAGTGTATATTTGAATGAGAATTTGATCAGTGCTTCTCAGTCCTGGCTGCATGTTGGAACAGTTGGGGGTGTGCTTGCTTTGGCAGCTTATATTCTAGAATTAGAACCACTGCGGGTGGGGGGCTTTAAAAGTCCCTAGCGATTTCTGTGTAATTGATCGGGAGTGCTGCCTGGGCAACAGTTTTGTGTTTGTTGTTTGGATTTTGTTTTGTTTTTGGAAACAGTCTCGAACTTAACAGAATTTGAATCTGTATGGTTTTGAAAAGCTTTCTTTTTTTTCCTCATTCATTTGAGAATAAACTGCTGACCCAGTGCCCCATCACCCGCAGCCCTTTCACCAACACTGTAGTATATCTCTAAACGAGCATTCTTCTGCAGACCACAGTACACCATCAACGGAAAACATCAGCATTGAGACCTTACTACCATTGACTCTGCAAGTGACATTGGTATTTATTGATATTTGTACTTCTGAATAGTGAAACAGTTCATGTTAATAATTAATTTTGATTCCGTCTCACAGGGTTTGTTTGCGTTTTCTCCCCTTCCATTTTTGTAACTCCTTTTCTCAATGGTGAGAAACCTGGCTGTTGTCATTCTTAATATATTTTTTTGTTGGTCAGTCCCTCTGTATGGCACCACCATCACCGGTTTCCTCCAGTGCGATTGTCCTCCACCCTCTGCTGGGGCTCTGACTCGGTGGAGGGATTTTGTAGAGCTCCATAAATGATGCTAATATGCCAGCTGAGGTCGGAGAAAAGTGAATGCCACACTGAAGTCAGTGACAGGGTTTTAAAGTCAGGTTTGGCAAAGTAAATTCTCCCTAAGAAAATGAAATTTAAGGAGAAGACTAAATTCTACAGAGATGCATGGTATCAAAACAACAACCCAAAAAACAAACAAACAAACAAAAAAACAGGGCAAAAGCATAGCCTGTCTGCTAAAATGCTTCAAAAAATATTTGTTTTGGAAATAAAACCACTTTTAGTGAGCAAGAATTTTAGTCTCTTTTCCTGAATTACCTGTTTATAGGAAAAATATTTGAAAAGATTAGTTGTTTTTTAAGAATGTGTGTAATTAAAAACTTTCTTTTTACATTACCTTTCAAAAAGGAACTTTTTATTTTAGCATAATTTTAGACTTAGGAAAAAAATGGCAATTTGCTTTTTTAAAACACCAGATATTTTAGCAGGCAATATTCAGGTAGCGGCTGCTCCTTTTCTGTAGTCAGCTTTACTATAAACTGTGGAAGCCTAGTTACAGGGACGTGGAACTCCATACTTTCCTTCCACCTAAAACCAGAGAAAGCAAGTTCTTACAGCCAAATAACAGGACCAGTGGTCAGCCTGCATTAGGTTGTCAACATCCATCTGGCCAGATTTTGTAAACCCATTTGCATAGAGTGGCACCCTGCTGCAAGTGGTTTTCTTCCAAGAGCTTTATCACACCTAGACTGATGTATATATAACCTGAATCCACAGAAATCCAGCATTAGACTTGGGGATTGTCAGATTCCCAAGATCAAGGCCAGCCTCTACAATTTAGGAAAAACCTATTTTAAAAATAAAAAGGGCTGGGAATATAGTTCAGTGGCACAGCACCTCTGGGCTCAATCCCCCATACTGGAAAAAAAATTTTTTTTTTTAAAGAAAATTTGTAAAATATACAGCTCTTAAAAAATGTGAGCCAGGAGCCTTGGCACACACCTCTAATCCCAGTGACATGGGAGGCTGAGATAGGAGGATCTCAAGTTCAAGGTCAGTCTCAGCAACTTACTGAGACTCTGTCTCAAAGAGTAAAAAAAACAGAACTAGGGTGGGAGGTTGGCATTGTGGCTCAGTGGTAGAGTGGTTGCCCTGCACATGGGAGCACCACATACATACATACATACATACATACATAAAATAAAAATATTATGCCCGTCTACAACTAAAAAGAGAAGTGAGGATTTAGCTCAGTTGTAAAGCCACCCCTGAGTTTAATCCCTAGCACCAAACAAACAAACCAGAAGATGTAGAGGAAAAATAAGGAAAGGGGAAACACTTAAATTATAATAAATACATATAGACCATAATGGAGTTAACTTATTCTGCATTATTATGAATATTTTCATAAGCCAGTTGGATGTTGTTATATCCAAATTTGATCCTTTGCTGATTAGAAATGCATTAATCTGGGCAGGGGTTGTAGCTCAGTGGTAGAGTGCTCAACTTGTGTGTGGAAGGCACTGGGTTCTATCCTCTGCACCACATAAAAATAAAATAAAGGTATTGTGTCCATTCGCAACTAAGAAAATATTAAGAAAAAAATACATTAATCCTGTGTGTGTGTATGTGTGTGTATGTGCTCACATGCATGTGTATTCTTTTGGCTAAATATTATTCAGACCACTTTAATAGACTTTATTGAAGTCAAACTTACAAACCAAGATATGGGAATGCCTAATTGTGGTGAACCTTATGCATACTTTCAGTTTAAGTAAAATGCTATATTCTGTTCAGCCATAGAGATGAACTTTGCTACAGAAGTGGAGAGAATATAATTGTGTAACCTTCTGATGTGACTTTACTTTAACAGAGAGAAGGAGCAAGAAAGGGAAGAACAGTTAATGGAAGACAAGAAAAGGAAGAAAGAGGATAAAAAGAAAAAAGAAGCCACTCAGAAGGTGGGTTAACCAATTAAATAAGTCTCACATCTGTCCAGCTTGCAGAATAAGTGATTATCTTAGTAGCTTGGATACCTGATGTCTTAATATTTCTACTTGAGACCTTAGTTTATTAAAAAAATAATGAAGGAAAAAGTTCAATTATGCAAAGTTATGCACTAATCATAAAATGGATGTTGAACCACGCTGCCGCTGATCTATGAAAACGGCAGCACGGTGTTGAGGAAGGCGGGGCTGCCAGGCCCCGAATCTTCACTATCTTAAACAAGTTTATAGACTTGACTCTTGAAAACCTGCTGAATTGTTCCCTGGTGTTCTTTTGGTTCATCCATAAAACTATTGTTTAGATGAGTTTATCTTTTGATAATTGCATCCAGAAATGTTCCTCAAAGGACCCAGTGTGCCTGCTAGTTTGATTTAGAGCATTCATGAACTTGAGGAATTTGCTTATAAGAAATAGAGAAATGCTAGACGAAAATAGAGGGGCAGGGCACACTGGTATATGCGTATCATCACAGTTACTCTGGAGGCCCAGGCAGAGAATCGCATATTTGAGACCAGCCAGGGTAATTTTTTAAAAATATTTTTTAGTTATAATTGGACACATTACATTTATTTTATTTATTTATTTTTATGTGGTGCTGAGGATCAAACCCAGTGCTTTGCATATGCTAGGCAAGCGCTCTACCACTGAGCCACAACCTCAGCCCAGCCTGGGGAACTTAATGAGACTGGGGATATAGCTACATGGTTCAGTTCCCAGTACTGGGTAGTGGAATGGGGTGAAAAAGACAGCTGTCAGGTGTCAGTTGAAGCATTTGTGTGACAGCTATCAGAAGCAGAGAGTAGTCAGAACGCCCTGCACACACCCCATTAGCTTCTGAGCCTGGCCCCTTGCCCTGTCTGTCCCCTGCTTTCCCCTGACTCAGCAGAGTTCCTGCTGTGTTTTGGGGGTAGTAAAGGGATTTGCTGCCAGTTTACCGCCACCTGAAACACTTTGGAAGCAGGGCCTCATTGCTGTTTGCTAGTTATGGTGGCTGAGTTTAAGGAGGTGTAAATAGTTATACAGTTCAGAGGGACCTCTAGATGTAGAACAGTCAGGGCAATTGGACACAAGCCACCTTGAGACATAAGGGGCACTACAGGTTTTCCCAGCATCATTAGATATGACCATTTTCCATAATTTCATTTTTTGAAGTCTTGAAATAGACAATTAGTGAGGACCAGCATAAGAAAAATCCTGGAAAGATTTTAAGAATTGGGATTCATATGACCCTGCCATATTCAACATATGAAATATAATTTTATGTTTTCTATATGACTTTATTTGATAAAGAACATTGATTGTTATTTGGTGCTGCAATAGATTGCTATGCTCTTTTAAGATTTTGTCTACTTTAATTTTGTTTGTTTCTACCTACTAGAGATATGTTTCCTGTCACAGCTGTCAGAGTACCTGCTTCACATTTGCTGCTCCTCTTCTAAGCTTGTTAGCTTGTCTAAAATTCTGGATAAGGAGTCTGAAGAGAGGAAGCCACATAAGAACCCAGAAGCTTTTTTTGGGCACACAGCCACGTTGCTCAACACTGAGGTTGCAGGGTGCAGTCACACCAGTGCTAGGATGTTGGTGGCATTGTCCCAGTTGATTGTGGACTCCTGCCTGGGGTCTTTCACACCCCCAACACCCACCATAATTGGAGAAATGTAAGATAGAACCTCAGAGAAAACCTCCTTTCCTTGTAGGCACTCACACATTTCATCTACTAAATTGGTACAAAAATCAGATTTTGCAGTCTTTGGGGATGGATGATTATAGGCTAGACACCAGGGGCCTTGAGTAGAGGCTGTTAACAAGATGACAAATAGCATGATTGTTTTAGTCAATGTCCATTTCATCTTCATTCGTCACATAGATAACAGTTTTCTTAAAATAAAATTATCAATATCTAGAAATGACTGAGAAATGCATCTGTAAACTTTTATAGTATATTTCACTAATGGGAAAATAATTTAAAAGAGAGTATGGATGTAATGGAAAGTGAATTGGGTTTATTTCTGCAGATGATTTTGTTTTTGCAGTTTATGCATTTGGAAAACCACTTGAGAAATTTGAAGTAGCTAATTTTGAACAATAAAAACTTAGTTATTTCTCTTAAAATGATCTAGATCAGCTGATATAGAATCTAGACTGACATAGGCTGGTTGATGGCTTTTGATAATGTTTTGTTAACTGAGCCAATGCATAATTTCATAATTAATTTTAGCAATTCTTTTTTTTTTTTTTTAAAGAGAGAGAGAGAATTTTTTTTTTTTTAATATTTATTTTTTAGTTCTTGGCGGACACAACATCTTTGTTTGTATGTGGTGCTGAGGATTGAACCTGGGGCGCACGCATGCCAGGCGAGCGCTCTACCGCTTGAGCCACATCCCCAGCCCCTCCATTTTAGCAATTCTGAGGAAAAAGCACAAAGTTTACCTTATTGTGAAGATAAGCTAGGAGGCATAAAATGTGCTGTAGTACATAGAATCATAGAGAAGGTGCCGAGGTTCTGTTATGTGGTCACTTGTTCGACCAGCATGTCCTTCCACATCTTTTCACTGCCTGATTCCTTGCCATATAACCATTTTTAGCATCTGTCTTCCCCTTTAGATTGGCTGGAAGTGTCTTGAAGTTTCATTCATGTTGTATTACTAGTAACTGGGGCAGTGCCTGTGCCCTGTAGTCACTCAAATAACTAAGTGAGTGATCAAGAGTGAATGATGGGGCTGGGGTTGTGGTTAGTGGTAGAGCGCGTTCCTAGAGAGTGTGAGGCACTGGGTTGGATTCTCAGCCCCACACATAAACAAACAAATAAACAAAGGTCCATTGACAACTAAAAAAGAAAAAAGAATGAATAATCGCAGGGTAGGGACGGACATCAGTGGTAGAGCACGGCTGAGGCCATGGGTCCCATCCCTGGTGGTTGGGGTAGGAGGGGGCCATGAAAGATAACTATATAATTATAAAATTAGCTTTTATTTAAAGCTAAAACTAAATTACTTTCACACAGAAATTAAATATGAGCCTTTTCCACTGTTCTCAATGACTGTGTCACTTTACTGTTTCCAAAGCCATCCCTGAATATACCGTGTTAAGATTTCCATTCATGAGGGAGGTCTCAAAGGAGGACTCTTCATTCATGAGGCTGATGATGCTAAAGGAGCATTGTGTGGTGTTGGCAGAACACGTGCTTTGACCATGTAGCTTTTCACTGACTAGGGACTGGCTCTTTTAACAGGACAGACATTATAAGACATATTTGACATTATTTGGGTTTATTACTTAAAAAACTATCTTCAAAGTGGGGTTGTAAGAAATATTTACAATGGTTTAAAACCTAAATTGCCTTAAGGAATTGTCATATGAATGCAAATCCATTCATTTGTGGATAACTGAGGGTTATACAGGGGATTTTCAATAGATTTGAGCTCTGTAGCAATTAGTACTGGAAAACATTCATTTTAAGATACTGTGTTCCATGCTGGGATTGTAGCTCAGTGGTAGAGCACTTGCCTAGCATGTGTGAGGCACCGGGTTCAATCTTCAGCACCACAAAAATATAAATAAGTAAAGTAAAGATATTTTACCATCTACAACTAAAAATATTTAAAAAAAAAAATAAAAAGATACTGTGTTCCACAAATTCACTACTGTAGAATTAGCTTGTCTTCTAATTCAAGAATATAGGAGGGCCAGGGGTTGTGGCTCAGAGGAAGGTATTGTATTTACCTACAACTAAAAAAATAAATGGTTAAAAAAAAACCCAAAAAACTAACTGATCTTTTTTTTTTTAAAAAAAAAGAAAGTAGGAGCATTCCAGGAAGTCCTACGAATGGATGGTTTAGCTGATTCAGAGTATGAATCTGGGATTCTTTTCGAGGTGGACTGGGTTAGCTACAGAACATACCCTTCAAAGATAATCATTTTTTCACGTAACCCAGTATGATCCCCAGCCACAACTCTTCTTTTGTAAGATTATGAATTCATTTTCTAATAATGTTTATTACAAAAGTCAGTTAACCAATGCAAAAGTGTTTTAAAAGATTAACAGGTCCCCCACCACCACTACCACCAGGGATTGAACCCAGGGGCACTGAACCACTGAGCCAAATCCCAACCAAGCCCTTTTTATTTTTTACTTTTGAAATAGGGTCTTACTGAGTTGCTTAGGACCTTGATAAGTTGCTGGGGTTGGCTTTGAACTTGTGATCCTTCTGCCCCAGCCTCTGAGCTCCTGGGATTATAGGCATGTGCTATTGCACCTGACAAAATTTACATATTCATTCCAATCTTATTGTTCTACATCATGCAATTTTAATAAACTTTGATAATAGCAAACATTCATTTAGCATTGGCACAGGATATCTGATCTAATCCTTAATATGGCCTTTTGTAGAGAGAGATTGTTATTATCTCCATTCAGCACATAAATGGAAAACTGAGATCGTGTAGCCAGGAAAGTAGCAAGACTTCGTTTTGAATCCTGCTTTCCCACCATGATCTCTGGTGTCTCTCATCATGGGTCCCTGAGGCTTTGCTGTTCAGATTTGAGATGAAAAGTATTTGAGTACATACTCATAGGGGAAACCTTTTATCTCTATGGCTCATTTAGATTCTGGGCCACTGGTTTTCCCAGTTCAGGAATCGCATCATTTAAAGAGTGTGGAGTGCATTTAAAGTTTTATTTTTATTTTTAGAATTCTTCCCAGTGGTGATCATGTAAGCTGTAGCTGGTCATGTGGGCATAGTCTCAAGAAGGGTGTCTGAGTTGACTCTCAGCTGCTTTTACTGGGTTTCAACCCTGCCTGTGTACTGTGTATCTGACAACCTGAAATAACTGAGTTATCGGAATTAAAGTAGTCTTTATAGTTCTGAATTAAAAAGCAAATCTCATGTACTTGTGTCTGTTTATTTTGCAGGTCACGGAACAAAAAACCAAAGGTAAGATCCGCCCCCCCCCCCCCCAACTCATTAGAACCTTTTGTTTAGATTTTGCACTGTTGACTCAGCCTTCAGTCTACTTAAAAGATAGAAGGTGTAGAGTCATTAAGGTGGGTTGTTTGCAGTCACTGAAGAGCATAATGACAAATTAAGAGAACTGGTATTAGAGTTCCTGTTTGGCTTGCCTTTTTTTTTTTTTTTTTGGTACAGGAATTGAATCCAGAGGCTCTCTACCACTGATCTACTACATCCCCAGCCCTTTTTATGTTTTATTTGCTGAGGCTGGCCCCAAACTTGCAATCTTCCTGACTCAGCCTCCAAAGTAGCTGGGATTCCAGGAGTGCATTGTCACACCTGGCTAGAATTAAAACTTTTTAGGAGGTAAAAGAGTAAAGACTGGATTTTTAAAGTTTGAGTCATATAGGGTGCAGTGGTACATGCCTATAATCCCAGTGACTCAGGAAGCTTAGGAAGAAGGATTGCAAGTTTGAGGCCAGCCTCAGCAACTTTAGCAAGCCCTAGGCAACTTAGATCCTATCTCAAAATAAAAAGGGCTGAGGATTTGGCTCAGTGGTAAAGTGCTTCTGAGTTCAATTCCTGGGTACCAAAAAACAAAAATAAAAGTATGAGTCAGGATTTGGAACTGAACCTTTTCAAAACTTTACATGGAACAGTAACACAGAACACCAGCTCCTAATTACGGATGTGAACTACAGAGGGAAGTTATGTACCTTAACTACTTTGATCTGTGGCAGCATCAAAATCATATTTCACATTAGGATATCCATATTCTCTTCTGAGCTAGAGCCTGGAATATGCTTTTTTTTTTTCTTCACCAAATTGTTTAATTGGGGCATTATAGTTGTACATAATGGTGGGATATGTTGTTATATATTTGTACCTGCACACAACATAACAATATAATTTGTCCAATATTATTCCCTGTATTTCCCCTTTTCCTTTCATCCTGCCTCACCCCAATCCATTTCTTCTACTGATCTTAGAATATGCTTTTTTAAACATAATTAATTTTGAGTAGATTAACCATTTGAAAATAGTGTGATATGTTGCAAACAGAAGCAGATAACCTTCAGGTCATTGTCAATAATGGTCTCCATCCTTTTTGGTTTTTGCTCTCCTTTTATTTTTGATTTTGTAGTTTTATCTGGTGATGATCACACTTTTGGTCAGTTCCCCTTAAGAATGGGGATTTAATTCCTTGAGATAGCTCTTATTGCTGCCTCCCTAAATATGTGCTTCTCAATTAGCTATGCATAGACTCATTTGTATACAGTGGTCAAAATGCACTAACTAGCTCAGGCCATGGCCCTAGCAGATGTATTTTTGAAAAGCTCTGCAGGTCACCTTAGTGCACTAGAACTACTGCCCTGGATGAAGGGAATCAGAAGTGACTGATTACTTAGGAGAGGAGAAGGGTGAGGGAGAGGTCAAGGCTGATGGGAGGCCCTCTAATGATTGGTTTCTCATTGTTTTATTTTGTTCTATTAGACTCTCAGTCCAAAGCATGTCACCCAGTGATGAAAGACCAATAAAGATAGTGCTAGCTTCTTAGGAAACTTTGTTATGGAAAACAAATTCTCACATAATTAGTATTACTGGAATATATTTCTCTTCAAAGAACATTTCAAAGAAGAATATAGCCTGGGATTTTATAGAGTGATTTAGAAAATAGAGAAACCATTATAAACTATATCTTAATTGGTTAGAGAGGATAGTATTTTCCCCTTGTCCATTCATCCGGTTCCCAGTCCAGGGTAGGCTTCTTTTGGGAAGTATCTTTGTAAATTACTTGATTGAAATATGAATTATACTTTATAGAAATAGTGTGTCAATATTTTTTAAACCCGCACAATGCTTAGAAGAGAACTTTTATTTATGGGAACAACAATTTAAAAAATTAGAATTTTCCTAGACAACATAGGCTCCGTGGTTTTTGGAATGTGGTGATTTGAGTTCCTGGGCATGGCCACAAGTCTCATGCTCTTGAAGCCAGGTTCTGATTGTACTGTCGACCAGACTGCTCTGTATGATGTGGTATTTCTGCTGGAAAATTGAAAATCTACTAGGCATTGTTTCTCAAAACAAAGAGGGACCTTTTTTGTTTTGTTTTTAGTGCCAGGTCTGTTCTCAAACACATTTGCCTGAGTCTTAAAAATCTAACTTTCCGAGATGGGTATGGTGATGCACACCTGTAATCCCAGGGGCTTTACAGGAGGCATGAGGATCAAAAATTCAAGGCTGGCCTCAGCAATTTAGTGAGGCTGTAAGCAACTTAGCGAGATCTCTCAAAATAAAAAGTGTTTAAGCACCCCTGGGTTCAATCCCTGGTACCAAAAGAAAAAAAAATTGCTTTCTATTCACTACCAAATTTTCCTTCCAATAGGGTCTTTTTTCATGCCTACCAAAGATAGAATACAGCTTCATAATCTCCATATTCTCCCTAACTCCAGCTCCTCAATCAGAAAACAAAGTCACATAATCCTAAAGTAATCTGAGAGCCTGTCTTAGGTCTCCTAAGGGATTTAGTTGTTAAAATGGAGGAGTAGACAGGAAGTAAAAATAAAAATTATTCCTGAGGTATGTTAGACTGTAAGTAGAGGGAGGTCCTGACCTTGCTGGTACTTTTTGCCCAGTTTTGAAGCCACTGCTTTGTTGGGTACTTTATCTGTCTCCTCCTTCTCTTTCCTCAGCTGATGTTTCTGGGTCCTTTTCATCTCCCCCAAGTGATATCTTCCTCAGGCAGTCTTCCCTTAACTCTGAATCTACCCCTGTTTCTCCAACAGACCCTATAAGAAAAAAAGAAAAGACTGTTGGTGCCAAGTCTTGGGTTGTACAGAGGACTGAAGTAAGATTTTTCTGTATTTTGGAGAAACAGTTGGTTCATTACATGTTTTTCCTTATATCGCCCATCATTTAAAAAAAAAAAAAAAAGGTGGTGAGAATTCATGAGTCGGGAATAGGACAGATTTTAAGTGGTGGTCTTGTGACAGGGCTAGAGCTGGGGCTGCCATTCAGGTAGTGAAGAAGAAAAAATTCCTTTGGGCATCAGCACAGATCCTCCGTGTTGGACATTAGACTTAGAATCAAAAGAGTTTCAGGAATTGATGTAATAGATCAAGATTTGATAAGTTGAAATTTAACTGGTATAAAGAGTCAGATTGGAGGTAAAAAGTCCAAATGCATTGATTTTGTAATGGAGGAATTTGAATATAGACATTTAGCCTTGTTAAAAGGTGTTAGGGTGGGCTGGGGCTGGGGCTCAGTGGTAGAGTGGTAGAGTGCGAGGTCCTGGGTTCGATCCTCAGCACCATATAAACATAAATAAATAAAATAAAGGTATTGTGTCCAACTACAACCAAAAATAAAAAATTAAAAAAAAAAAAAGGTGTGGGGCTGGGGATGTGGCTCAAGTGGTAGCGCGCTCGCCTGGCATGCTTGCGGCCCGGGTTCGATCCCCAGCACCACATACAAACAAAGATGTTGTGTCCACTGAAAACTAAAAAATAAATATTAAAAAATTCTCTCTCTCTCTCTCTCTCTCTCTCTCTCTCTGTCTAAAAAAAAAAAGGGTGTTTGGGTGATGGCTGGCTTTCTGAAATGACTGGTTTATGAAAGCTAGCGTGACCTTAGAGATATTTGTATATCTATAGTGTCCAAGAAGTAAATTACTGTTTCTGTAGTGGGCACCACAAAATGAAATGGAACAGAGATGGTCCTCTCTGGACTCCGTGAAGTTCATTCTAGGCTGGTCAAGGAATTGGTCATTTCAGGAAGATTTAAGCACCTGGGGTTGTTTAGCTCCCAGGAGAAGGCTTCCCGTTTGGGAAATCTCAGGTATTGTCTTCAAAGATCTAAAGGGTTCTGGTGCTTGGCATTTCACATTTCCTTAGTAAATATCTGTCATGTGTTTTATTCAGATTTATTCTGAGTCCAAAAGTACCAATGATGAGTCAAAGCAATGGGAAAAATCTTCTACTCAGTATAAGCTAAATAACAGTGAATGTATTTAGTGTAAGCAACACTGGGTGATAGTATGGTTCAAAGCAATAATTCATAACCTTTCCTCTTTACCCCACTGGTACACATCTGGAGCACAGCACTTTCCACCAGCAACTGGGGCTATGGACCATTGCAGTACATTGGCTATAACTCTTGTCTTTCTTCTGAGCTTGTAGAAGGCCTGTTAGAGTGAGTGCATAGTGGTTGCTGGAATAACACTGAGTCTATTTTAATTATTAATGGCAGAATGGTCCTTCTCCCTTAAATTATACACTACTTGTAGCAACCTTCATACTGTGTAGAGATACCTGTATGTTCTAATAGAGAGAACTAAGAGAGTGAATGAATGTGACTCAAATAAGCAGGCACAAAAATAGTGCAGATGGGAGATAATGAAAGCTTCACTTGATTATGAGCAGTGATGGTAGACAAGAAGAAAGGAATTGGAGAGATGCTATAGTTAAACTCCAGATTGATGGATGGTGGTGTGTGTTTTGGAGCAGGGGCAGAGTGAGGAGTCTCAGATACCTGCCAAGGTGCTAATTTGGTTGCAACATTTGGGTGATGATTTCATTCTTTATGATAGGAGATAATGGGATTTAGAACCAGGGAACTAAGAAGAAGGGGAAGGGCAAAAGAGATCTGAGCTGGAGATAGTGATTTGTGAAACATTTACACAAATCATATTTAACACCTCAGCATGAGAGAATGTGTCACATGCTCAGGAAGCATCAGTGTGGGAAGGATGTAAGCCCCACCTTCACATTAATTTATTATTATTATTTTTGCCTTTTTTCCATTCATTTGTACATTTATTTTTTGGTGTTGGGAGTTGAACCCAGAGCCTCTAGACCACTGACATCTGCCTCCACTCCTTCTGTCTCTAACTCACAGTCTTTCTGCCTAGGCCTTTAGAATAGCTGGGACTATAGGCATTGCCAACATACCCAGCTTGATTTTTCTTTGTTGTTGTTTTTTTTTTAAGGCACAACTTCAGCTGCCATTTTATAATTATGATTAAGAGAATAGTTAAAAGTAAGGGTTGCCAACCATGCATCTGACTTGCTGCCTATTTTTGTACTTCTCATGAGCTAAAAATTATTATTATGTTTTTAGGTTATGGGGGGAAAAGAATAGTCATATATCATGATATATAAAAATGTTATCAATTGATATTTCACTGTCCATTCATAAGAAAAGTTTTACTGGAACCCAACCACACTTTGTTTACACATTGTCTTTGTTTCTTTCAAATGCAGAGTTGGGCTATTAACAATGAAGACCTTAACGGCCAAGAAAGCCTAAATATTTGCTATCCAGCCCTTTACAAAATGTTTGCTGACCCCTAATCTAGAGTTTGAGAAACCCACAAAGAAAAGGGAAGAGCTAAAGAGGTAGCAGGTGTAAGTCACACAAAACAGAGCAGGAGGAGTGACCAGCAGGGTCAGAAGCTGCAGATGAGTTGAAGACCAAAAAGTCCATGAGTGCCACTAGTGCACCGAAGACCATGAGTGACTTAAGAGGAGGGAAATGTTGGGGACAGAAACCAGGGTGAGGAATGAGAGGGAGGGAAGAAGTGCTTGTGGGTTACTGCAAGTTGCTCAGTTTTCATCAGCTATGGGTCACTAGGCTTTGTGATTTTAAATTGTTAGCCAGAAATAATATCTGGGTTTGATTTATATTTTAACTACTACCTTAAAAGCATTTCTCGGTACTATTAAAATGTTTGATTCTATCAAGATTGTTAAAGGAAATTGTGGTTTATATTGGTCCTGTGCATTTGGGTTGTTATACACATATACTTTTTAAAAATTCAGAAACTGGCCTGAATGCTTTCTTCTGAGAAAGTAGCATCTCATTGGTATTTGCAGAAATATAGGTAATTATAACTTCATACTATAAGATATGAGAAAGGTATAAAATAAAAGGGTTGGGAAAGGGGAAAGACTGAGTCATTGAAGCATGTAAATGATTTATAAAAATAGGTTGAGTGGAAATTAGAAAATAGGATTCCCAGCATTTTTTTTTTTTCCTCTAGTGTCCCTGTAACACAGAGACCATGTTTAAAGTCACAGACTTTTTCTTTGGAAAATGGGAAACTACAGTCTCATTTTAAGCAGTTCACCTTCAGAAATATTTATGCTACAACCTACGTATCATCAAGATTCAGAAAAGAATGGGCCCAAAAAGTGACACATTCAGACTTTTTGCGAATTTTCCTCCCAGTTGTCATTTGATGTTCTGGAGCATTTCAGGGTACCCACACGGATTCCTGTGCCTTCATTTTGGACTTGGGCATCCTGTTGGGTCTGACTTTCTGCCTAACAGGTGGATCACTTTGCAATTAATGTCAAGGAATTTTGATGGTCCTTGAAATGCCTTCAGGTCTTGAATTCATAGGGAAATGTGGTAAAAGAAATAGAATAAGAATCCATTCCAATCCTGAAGCACAGTTCATTCAGACTTGCATGGTCCTATAGGCTTTTTCTGACTGTGTTCTAGAGTTTTGATTGACTGATCTTCCAGGACAGTTCCATATTGGAGGAAAAGTAGTTGAGATGTGTTTCTGCTTTTAAATGACTTTATCGTTAATAGTTCTTCCAGTCTCTGATATGATAGTGGGAAAGTACCCTTGAGGAGTTTGGGCACTTGCATAATATTTGCTGTCCACCAGATTTCTTAGGTTGGCTTTAGTCAAACTGGTGTTCTCAGTCATTTAAAACTGTTCTGTCTTTGTTTTATTCCTTTTTAGGAAAATGAGTTCAGGCATATAGCCTGCCTGGCTGACTTAAAGTGAAGATTGTAGCCCCTTTATAAGGGCAGCCACACAGAAGCATAGCTTCTTCCATCCTAACAACCAGTTAGAAAGAACCTTCTCTACCTTTGCTTATTCCCATAAAAGAAAAGGGGATGGTAATGCCATGCGGAATCTTTCAGAAACAGAAAAGAAATCATAATCTTTATTTATTCATTTGCCAATTATTTACCCATCAGCTTTTGTAGGTCCTGAAGAGGGTAATATATTAATATTAGATATTGTTTTTTTTTACCCCCTCTCTCTACCCCTCTCCCCACCTCCCTCTTTCCCTCCCTCCCTCCTTGCTTCCTTGTATGGTACTGGTGACAAAACCCAGAGCCTCGTGCTTGTCCTGCAAGTGCTCTACCACCAAACTACATCCCCAGACCTGATTGGTTTATTTTCTTAATATAGGTCCTCTGCCCACCCCCCACTCTCTTCCTTACTGGAAGGCCAGTACTGCCTTTGATTGGCTAAGGGTAGACATAGGGGTTGCCTGAAACTTACTTCTCCTGTCACTCATAGTATTTTCTAATGTTCAGTAGTGAGATATTGGGCCCCTGATTTCTGATGATGTCTCTCTCTCCTTATAACGAATCCAGTTAAATGGCAACATGCTGGCCCAGCATCATTTCAGCAGTAAAAGCAGTACTGCCACCAGAGCTGGCCCCAATATTATTCTGAGTGGCAGGGCTTTATTTAGGCCTCAGATTATTCCTAATGGTTATTTCTGAAACACTGCCAGGCACTATTCTCCAGGCAGAGCAGTGGTCTTTTGCTGGAATGAAGGAGGAGGTGCAGATCTAGGAGAACCTCTGTAGGGCTGCGGAGGATGGGGGCTAAAGAATCCCTCATACAGCTTCATGGTTGCCCTGTATGTTCCCATGCTGTTTACCATTTTAAAAATTAAAGCAAAAATTAAATTATTTAAAACAAATAGGGAAAATATCTACATATTGAAATTTCTATATTCATTCAAGAACTAGGGGTGAAAATATCACATCTTTGGAGTGGGGGCGGGAAGCTATGAGATTATATAAGTTTCTGATTTTTACATAGAAGGCCAAGCAGGCATTTGAGTTCAGGTGACTATAGGAACCAAAGCCAAGTCAAGTTATGTGACTATTCAGCCCTGAGGTTCCCCCATGGCTTCTACTCCATGTCAGGCCCATGAATGTTGTTCCCTCGCTTGAGGGATTAGTGATAAGTGAGGGAGAGGGACCCATAGATGGTGGATTTCAACATAATCTGGTAAATTCTGTGGTGGGGAAAGATGGACACTGTGTTCCAGGAGCACAGATGAATGTGTTTAAGCACTTCACTTGGGGACTGTAGGAAGGGAACACAAAGGTCAATCTTTTCCTTCCTTCCTCCCTCCTTCCTTCTCTCCCTCCCCTCTTCCTTCCTTTCACTGTACTCTAGGGATTGAACCCAGGGCCTTGCCATGCTAGCACTCTACCACACAGTCATATCCCCAGCACCACCCCTCCATGGCTTTTTAAAAAATGTATTTGAGACGGGGTTTTGTTTGGTTACCAACACTGGTCATGAACTTGTGATCCTCCTGCCTCAGCCCCCCAAGTAGCTGGGACTATAGACCTGCACTACTGCATCCAAGACAAAGGTCAATCTTTTATGAAAATGAATGAAGAAGAGGGAAATTTCGACTTTGAGGCTGATCCTTTTACCAAGGACTTTGCTGTGGACAACCTTGCTAGTCGGCCCTTTCAGGAATTAATTCCATCATTGATTTGGAGGAGTGAGTGATAGTTGCTTTCCCTCTCCCCCTTCATTGATGGAATGTCATTCCTTGATGTCGCTGTCTTTTAATCCTTGTCACCATCATCCACCACATCCCCTGTACCCTCGGTAAACTGAAGATGGTGGCAAGAATTTGGGAAAACTATGTCCCTTAAGAGTACAGTGAAAAGAGAAGAGTTGCCTTGTTAGAATCAGTCTCGTGTAACTTTTCTTAAAAACAATCTCTAAAAAAATTCATTTGATTTCAAAGACTTTCCCAACCCCTCTCTTTCAGTGCCCGAAGTGACGAAACCAAGTTTAAGCCAACCAACGGCCGCCAGCCCAATTGGCAGCTCTCCATCGCCACCAGTCAATGGTGGCAACAATGCCAAAAGGGTGGCAGTGCCGAACGGACAACCGCCAAGCGCCGCCCGCTACATGCCTCGGGAGGTGCCGCCGCGATTCCGTTGCCAGCAGGACCACAAAGTGTTACTAAAACGTGGGCAGCCCCCTCCACCGTCCTGCATGCTGGGGGGTGGGGCAGGGCCTCCTCCCTGCACAGCACCTGGAGCAAACCCAAACAACGCACAAGTGACAGGAGCGCTGCTGCAGAGTGAGAGTGGGACTGCACCAGGTGAGCCCGCGTCGGGAGGGGCACCTTGCAGCCTCCCAGAGTGTGCTTTGTTTGAGGGACTTGGTGTGAAAGAACAGTTAATGATGTAGACACTAGGGATTATTCAGAAGATGAAAGAGGATCCCAGAGTAAAATGGTATATGGGCAGCGCACTAGGTTTGATCCTTAGCATCATCACCCCGCCCCCCAAAAAATCAAGGATACAGCTACTAAAAAAAATTTTTTTTTAATGTGCAAACACACATAACCTCTGTAAGAGCTCTGAAAAATCATTGAAGACAGGACAATGAGAGACTGCCTGAAAGAATCAGTGGCCTAGAATAGAGTGAATTCTAAGATGATATGGACATAGAACCAAACTGAGAGAAAGGAAAAAAAAAAAGAGAGAGGATAGATTTAAAAGAGTAAAGGAAAATAACAAAGGAATTATCAAAAAGAAAAGTTGCATTCAAATGACCAAACAGCTGTAGTATGTATTTCAAATACATACTAAGACTGTGAGAAGTAAAATTCTAGATATTGCAACTTTGTGTTTAACATGTTCACACATATATTACCGTTTTCCTAATTGTAATGATCTTCAAGAGTGTTAATAAATAATTTCCAATTTAAAAAAAAGTACATGGGGGGCTGGGGATGTGGCTCAAGCGGTAGCACGCTTGCCTGGTATGCGTGCGGCCCGGGTTCGATCCTCAGCACCACATACAAACAAAGATGTTGTGTTTGCCGAAAACTAAAAAATAAATATTAAAATTCTCTCTCCCTCTCTTTAAAAAAAAAAAAAAGTACATGGGCAGTTCTCCAAAAGTGGGCTTTAGTATCCTGTAAGTGTGCTCTGCCAGAGACTCAGTGTCTCTTGGGCCCTTTGTCTCCTCAGACAAGAGCCTTACTACAGCATTACCCTCTGTGGTTCCACGAGCACATGTTCAGGGTAGAATTGGAGGTGAGGCTGCAGGGCGGGCTCATTCTGCCAGAATGCCAGGAGGAGAGAGAGAGAGAATGACCTCTGGGATTATGATATAGAATCCTGGAGGGGGTGGGGGGGCACCAAATAATGCCATTCTATAATTATTTACCAAATTCTTTAAAATCATTGTTTCTTTCAAGGATGTTGAATTTTGAACTTTGTTATGCGCTCTAAAGAAGACAAGTTTTAAGAGTTTTTAATAGTTGAATACTTAGTCAACCAACAGCTAAAAATTTACAGGTTCCTTTTTTTTAAGCTTATTAACAGATTTCGATCATCTAATATTTTTTTTCATATTAATTTCAACCATCTTTTGAGGTTGTATTAAAATTCAGAGCTCAAACACTATCTAGGCTAGTGTATTTGACACTAAAAGGATGCTTTATTTGAGTTCTAAGTTTGAACAATGAATTACCTAGAAAATTCTGTCAATACCTCGTGTGAAGAATAAGGACAGGAACAAACCTAGTGGTGACTCAGTCTTCATGCAGAAGTATCTCTGCCCATGAGGCTTCCTGTGGTGGCTTTAGGCCAGTCCTAGATGAATAGGGAAGATCCTCATGGCCCCTCCTTCCTGGCTCCAGGAACCAGTTGCAAAGGGAGGCATGTGAGGAGATGGTCCTCTGTGTTTCCACTCCCTGTGTAGCCAAGGTTTGAAACAAAGGTGCAGTGTGAGTCAGAATCTCTTTTGTATACACACAAAACCAAAGACTTCCCTACATCTCAAGAGTTTGGGATTCTTTGCTTCCTTACTTCTATACAGTTCTATGTAGTGCTTTTTTGAACTTCATATTGATTTAAAGCTCCCTGATTAAAGGAATTAAAAGTAATTTGAAATTTTCTCATTAAAAACATGTCACATTTTACCACCTAATATGGTAAATACCATCAAAATATGTTCTGCTGGGCTGATATGTCAGAATAAGATTTCTGTCTGTCCTGTAGTCACCTGCCCTAGCATCAACTCATAGGTGCTCATTCACCTCAGCAGCTGCTCACTGAGCAGCCCCACACTGGCCATGTGGGGAACCCATACCAGCAAGATAGGGGCTCTGACAGGGACATACGTTACAGAGAAGGGAAGATGTAAATATGGTGCTACAGCATTGGACAAATGGCTTGAGACAGGGAAAGGTTATTTTCAGCTTTTGAGCTCAAAAACAGCTTCTTAGAAGAATTGGCATTTGAACCAGTCCCAGAAAGATGAGTGAATTCAGAAGGAAAAAACAGTTGGTGCCAAGGTGAGAAGACACTATTGTGGAATGTAGATACTTGCATAGGAAGTCATTGAAGATAAGACTAGAAAGATTGGTTGGCCCTGGGTCATAGAGCATCTTGATCAAAACCCTAGGCCAAGGAATTTAGCTTTGTTCTTGAGCATTAAGGAACTGTGGAAGGCTCTCAGATAGCAGTGATTGATAGACTCAAAGGTGTGTTTTAGGAAAGTCGCTCCAGCTGGGAGTATAGAGTAGATTGGAGATGTGGGGCAAGTTTAGGGTGCTGTTGCATTTGTCTCAAGATACAAGAAGGTCCTTCTCTGCTGATAGAAATGACAGGGAGCTAGCTTTGAGAGATGGTGTGGAGTTAGATTTAGCAAATACAGCATCAAGCAGATGAAAGATAAGCAATGACTCAGACAGGTGTGATGCCATCAGCCAAGACAAGCATCTGGACAGAGAAGCCAGTCTGTGGGGAGATGAAATGAACTCTCGTAGGGGCAGTTTGAGCTCTAGGTATTACTGATGATAATGCATGTGCAGCTGTGATTGATGAGATCATGTCTTTTCCAGAGTCAACCCTTGGAGGTGCTGCTGCTTCAAATTATGCAAATTCCACTTGGGGCCCGGGAGCCTCCTCCAACAACGGCGCCTCCCCCAACCCAATTCACATCTGGGACAAGGTGATTGTAGACGGGTCTGACATGGAAGAGTGGCCTTGCATTGCCAGCAAAGACACTGAATCTTCATCTGAAAACACCACCGATAACAACAGTGCCTCGAACCCTGGCTCTGAGAAGAGCACTCTGCCAGGAAGCACCACTAGTAACAAAGGCAAAGGGAGCCAGTGCCAGTCTGCAAGTTCTGGGAACGAATGTAATCTTGGGGTCTGGAAATCTGACCCTAAGGCTAAATCTATTCAATCTTCCAACTCTACTACAGAGAGCAACAGTGGACTAGGAAATTGGAGGAATGTGAGTGGTCAGGACAGAATCGGACCTGGCTCTGGCTTCAGCAACTTTAACCCAAATAGCAACCCATCTGCCTGGCCAGCACTGGTCCAAGAAGGAACTTCTAGGAAAGGGGCATTGGAAACAGATAATAGTAATTCCAGTGCACAGGCTAGCACAGTAGGTCAGGCATCCAGGGAACAGCAGTCAAAGATGGAAAATGCGGGTGTTAATTTTGTTGTCTCTGGCAGAGAACAGGCTCAAATTCATAACACTGATGGACCAAAAAATGGAAACACTAACTCCTTGAACTTAAGTTCACCAAACCCCATGGAGAATAAGGGAATGCCCTTTGGAATGGGCTTGGGGAACACCTCCAGGAGCACTGATGCCCCTTCACAAAGCACTGGAGATCGAAAGACTGGGAGTGTTGGATCTTGGGGTGCAGCTAGGGGGCCTTCTGGAACTGACACAGTCTCTGGACAAAGCAATTCTGGAAACAATGGGAACAATGGAAAAGATAGAGAGGACTCCTGGAAAGGAGCTTCTGTTCAGAAATCAACTGGGTCAAAAAATGACTCTTGGGACAACAATAACAGGTCTACGGGTGGGTCCTGGAACTTTGGCCCTCAGGACTCTAATGACAACAAATGGGGTGAAGGGAACAAAATGACATCTGGGGTCTCTCAGGGAGAATGGAAACAGCCGACTGGGTCTGATGAGTTGAAAATTGGAGAATGGAGTGGTCCAAACCAACCAAATTCTAGCACTGGAGCATGGGACAATCAAAAGGGCCACCCCCTCCCTGAAAACCAAGGCAATGCCCAGGCTCCCTGTTGGGGAAGATCTTCCAGCTCCACAGGAAGTGAAGTTGGAGGTCAAAGCACTGGAAGCAACCACAAAGCAGGAAGTAGTGACAGTCATAATTCTGGCCGTCGGTCATACAGGCCCACACATCCCGATTGCCAGGCTGTCTTGCAGACTCTTTTGAGCCGAACTGATTTGGACCCCAGGGTGCTGTCAAACACTGGCTGGGGCCAAACTCAAATTAAGCAGGACACCGTGTGGGATATTGAAGAGGTGCCGAGGCCTGAGGGGAAGTCTGACAAAGGAACTGAGGGGTGGGAGAGCGCTGCCACACAGACCAAGAACTCAGGGGGCTGGGGAGATGCACCCAGCCAAAGCAATCAAATGAAGTCTGGATGGGGGGAGCTCTCAGCCTCAACAGAGTGGAAAGACCCCAAGAACACAGGAGGCTGGAATGACTATAAGAACAACAACTCTTCCAACTGGGGAGGAGGACGACCAGATGAAAAGACACCTTCCTCCTGGAATGAGAATTCCAGCAAGGATCAGGGGTGGGGAGGTGGACGCCAGCCTAATCAAGGATGGACTTCTGGGAAGAATGGTTGGGGAGAGGAAGTTGATCCAGCAAAAAACAGCAACTGGGAAAGTTCTACAAGTAAGCCTGTGTCTGGGTGGGGTGAAGGAGGGCAGAACGAAATTGGAACTTGGGGTAATGGTGGGAATGCAAGTCTAACTTCAAAAGGTGGGTGGGAAGATTGCAAAAGGTCCCCCGCATGGAATGAGGCAGGCAGGCAGCCCAGTTCCTGGAATAAACAGCACCAACAGCCACAGCAGCCACAGCAGCCACCGCCACCACAACCAGAGGCTTCCGGCTCATGGGGTGGCCCACCCCCACCACCTCCAGGCAGTGCTCGGCCTTCCAATTCCAACTGGAGCAGCGGGCCCCAGCCTGCAACTCCTAAGGATGAGGAACCCAGCGGTTGGGAAGAGCCATCACCGCAGTCAATTAGTCGGAAAATGGACATCGATGACGGCACTTCAGCATGGGGAGACCCTAGCAGTTACAACTACAAGAATGTGAACCTGTGGGATAAGAATTCCCAAGGGGGCCCAGCACCTCGAGAACCGAACCTGCCCACCCCAATGACTGGAAAATCAGCATCTGGTAAGCAACGACTTTTTCTCATAAGTTTGATTGAGAAACGAAAGCCTAGACCAAGGCATTTTAGTTACAGTTTATTTGTTCAACTTAGCTTCATTCTGAGAGTCTGTCCTGCAGCTTCTACTTTGTTGCTAGAGAACCTGTATTTTTTTCCCCCCCCTTAATATATTTTTTTAATTTGTTCTAATTAGTTATATGTGACAGTAGAATGCATTTTGACATATCATAAATAAATGGAGTATAATCTCTTATTCATCTGGTTGTACATGATATAGAGTTACACAGGTGATGTAATCCTATACGCACATAGGGTAATAATGTCCGATTCATTCTACTATCATTCCTATTCCCATCCCTCCACTCCCTTCATTCCCCTCTATTTAATCCAAAATACCACTGTCCTCCCACCTTTTATTGTGAATTAACATCTGCATATCAGAGAAAACATTCCGCCTTTGGTTCTTTGGAATTGTCTTATTTTGCTTAGCATAAAATTCTCCATTTCATCCATTTACCACCAAATGCCATAATTTTATTCTTCTTTAAGGCTAATATTCCATTGTGTATATATACCACAGTTTCTTTATCCATTCATCTGTTGAAGGGCACCTAGGTTGGTTCCATAGTTTAGCTGTTGTGAATTGAGCTGCTATGAACATTGATGTGGCTGTGTCACTGTAGTATGCTGATTTTAAGTCCTTTGGGTATAAACCTAGAAGTAGGATGACTGGGTCAAATGGTGGTTCCATTTCAAGTTTTTTTAGGAAGCTCCATACTGCTTTCTATAGTGGTTGAACCAATTTGCAGTCCCACCAGCAATATATGAATGTACCTTTTTCCTTCACATCTTACCCACATTTATTGTTGCTTGTATTCTTGATAATTGCTGTTCTGTGACTGGAGTGTGAAATAGAACTCAGTATAATTTTGATTTGGCATTTCTATAATTATTAGAGATGTTGAACATTTTTTCATTTATTTATTGATCAATTTTATTTCTGAAGTGCCTGTCCTTCTATAGATGCTTGCAGCATCAGCTGCTTCTTTTGTGGCAAGAGAAAAAACTGGCATCTCTGTGTTAATCCGAAGAATTATTGTTCTATAATTGTCTTGGTCTGCAGAATCCAAAAGACTTAACATCTTACCAAACAAACTGTGCTCTAAATTTAAAAATAAAGAACTGGGGCTGAGGTTGTAGCTCATGGGTAGAGAGCGCTTGCTGGCATGCACGAAGCCCTGGATTCAGTCCTTGGTGTTGCAAAAAGTGGGGAGTGAATTCTAAAAAAGTTTAATGAGTTCTAAAAATAGAGAACCAAAGTGGTAGTGGAAGCAGATCTACCTAATTTCTATCCAGATTCTACCTGCACACTCATCCTTGGTGCCTGTCCTCCCCTCCAGTGAAAGGAATCTGTCCGGGCTGTTCTTGCAGAGGGCATCATAATGCTGCAGCAGGACCCTTTGGGACCCATCTGGACCCTTTGGGTTTCTTTCCTGATGATTCTTAATGATTACCTGTGGAAGAGAGTATACTGTTCATTAGAGATGGTTATCTCAGGTTAGTCATTTACCTGAAATTAAACTCTGTTCCTTCACCATTTGAATAGGAAAACATCTGGTAAGTTAAAAATAAGTAGTAATTTCATTCTTAGTTTGTCATGAGTGTCCCTTGACTTGAATGTCTCCATAAAAGCATGTAGTTCCATATATGAAGGGGATGCACATTTCAAGTCTTTTTTGTTTACATTTAGTATAATTTTAGTGATCAGTTTTCTACTCCTCAAAGTAACCTGTGATCAATGAACTCACTTATTTTTTGCCACACAGAAAATGATTACGTTTAACTAGTTCTTTTTTTCCAAGTATTGAAAAGAATGAGAAAGGAAATGAAGGTTGTGCTTTGACTCTCTATGTAGAATAAAAATTGCTTACATTAAAAAAATTATATTCACTTAGTAAAAACCCTTGAACTGTACAGGAAAGCTAAAGATAGAAAAGTAGGGCTGGGGATGTGGCTCAAGTGGTAGTGCGCTCACCTGGCATGCGCAGGGCACTGGGTTTGATCCTCAACACCACATAAAAATAAAGATATTGTGTTCACCTAAAACTAAAAATTAAATAAAAGTGTCTTAGCCTTTTGTATCTCTCTTTATAGATAATCTCTTAGAAGTTTGTTTCATTCATATATCATGTTATAGTAGATTGGCAAAATATGTCTATCCTTTAAAAATTTTTAAGGGGTTTTACTAGACAATGTTATTCACCTTACTGTTTTCACCTACTTTTAAGCTTTTCATATTAGCACATACAGTTCTTTGAATTATTTCATATCTAGTATTCATATTATGGAGGACCCCTGGCTGGTCCCTAACTTGCCCCCTTCTGATAGATATTTAGATTGCTTCCAGGTTTTTCGAACACTGATGCAGTCGATGTTGTGCATATAGTCTCATTGACTTTGACTTTCATGTGTGTCTAGTGGTAGACTTTCTGCTGGGTAGAGGTAGGTACTGGTCAAAAGTGTTATGCCCTTGGACTTCTTTAAAGTGACATTGCCATCTAGCCTCTGTAGAGGTTGAACATGTGTCTTGTTTCTGCTAAGAGAATGTAGGGTGTGCCTCTTCCTGCCACTGCCCACCCCCTCTGGATATGAGCTGTTTAACAGGTCATTCTTAAAGACGCACTTCTTTTTTACAGTCTGGAGTAAAAGCACACCACCCGCTCCAGATAATGGGACTTCGGCTTGGGGTGAACCGAATGAAAGCAGTCCTGGGTGGGGAGAGATGGACGATGCAGGAGCATCGACCTCGGGCTGGGGGAGCACACCTGCCAATGCTTCCAATGCCATGAAACCCAGTAAGTAGACCGCAGTTTTAATTTTGAGATATTCTTTATTAATGTGGAAGTGTCAGACATTTTCGTAAGGAGTGTTTAGTGTTTTTAAATTGTTGTTTCAGGACCTTGAACACTAAATAGTATCAAATGGTAGTTGATCTTGGGATATGTTAAAATGTTTACTAGAAGTCATAAATTAATATTATTTTCTTTTTCTTTTTTTTGGTGGTGGTGCTGGGGATTGAACCCAGGGCTTTGTGCATGCAAGGCAAGCATTCTACCAACTGAGCTATACTCCCAGCCCAATTGATTTTGTTTTTGTTTTAAACATTTATTTTTTTAGTTGTAGGTGGACACAATACCTTTATTTTATTTTTATGTGGTGCTGAGGATCGAACTCACTGCCTCACATATGAGGGGCAAGTGCTCTACCACTGAGCTATAGCCCAGCCCCTGTTGATTTTTATTTTTTAAAGCTAGATTTGGTATCTGGTCAGAACTGTGATTTTGATGTAATGCATTTTTACCCAATAACTTAAACATGTTGTTTTATCCATTTTGCAAATCTACTCTTTTGTTAATATAATTTAAAGAGTACCCTGACTTTTTTCGGGGGAGAGGGGTGGATTCTGAGGATTGAACTAGGGGTGTGCTGGCACCAAGGTATACACACAGCCTTTTTATTTATTTACTTTTACATTGAGACAGTGTCTCACCAGGATGCTAAGGCTGGCCTCAAAAGAGCTCCTTGGCTTCTAATGTAGAACCTCATCTTTGCCAGGGACTTCGTCCGTCTGTACTTCACTTTTGTTTTTCTATTTTCATTCATCTACCCACGTTTGAACACTTACAGGTTTTTTTAACCTGACAAAGATTTCTTCATTCCAATTTTTAAATGAAGAACATCCTACTTACTCATAATTGTTGAAAATGGAAAACTACACTTGCTCCAGCTGGCACCATAATTTTGCGAAACTTTGTAGACTCATGGTATGGAATGTCTCATTGGATATTCCTAAATTTAAAAAATAAAATTTTGAATGTCCATTTTCACTTCTTTGTAACTTTCTTGAAAGAGCTTTAACATTTCTTTTCTAAAACATAGCAGATTTTTTTTTTTTTAATAAAAAAAATTAAATTTTATGGAATGCTCAGACTTTGAAGAAGAGAAAAGATTCTGTGGTTAAGTTTATCCTATGATAATTAAGACTTTTACAGTGCCTTGAAAAGAATATTATTAGTTTTATTCTAGAAATTCACATTTGTGCCTAAATAACTACTGTGTTTTAAGTCATGAATCTTGCCAGGCATGGCAATGTATGCCTGTAATCCCAGGAACTTGGGAGGTAGGAAGGTGGCAAGTTCAAGGCCAGCCTCAGCAACTTACCAAGACCCTGTCACAAAATATAAAGGGCCGTGTATGTGGCTCAAGGGCACAGCGTACCTGCGCTCAATCTCTGTTGCTGCAAAAACAAAAGCAAAGACCTCCCGAATCTCCTCAGCTTCATAGATAACCCAAACTCTGTGAAGACTTTGTTCTCCTGTTTTTAATTATGAGGTCAGTTGTCGTCGTGGGATATGTCACCCCGTAGACTTGAAATAGATCCACATTGCTTACCAGACCCTCAACACGGACCTTTCAACAGGACCTTCAGGATTTTTTGTGATTTCCCAATCTTAAGAATCCCTTTATTCCATCACAAACCTTTTTTTTCCATGTTCTGTAATGTCTTCTTCTCAGGAGCATCTGTAGTTACAGTTCATGTCCTCTTACTGGGTGATTTGAATGTGCAGTGCACAGAGGAAGAGTTAGAGCCTCCAGGTGATGCTAGTAGTTCATCTGTGATTTCTCTAGCCTCTGGATGCCTTAAGTTTGATATTATAAGTTCTGTGATTTAAAATCAGAGCCCCCATCCCGTTGGTGCTGGAGATGGAACCCGGGGCCTGCTGCATGCTAATTACTGTAGCCCTGAGCTGCACCCCAGCTCTCCTTACTTGTATGCACTCCCCCTTTTTTTCTAAGAAATATTATTTTTTAAAACATGCTATGGAATGTCATGTTAAAAGTTAAGCTCTTTTATCTAAAAGAAGAGTTCACCTGTGTTTTCATTTTTATACAAGGACTTTTTTTTTTTTTTTTTTGGTACCGGGAATTGAACCCCAGTACTCAACCACTGAGCCATATCCCCGGCTCCTTTTATATTTTCTTTAGAGACAGGGTCTCACTAAGTTGCTTACAGCTTCCTAAGTTGCTGAGGCTGGCTTTGAACTTTCAATCCTCCTACCTCAGCTTCCCCAGCCACTGGGATTATAGGCGTGCATCACTGCATAGGGCGGGCAGTGTATTTTTTATATTTAGATTCTGACTGCTTGACAGTGTGTGGTATGAAGCCTGTGTTTACATGGTATAATCCATAATATAAATGTAATGCAGGATTATGTAAATTAATAACCCCTTATGCAGAGAACACAGTTCTGGTTATCACTGAATGACCAGCAGCAGGCCTGCCTCTTGCTACCCTGACAGAAAACCCCTTTGGCGTTCACCTGGGCCTCCTGGGGTCATGAAATGCTGCAATTAGAAGAAATCAACTGTGTAGCTGTCATGGGCCTGGCCCCAGGGGATGGCAGTAGTCATTTGAAGAAGGAACTAGAAGAGCCAGTTTTTGGCTCTACACTTCACATGAAGCTAAGTGCACAAAAGAAAGATGTGGGTGAAATCTAAATAGGCTAATCTAATTGCATACAGTATTTTTAGAGGGGGATTAAGGTTTTATCTCAATCTTCAAGTTAAACATCTTGTTTAAAGGGGATGTCACTTGCCTAGAGTATGTGAGGCCCTGGGTTTAATCCCCAGCAATGAAACAAACGTGTGTGTGTGTGTGTGTGTGTGTGTGTGTAGATGTTGATAGAATAGACAGAATACTGATGCCCTGTCCTTTTGAACTTCACAGCCCTCTTTGATTTTTCTGTTGTCTTTCTCCCCTTCCCTCTATCCTCCACATTCCACATTTTATACCTCCTTTTTGGGGAGGATACGTTAGGGGGTTACTGGGAATTGAACCTAGGGGTACTTTATCCCCAGCCCTTGCTAAATTGCTTAGAGTCTTGATAAGTTGTTGAGGCTGGTTTCAAACTTGCAATCCTCCTAATTCAGCCTCTGGAGTCACTGGAATTACAGGCATGTGCCACCATGCCTGGCTACATATAATATTTTTTGGTTGTTACAAACACTTGATTCTTTTTTTTTTTTTTTTTTCTTAAAAGATTCCAAATCTATGCAAGATGGCTGGGGGGAGAGTGATGGGCCAGTCACAGGAACTCGCCATCCCAGCTGGGAAGAAGAGGATGATGGAGGAGTCTGGAACACCACCGGCTCTCAGGGAAGTGCGTCCTCCCACAACTCCGCAAGCTGGGGACAAGGAGGAAAGAAACAAATGAAGGTAGTCCTTCAGAAATATTTGCGCTTGCTTACTCATTCTTAGAAGGCAGAAGAATGCAGAACTAAGAATGTGTTAGTGGAAGGAGTGAGGGAACTAGAGTCTTAGAGGTCTTAAGTAAGGGGAAATATTTCCTTACAAACCGGTAACTGTTTCATATTTATCCCTGTTCTCCTTCCCTGTGATCTTGAAACCTTGCACTATAGAACTGTTGCTGTGGGTACAAAGAAGTTTGCTAAGATGCAAGGTCATCTTCCATTTTTGGTTTCCCCATAATAACAATGTGTTGGAAACTCTCCAAGCATGACTTGAAAATATTTTATGCATTGACATTAAAAAGCCAAAGAAGTTCTTAGGTAAAGTGCAATGGAGATATACAAGAGAAACTCAAGCAAGATAATACTGGCTTCTCCAGACAGTCTTGTTGTAGTTTTACCTGACTGGGGAAAGCCCAAAACCCAGAACCTTCCTTCTAATCAAAGTACCATTGTGTGCTCTTGTTATATAGCAACTAGGTGATTTCTCTACATCCTGTACCAGGCTGACTTCTAAACTTTTCACTTTCCGTATCTTATAACAACTTAATTTCTCCTTGGATTTGCATAGTTTAATGAGGTTGTTTGTTTATTTGCAGTGCTGTTTGGAGCCCAGGGCCCTGTGCATGCTAGACAAGCACTCTACCACTCAGTTGTTCAGTTGTACCCCTAGCTCTAAGGCTTTGTTTTTTAATCTAGAACAATAGTCTTTTCACCTAAACCATTGCCTTGGCAGTAGGGTTCTCCTTTTTTTTTTTTTTTTCCTCTACACACACGAAAAATGACAGAAATAAGCATATACTGAATTTCAATCTGAGAGCACTGTTGTCCTGTGAAACACTTCACAGCTAATATTCTCCCAGGTTTCAAACACCTGATGCTATCTTAGAAAACCTTCTGGTGGCCTTTATCCCTTTGCCTATGAAATATTGATTTAGTTGAATACCTTGAGTTTCTTCTGTAGCAGGAGAAGACAGTTTGTTTCTGTTGGAGACATTTTATTCATACAATTCCTTATGTTTTCCCTTTTAAAATGACTTTTATTTTCTACTCCCATCACAAAAGAAATTATTTGGTAATCTTTTCAGCATCTTTATACCTTTATGTTCTCTAGTCTGCTTTGGCAGCATTTTGGTCATTAACAAATGACCAAAGGAGAGTTCGTCTTAGAACCCTAACCCTGACCCTAACCCTAATCCTAATGAATGCCCTACTCAAGTGACAATCAAGATTTATTTAAATGAGTTAAATGGAAGTTGGGTGCTTCAGCTCCTATGCCAATGATTCTGAGACTTTCATTCTGAGGACCTTTTTTGAAAAATTGTGGTAAAGTACACATAACATTTACCATCTTAACCATTTTAAGTGTGCAGTTCAGTGGCATTAATTATGTTCATGCCATTGGGCTACCATCAAAACAACATTGTTTTTATCTTACAAAACTAAAACCTTCCACCTGTTAAAAAACAACTTCAGGGCTGGGTTTGTGGCTCAGTGGTAGAGTACTTGCTTGCCTAGCATATGTGAGGCACTAGGTTCAGTCCCTGGCACCATATAAAAATAAACAAATAAAGGTATTGTGTCCATCTACAACTAAAAGAAAAAATTTTAAAAAACAAAAATAACTTCCCCCTTTCCCTCCAGGGAGGACTTTTGGACCTCAAAACCTATAAATATGACAGATATCACAACACATAATTTTTACCTATAGATCACACTATTAGTATTAATTATATTAATATAAACTGTTTTAGTTAGTTTTTGGTCACTGTAACTAAAATACATGATAAGAACAACTTTGTGGAAGAAAGTTTATTTTGGCTTACGGTTTTAGAGTCTCCATCCATAGTCAGTCACCTCCATTCCTGGGCCTGAGGTGAGACAAAGCATCATGGTGGAAGGGTATGGTGGCAGAAAGCTGCCCAGCTCATGGCAACCAGGAAGTGACAACAATGACAAGATTTGATCCCTAAGGGCACAAGCCCAATGACCTACCTCCTCTAGCCATACCCATCTGTCTCAGATACCCAGTAGTCCATTCAAATTATTATTTCATCAAATGGATTAATCCACTGATGAGGTTACAGCTCATCTGAATGTTGCTGCATTGCTAACACATGACCTTTGTAGGGGGGAACAGTACTAGATGCAAGCCATAACATGGACTCCATCCTGCCAAGTTCCCATCACAGTTCCACCTGTCTTCTTTCCAGAAGTGGAAGTGAGCTGATGACTGGTGCCTTGTTCAGGAGAGTCTTCCTGATCCCATTAACAAACAACTTATTTGCCCAGAAGATAGGTGATGGTGTCTTATACCAGTCCTCTTTCCGACTGTGAACAAATGTCCTTTGTGTTGTGAAATAGATGAGGTACTATATTGTTGTTCTCATTGCATCCACACCTCTGTATGGATGTCCTGTTTAAGTAGGCTCCTTCCAAATGAAAGCTGATGCGCACCAGCATCAGCTCTTTCTTTTTCCATAATACAAACCAGCTTGAGTCACAAGAAGAGCAACCCGCTGAAAGTGGAAGTGGTAGTGCTCAAAAATTACATTTTATAACTCCCATAGTGACTTCTTTACATTTTAAAAAGTAAAAGCACCATATGTCTCTCTAGTTACTTCTAGTTCGGGGTGATAAGTAAAGAAAGAATGAAAACAGAATGAGATCTTCTTAATCATTTAAACTAACATTAAAATACCAAAGTAATTTAGAGAAATAGGGTTCACAGAGTTAAACTCTTGGTTCTACGTTTTCAGTGTGTACTTTTGCAACCCAGGAGGGGGAGATAAATTATGCGGTTCTGAGGTTACATATTTCATTTCTGTAGTGCTCACTAAAAGGAGGAAACAATGATTCATGGATGAATCCTCTTGCCAAACAGTTTTCAAATATGGGATTGCTGGTAAGTTTTACTTTTCTAATATGTATAATGTATCCCAAATTTTAGGTTTAGTATGAATTTTAAATCTATTGCCACATTATCATATAATAATACAAATTTAGAAGCTAATTAAGCAGTGTTTTTGATGTTTTGAATTACACTATATTTGCTTTCTGTTCTTTTATTCTTAATGATATACTTCAACATTTAAAGATGAGGGCTTCAATTTGCTATCTTTGTGTCCTTTTCCGTGGGGAAGAAAATGGCAAACAACTTAAATTCACAGAGTTTTCCCTAACACTATTGTGTCAGTTTTTATATTTTAATTTTAAAAAGAGAACAACAAAATACCTAGAAAAACTACAGGGATTAATTATGTAGGGAATTCTTGTGGATTTCTAGTTTCTTTATTTCTTGAGAACATCGTGGGGACACCTGACCTGATTGCCAACAGATAAATGACTTGGCTACACCTTTTCAGACGTGGTGACTTGACGAGTCACGAGAAGAAGTCGTCATCGTTTGGCTGCCACTCATGGAATTTGATCCTGGGCTGACTGGAACTTGAGGACGGGTTTATTTCTCCCTGCAGCTGTCTAGCCATTTCTCTGTCCATAGGTGTAGGAGGCTGATCATATGTGAAAATTGAATTTTAAGAATTACAGGCACCAGCAGCAATCAAATTAGCATGTTAAAATGTTAAGGTCTTCGTTCCAGTGTAAAGTTCATTTGTATAGTGCCTGTGATAAGATGTGGCTTTCATATGAATAATGCTACTTCTTCCCTAATTTACATGTGCACCCTTAATTTTCTCTCATCTGTTTTTATTTGAATTTTCAGAGTCAAACTGAAGATAATCCAGGCAGCAAAATGGATTTGTCTGTAGGTGTGTATCAGTTCACCAAGGATTGGAATGTACTAGTGTTAATGATGTGCCACTGGGATCTCCTGCCCTGTGTTAATTTGGGATGGGGCAGTTCAATGGACATTTATTAAATGCTTACTCTGTATAAGATACCATATAAAACACTAGGTAGAAGTTGAAAACTCACATGGCAAGAGCAGGAACAAATGTAAAGAAGTGATGTGTGCCCACCATAAGAAAGTAGGACATGGTACTTGTCGGTTAACTGTGGAGAGGGAGAGTCCACCTAAAAATCAGCCTTGCTCTTCATTCCAAGCATTAGTGTTATAGAGGACTGCAGGCTGGGTTGTGCCACATCTTCCCAGTTTTTTCAAGAGAGGTAACAATATCCTGATATCTGTGGTGCTGCTAGACTTGGGCCTCAGTTGCTGTTTTCATTACTGACATACTCTTCCATTGCAGTTTGAGAGCTTATAGTGTCAGCCCTATCTGAAAATCTGTGGGATTTTCTTAGTAATGCTATTACTCACCCTGAGGAACTTAAACTGAGACAAAAAGAAAACAATCCTGGGTAGTAAGGGAAGTATGTAGTCTGGAGCTCTGATATATAATAGCGAATTTATAGAGTTATGAGGGGAAAATGGGAGAGATTGGTCCATTTAGGAGATTGCATTGTGCAGGTGACACGGATACTTTTGACTGTGTGCAGCTCTCAAACTTTAAATTTCAAAGCAACAGCTGGGCCTCTTTGACATTTCCCCCTATAACTGTATTTCACAACTCCATCATTTATCTACCAGATGCTAAAAAAGCAAAAACAGTTTCTCTCACTGAGAAACACAAATTTATGAGCAAGACGTATTCATTAAACACATCAATAACCATCTAAATATTTTCTTAGCCAGATTTGTACTCGGTTAGCCCTAAGGCTCTCTTCCTGTTCTCCCTGGAAGACAAGCTGCAGCAGATACGTGTCTTGTGTCTTGTGTTGCTTCTAGTAAAGAACCCACATGTGTTCTGGGGACAAAACCCAGCAGATTATCCCAGTGAGATCTCTCCTGATCTTTTCCCCAAGGAGCAGAAAGAGGTTATACCCAGCACCCCAGAGAGCAAGGTGGGTGGGTCTCTCTTGGTTCTTGAAATTTTCACTCTGTTTATGTCCTTTCAGATAAGAAATTTGATGTGGACAAGCGAGCAATGAATCTCGGGGATTTTAATGATATCATGAGGAAGGATCGATCTGGGTTCCGTCCACCTAATTCCAAAGACATGGGAACCACAGATAGCGGGCCTTATTTTGAGAAGGTGAGTTGAATTCTTTAAGATAATAATTCAAGAGAACTGCTTTGGTTCCCATTGTCAGATTTTGATAACTGATTCTGGACTCAATGAGTAAAGCACAAAATATCACCTGCATTGAAGTGGTGACCTGAGAATAGGTGATTGGGCAGGATCTAGAAAGGTCTGTCTTTAGCATGCGAGTATTGTGACCAAGATCTAGGTTTTGAAATATTCATGAAGTTTGATGGGTAATACACACACAAAGCATGTAGAGGAAATTTTAGAGATAAATTTATTCTGAATTATTTTCCCCCCTTCTGCTCTGCAACTACAAAATACATTTTGGGTATTGTGCAAATACTTGTATTTCCTAAGGCCTTGCCTTCAGTTTTGAAAGAACTCTTTTTTCTTTCCCACTTTCCTAGTAGTTTGTATTTAGTAACAGTGGTGTACTTTTCAAATTCTCAACTATCTGATGGAGTCAAATAATTTTTATCTATTTTTTTTTTAATTTTTAACATTTCTAAAGGAAAACATTGTTCCTTGTTTCAAAACACCAATTTGCATTGCTCCTGGTCTTCATAAAGCAATTAAGACAAAAATGTTTAGATCTGGCACCTTTTTGACATTACTGATGCTGGTCTAGGCAGCAACATACTTCCAAAGAAGATTACCCTGGCTTCTGTTAAAGGAGCCACACAGTGAGAGGAATCAATATTAGATGCAGAAAAAAATAAGTGTCTGGCAACATTTATCTAATGCAGTGGACAGAATGTGAAAAGAAAACTGTTTCAAAGAGGATGACAGATAGTATCTATTGGGCAGAGTGTGATGGTGATTATCAGGTCCAGATTCCATCCTGGGTTATTGCTAATACGCTCTCACTTTGTTTATTCCTAGTGTCTCTCTCTTTCCCTTCTTGCATTCTGTTGCTTCACTAACCAACACTCATTGTGATTGGCTAACTCCTACTACCTTTCAGCTGACTTTGCCTTTCTCCAATCAAGATGGGTGCCTTGGGGATGAGGCTCCCTGCTCTCCCTTCTCCCCTTCTCCCAGCTACAAGCTGTCTCCCTCTGGTTCCACACTACCCAACGTCAGCCTTGGAGCAATCGGCACAGGGCTCAACCCCCAAAACTTCGCTGCTAGACAAGTAAGGAGGCCTCTCAAATTTGTAACTGCTTGGCTATGGCCTCGCCTTGGCCCTGGTCTGCAGTTTATTGCATCATTTGTCTGTCTCTGGGAAATTTGTTGATTACTGAATGCACAGAATGATACTAAGTGTAGGTTTTAGGTCTTAGATCCCATAGAACCCATCTCTCTCCATGTTTCTCAACATAGATTTTATTTTAACCCTTTTTAAAAATTTGATTTCTCATTTTTGCTCATGAATTCACATTTAATAAGTTAACTAATAACTGATGGGAAAATGTTAATGAGGCCACCATAAATACCTTATATGATCTAAGTTAGCAATATGTGCTATTTTTAGTATTAGATTGGATAACAAGTAATACTTAGGGGGGCTTTTCAATTTAATATGCCTGCTAATCAAAAAATAACAGCAAAACTAGTAAGATTCTTATTTGAGGGCTACAGCATCCTAAAATGTCATGTCTTTAAGTTTAAAATACAATAATTACCCAAAAGAAGAGCTCTTTCTCAGATGTGGTGGCTTCTTTGGACCTAAACAGCCCCTTGCTAGGTAGGATTGCACCTGGATGTCCTCCAGGGAAGGGAAGGGCTGGTAATCTGCTGCCTTCTGGTTCTCTCTCAGACCTGAGGGGGGCACAGCAGGATTCTTGTCACTCCACAGTCTGTTGTAGTCTGTGGAGAAAGCCAGGGATTTGGAGCAACAGTGTCTTTGCAACAATAACTCTAGCAGGAATCTCACTAGCTATCACTCTGGGACCCCCCACTATCACTGTGTCCTTTACCCCAGGGTGTCATAGGAGGACATTGATTACAGTGTGTAATTATTAGTTGTATTCTATATGACTATCATATAAACACTGAAGGCTGACATAAAGCAGTTCTTCTTAGACCATAGTCTGAGTGCTCCTAGGCATTTATGTCCAGTTGTTGCCCTGGCACATTTTAAAATGAGGATTATACTATGTCCATGTGTTCAGATTGGTTATATCTGGACTGGGAATCATAAGTAAATTTTTGTTTTCTTCCTTTATTTTTCACTGTTTTTATGTTTCCACAGAGGATGTGGATATATATTACTCTTATATTTTGAGTTGAGATGTAGAAAATGTAAAATTTTCATAGTATTCTTGGTTAATGCTGATGATAAATGTGGTCTAAGATTGCATAATTATCAGAAGCTGTTAGTACATACTCTTGAGCATAATAGACCATCCAAACTAGTTTGGCCCTGGACTTTACGAAAAGATCATTCATTGCTCCTTGTTTTTGTAGTTTGTGCATTGCTACAAAGTCCGTTGTTGCCCACCTTGGTGCACATGTTCTGTCCAAATAGAGCAGTTTCATTGGACCTGGAACAGCCCCTTGCTCTAGGTCTTCTCAGGCTATCCTCATTCAGAGTTAATTGAATATACTTCATAATTAAAAGTAAAATTCAAGGTTTTTATTTTCCAAGTTACATAAGATTTCAATCAGCTTGCTGCTTTTGTTTTAAATTAATAGACTTTTCTGAGTTGAACACTGGGGTTAAAGCACGTATTACCAATAATTATGAGGACTCCAGTTGTCTTTGAAGCCTCACATACAACAGTCAAAACTTTAGTGATAGCCAGATAAAGCAATGTTAGCATACATACAAGATTTGGAATACTGTTGTCTTAATTTCTAAATTTAATTTTTTAAAAGGCCAGATAATACATCACTGTGTACAACAGCAAATCCAAGCCAAGAAAATAAGCACTGTGGTGCCAAGATTCCTTATTAAGGTAGAGGGAAGGCATTTTTGATTGACTACTATTTTCCATTTCAGATATATCAATGTTTTATGTATAGCTTTAGAGATCCTTAAACTTTAATGGAAAAGGTAGAGTCTTGTCTACTGGAAAAAGGAAAGTAGGGCTTGATTTTACCAAAACTTAAAGATACAGATTCTTTTTCCCTTATCAAAGGGAAGGTTGAAATTTAAACTGACCCCAAGCCAGATAGAGTGGCACATGCCTGTAGTCCCAGCTAGTTGGGATTCTCAGGCGGCAGGATTGCTTGAGAACAGGAGTATAAGGCTACCCTGCACAGCACAGCAAGACCCTGTCTCTAACAGGTCACTCCCAGGGGCTGAGGATGTAGCTCAGTGGTAGAATGCATTCATAAAGCCCTGGCAGCACCCTCACCATGGCAAAACCACCACCACCACCACCAAAAAACCCTTCATAAAATTGTTTCATTTTTGCCAAAACATGGATTCTGGGAAAGACAATAGCTACCATCCAACAATTGATCGTGAATAAATGATATTTAGTGGCAAGGTCATTACTTTGAGAGTAAAATATGAGAATGATCATAGCAGACTATTCTTGGTGAGATAATATTCTCAGGGATGATTGGTAGCCAAGCTGTCATCTGAGAAAAGTTAAAGCTGAAGTGTTTAACCTTAAAGTGACAGTTTAGTGAGTAATCAGGAGGAGTGGAAATATTAGAGCTTCTAGAATTTTTTTTTTATATTTATTTTTTAGTTGTAGTTGGACACATTACCTTCACTTTATTTATTTTTATGTGGTGCTAAGGATTGAAGCCAGGTCCTTGCATATGCTAGGCGAGTGCTCTACCGCTGAGCCACAACCCTAGCCCAAAGCTTCTAGAACTTTTTGGAAACAAAATTTATGGTGGATCTTTGATTTTTTTTTTTTTTTTAATGAGACACACAGGTTTTAATTGCCATTTCTACTTTATTTTTATGATCATTCTTATTTTCAGTGCTTTTAAGTTCATTAATTTACCTGTAGTACTCCCTTAATCTGTTCTTGAATCATTAAACCATCAAAGTATCTTTAGTGTTCTAGAACTTAATGATTCCATTGCAAAATTCTTGAAAATTGCCTTATCCCTGTGGTAAGCTAAAGGTGGGGACTTTAGTTCAGAGTTTATACACTCAGCATAAGCTGTGCAAGCAGTGGTGCCTCTTTTTTGCTGAAGATAATTAGTGGGATAAATTAGTGGTTTATGGATGTTTGCAAATGATGTATGCGACCTACAGACCAGGGCTTTATTGAGTTCTGGGAATGCAAAGAGGGAAGGATTAAGTTGGTGGTAGAAAGACAGAATGGAAAAATAATTGTTTTAACACAGTTTGTTGAGTGGTGTCATCAAAGTTTCAGTGTTTGTTAATCTAGAGGTGAGCTCAGTTGCTTTGCCTGTGGAATGAGGAAAGTCTTGGGAAAGCCATCCTTGACAAGGATGACCTTCTGAGTTGCATCTTGAGGGGGCCAAGTGAAGATGGGGTAGAGAAGAATCTCAGGCAGAGGAACAATGTCAGGTTATAAAACACTGTTTTTTTGCTGAAGGACTTTCCTTAGCTAAAAAGTTAGAAAGGCACAGTGCAGCTGTCTCTAGCTGTCATTGTAACAGGGGAGATGTGCTTGGGGAGATGTCTTCCAAAAACCAGGGAACTGAACTGATTTTTAACTAGACTTGAGATTTATACATTTGAATGAGAAGTTACAGGTGAGTAATGTTTGCTTGGTATCCCTAGAATGATTTTTACTTTTCCCCTTTCTTTCTTTTTGATCTCACTGTGTGATTAACGTTTCCTCATCTAGCAAAGAATGGGTGGAGCAGATCGAGGACAGGGAAGGGCCTTTGGAGATTGAGCATGCCCTCGTGGCACTCAGCTTACTGTATTACATGGCAGCAATTATGTGGTTCAGCGACTCAGAGAAGAGGAATCATGGTGTGATTTTTACAACTGATAACTACTAATAAGCGTGTCTTTCTATTCTGGTGTCTTTTAAGATGGGTCTCAGATTATAAGGTTTGAGAATAAATTGGGTAATCTGACTCTTTAAAAAATTAAGTAATTTAATCTTATATTGCCTATACCTTTCAATAAAAGAACGTAGTGCTGCTTCCAGCACTTGGCTCAATTTGGCCCTTCAGTTTGTGTTGTTTCTCATCCTGCACAGATGGTGACTGGTTTGCTCATAACTTGATTTGAGTAATGTTGCCCAGCACTCCCTGATGAGTGTGAGTCCATGGGTCACAGATCATGATTCTTTTTGAGAGGTAGAAGCCAGAACTGCTTCTTACTTGCGTTTTCTCATGTTAACAAAAAGCCTTACTGGTGCTGTTCTGTCCCTAGGGCGGCAATCACGGTTTATTTGGAAACAGCACAGCACAATCGAGAGGCCTGCACACACCAGTGCAGCCGCTGAGTTCTTCTCCTAGTCTCCGGGCGCAAGTGCCTCCCCAGTTTATCTCCCCCCAGGTGAGCAACTTTGGTTCACAGTTCAAAATCAAAAACTGTTCTTAACAGTTATTACTAGTTATTAATAAACTGGTTTGTGATTGTAAAAGGAATAAAATAGTTGCCAGTCAAAATGGGGAAAATCCACATGCTGGGGCTGGGTTCAAGATTTGGGGGACAATATATCACACCTCCTTTTTATAGCATCATTCATATGAACAAAGTAGGTATTTTTGCATGAGAAGTATTTTTTTTTAAATATTTATATTTTTTTAATTGTAGTTGGACACATTACCTTTATTTTTATTTATTTTTATGTGGTGTTGAGGATTGAACCCAGGGCCTTACATGTGCCGGGTGAGCACTCTACCACTGAGCCACAACCCCCGCCTGAGAAGTATTATTATTCCTTTTGAATCTTCTAATTTTCTAATGAAATCACATGTAACTAAAACTACTTAATGAATTCTGACGTAACAACCTTCAGAAGCTGGTTGCCCTCAAGGATTCAGCTTTAGATAAACAGAAGCACTGTCAGACTGCTGGGTTTTTCTTAGGAATTTTGAGGAACCATATTCGAAAAATCTATGTAGATGCTCAGGGGGAGTTCTAGAACTGATGAAGAGGCAGAGATTCCTGGGCTAAAATCTAACTCATCGAGCAGCTCTGTGTAGGGTACAGTCATTTGGATACCATAGGAAGTCTGCAGGTCTATTTCTTCATGGGAGCTGTGCAATTTGGTTTTGGGGAAAAGAGGGATGTAGGTGAGGGATTTGTGTCAGTCTCCCATACACTCCTCTGATGGTAAAATCACTAGCAGATAGTCAGTCTGATAAATGTCATATAGAAATGTTTAATGGTGTTTGGGGAATCTGGTGAGACTTCACACTATCGGTGACATTTAAAATGAATCTTGAAGAATGAGTCAGTTTTCTGGGCACAGTCAGATTAAAGAGACCTTCTAGGCTACAGGAGCCAGGAGCCTTTGTGCAAAGGGAAATGATATCCAGTACAATGTAGCATGTTTGGGGAAATGCAATTTGTTTGAATAATTAGTTTAAGCTGGTTGAAGCATATGTATAGTCATGCATGCTATCTAGAATAGAATAAGAAGAAACTAGACAGAGAATTTGGGACAAAATTTGGCAAAATTTAGTTTGCCTTTTTCAGGTATTTGGGCCTTGTCCTATAGGCCAACCCTTGTCATTGTCAGCCTGGTTTATAATCAGTATCTGGGCTGCTATTTTTGCCTATCTTGGGCTTTGAGACCTGGTTACCTCCAAGTGATGTATATGTGCACCCTAAATTTTGACTTTTGCTGTTATAGATAATGTAGGGTGGAGGAGGGTTTTCCAGGTGAAAAATATTGTGGGCGTGTTCTGTATTGGGTCTGTATCTAAATCTCCTTTATCTCCTTTACAAGTTCCTCCTCACTTTCCCAATATTTAATTATCAGAATGTCTGATCCTCAGTTCTCCAACCTCTTCTGCTCACCATCTACAGCCACCACTAAGTGATGTCACACAGTGGAGTCACTTGAAATACTGAGTACCAAAATTGTGTCTACAGCTCACATCTTTTTTCTCAACTCCAGGGATGGCTTGCATCACCAGTGGGATGCTTACCAGTACTTCACATTAACACATCCAAACAGAACTTCCAATCCTACCCTAGATACCATTCAAAAATTTCCTCATCTTCCAAGTAAATGGGCACCAATTCTGCAAGTATTCAGGCCAAAGACCTTAGAGCTAGTCATCAAGGGGTCACATTTAGTTCATTACAGATCCCCCCTTAAGAACTTTATCCAGATTCTGACTGTTCTTACCTTCTCCATTGATAGGGCCCCTGATGAGGCCACCACCATTCCTCTCCTAGATTATTGCAAGGGCCTCCTGCCTGCCACCTTGCTTCATTCCTGTCTTGCTTTCTCCAGTCTTAGTCACACAGGGCTGTAGCTGGAGATGGAGCTTGGTGGTAGAACACTTGCCTACCATAAGTAAGGCCCTGGGTTCAATGCCCAGCACCACAAAAAAAGTAAATCAAACACTGGCATCCCATTTCCTTTTCCTCTTTCTCCTGTAATGCTGGGGATTAAACCCTGGGCCTCACACATGCTAGGGAAGTGTTCTACTATGAGCTATATTCCTGGCCTTTTTAATTTGTATTTGGAGACAGGGCCTTTTTAAATTGCCTTGACCTTGAATGTATAATCTTCCTGCCTTAGTCTCCCAAGTTGCTGGGCTACATACATTGTGCCACCTCCAGGGCTTTCCTTGAACTTCACAGACCCTGCCACTGAGCTACACTCTCATGTTGATCAGTCTTAATGATATTTCATCAGGTACATTTACCTTTATTTACTTAATACTCTTCCCCCAATATTGAATATTAAATTGTTTCTAATTTTTCATTATTATAAGTAATGCTGCAGAGAAATCCTTATATAAGAAACTTTGCCCAGAGTGATGTTTTGGGATCAAAGTGCATGAACATTTTTCAAAGTTTTGATAAATATCAAATTCTATATCCATTTTGACCACTTCATAGGGGAAGCCAATATTTAATGTAAGCATGCACAGCAGACACTCAAAACTCATCTTTAAATTTGTTGCAGTGCTGAGGATGAGCTCAGTCAGTGGTATAGCACCGGCCTATCTTGTGTGAGGCCCTGCGTTGGGGCCCCAATACCACAAAACAACCAACTAATGATTTGTTACCAGTATTCCAGCCCTCATTGTTTCTACTGTTGTCATTTTCCTCCAGTCACTCAAATATGCAGAAAGTAACATTCTAGCAGGCCTTTGTCTTACCTTTAAATTTTGCACCTGCAGTGCTTGGTTAAATGTCATGTTGATTGGAACAAGAGCTTCACTTTCACCAGCCCAGCTGGAGATTGAAGGGCTTTTAAAACAGAGTAATTATCACCCTGCAATGGGAATGTGCAAACCTGCACTTTAATTACTCTGCAACCCAGGTATGAACAGTCATTTGCCAGGAACTTAGTGGTGCTGCTCTCAGTTCATGGGTAATTCTTTGGAGGGATATGGCACATCTGCAACCTGTAGAAGGAAGTAGTTGAGCAAGGCTAGACAGGAAGTCCTCAAAAGTGTCACTAGTCTCCAGAGTCATCAGTGATACTAGTTGAATATAAGAATGCCCCATGTTAGCATTCTTATCCTTTTCTTTAGTCTTTCTGTAACTATCATTAAACATTGTCTTGTTTCAGCTTGCCTTTGCCTTTTTTGTACTTTATGTAATAAAATTGTATAGTATATAGGCCCCTCCCTTTTTTTTGTCTGTCTTGTCCCCCCCCCCCTAGTTTTTTTTTTTAAGACCTGTATTTTATTTATTTACTTTTTTATGTGGTGCTGAGGTTTGAAACCAGTGCCTCACACTTGCTACTAGGCACTGGTACAACACCAGCCCTCCCCCTTATTTTTACTTGACATTATTTCTAAGATTTCCCCATGTTCTTTTGATTAGTTATGGTTTGTATAATATTCCATGATAAGAGTATAATATAATTTGTTAATCTTTCTACTACTGACTACTGTTGGTAGACATTTGGGTTGTTTATAGATGTTTGTTATTAGGAACAGTGCTTGTGTGAAAATCCCACCCCTCCAACCCCGTGGAACAAGGGATTAAACCCAGGAGTACTATACTGCTGAGTCATATCCCCAGTCCTTTTTTTATTTTGAGACACGGTCTCACTAAGTTGCTGAGATTGGCCTCAAACATGCTGTCCTCCTGCCTCAGCCTACTGAGTTGCTGGGATTATAAGTGTGTACCACCATGCCTTATAACTGCTGTGAATATTCTTAGATTTATCTTCTAGACTGTGTTTCTCTAGGATATGTACTTTGAATGGTGCTAATTTTGAGTAAAAGGAATGGTGGTGTGGGGGATACTAGGCTCTGGGCCAAAGATGGTATCCATTTTCAATACTGAAGAGAAGTGGGTTAATCAGAGTCCAGCTGATTTCTTCAGTGGAGCTGCTTAAACCAAAGGAAAGGAAAATGAAAGTTCAGACAAGCACCATTTATTTTGAAGGCCAGCAGTTTGAAAAACAAACCAAGTAGAAGAGAGCTCCTACAAATCAATAGTACTTGGAAGGAATTTGGAAATAATACAATAGATTAAAATTTTTAAATAGCCACATTTAAAAACAAAGAGAAACCTGCAGGATTTTAGTAATATATATTCTTTAACACTGTATATACAGAATTATCGTTTTCACATGTAATTGATGCCTAATATTATTATTGATATTTTTGCTACCTCCCATTCTTTGAAATCTGATGTGTATTTTACACTTAAAAATATAAGTCTCAGTTTAGACTCTTATGTCTCACGTGCTCATTAGCCATAGGAAATAGTGAATGTATTGGGCCACAGAGGTCGAGAGAATTGTACCAGTACTATATTCATTTCCTAGGGCCAGCACAACACATTACTACAAATGAAATGACTTAAAACAATAGAAGTATATTCTTGGCTACTTTTGGAGACTTCGGATCTGAAACCAAGGTGATATCACAGTTGGCTCTTGCTGGAGACTCTGAGGGAAGAAAGTCTGTCCTGGTGCCTCTCTCCTAGCTTCTGGGAGTTACTGGCACTCCTGTGTCCCTTAGCTTGTAGACATCATCATCTCTGTCTCCATATTCACATGGTCTTCTCCCCCCAACTATCTCTATATTTTATGTGGCTTTCTCTACCTACCCCCTCACCTCCCAAATCCAGAGTCCCCTCTTCTTATAAGTACACTAATTACTGTATTATAGTCCACCCTCATCTTATAACCTTTGCTAAACTTGATTACATCTATAAAGACTTATTTCCAAATAAGGTTACAGCCTAAATTTCCAAATGAACATGAATTTATATTAGGGGAACACTATTTAACCAACTATTGTTGCCAAATCGATGACTAAGATTCACACAGAAAGTGGTATGTGGAACTTCATGGGTATTGGAGGTATAGTAGGATAAGACTGTAAGAGACTGGTTTGGAATATGATTGATAGCACATGGAATATCTATTCTCACCCCCCAGGGGCGGGGGACAACTCTTATTACAATGAGGATAGAATTATTAGGTCAGAGACATTGACTTAAGTTACACTGGTTATCATTTGGGTGAATTCAGAGGACAGGTGATGAAGAGTTACTATTTAGGGATAATTGGGTAGGGGTGTGTTCCACACGCTAGCCATAAAACTGGTGCAGACACAAGATGGACAGTAGTGGTATGTTCATATTGTGCTTACATCTGCCAGAAGTCCAAAATAGGAAGTCAGACAAGTATATATGTATGTGTGTATGCATGTATATATTTTTGGTATTGGGGATTGAACCCAGAGGTGCTTAACCACTGGGCTGCATTCTCAGCCTGCCATTTTTAAAAATTTTATTTATTTATTTATTTATTTGAGACAGGGTCTTGCTAAGTTGCTTAGGATCTCACTAAGTTGCTAAGGCTGCCTTTGAACTTGTGATCCTCCTGCCTTAGCCTCCCAGATTGCTGAGATTACAGACATGCGCCACCATGCCCAGCCAGACAAGTTTTTAAATTGAATGGTGATGCTTGATATTAGACATCATCAACATTTCTTCGAAGATGAAGAGGGAACAACTGGGAAAACTGTATAGTTTTCTTAGCCAGAATGCTTTTTCCAAAGTGATAGAATCGATAGAGTAAGTACATTTGACTGAGGTCCTGGTTAAAAAAAAAAAAAAAGGTTGATAAGCCAATTATGAAAACCTGAATTTGGTCAGATGTTTCTACACTAGAAAGGGTCAAAGAAAAGATGGGCATAAATTCTTGAAAATGTGGTAAAGAGTGACCTAAAAGCAAAAGGAAACTGAGGAATGTGACTTTGATTGTGATAACAAAGAGATAATAGGGTTTTTTTGATAATTTTTTTTTTTTGAGAGAGAGAAAGAGAGAGAATTTTTTAATATTTATTTTTCAGTTTTCGGTGGACACAACATCTTTATTTTATTTTATGTGGCGCTGAGGGTTGAACCCAGTGCCCCGCGCATGCCAGGCGAGCGCATTACCACTTGAGCCACATCCCCAGCCCCTCTTGATAGTTTTTAAAGGGGCATTTTCAGAAGATGGAAAGTAAGGGTGAAAACAAGGACGAACATGTGTAAGTGTTGGAGGATTAAAACAAACAAGCTGAGGCCTACAGAAAAGGTAGATTCAAAGAACCTTCAGCGTTTAGTTTGGTGCAATTTGGTGACTAGAAAAGGAATCCTTGCTTAGACTAATTGTATAATGCCCATCATTATTACAAAACAGGGGCTAGGATGTAGCTCAATGGCAAGCGTCTGCCTTACATTCGCAAAGCCCTGGGTTCGACCCCCAGTTCCAAAAAAGAAAAGAAAAAAAATCCCACCAAAAAAAAAAATAAGATTAAAAAAAAAAAAAACCTTTTGGGCTGGGGATGTGGCTCAAGCGGTAGCGTGCTTGCCTGGCATGTGCAGGGCGCTGGGTTCGATCCTCAGCACCACATAAAAATAAAAAAAAGATGTGTCCACCAAAAACTAAAAAATAAATGTAAAAAAAATTATTACAAAACAGAAGTAACATTGTTATTACTTTTGTCTTTTCTGTTAAGAACAAGAATGTTTGGGAATGAGGGTTTATTAGCTCAGTGATAGAGTACTTGCCTAGAATGTGCAAGGTCCTGAGTTCAGTCCCCAGCATTGCCCAAAAAACTCCATATGAAACCTAAAATGAAGAATGATCAAATCAAAAGATCTGTGTCCCTGTGCGTGGAGCGGCTTGAGAGCAACTCTGATAGTAACCAATAATCACAGCTTGCTACCAAGGGGGGTTTGGTTTTTGGTTTGTTTGTTGTTGGGTTTTGGGGATTTATTTTCCCCCTAGGCAGGGTTCCACTGCATTATCCTGGCTGTTCTGGAACTCTAGTGGGCGTAAATGATCCTCCAGCCTCAGCCTCCTGAGTAGCTGAGACCATAGGCACATACACATGGCCCAGGTTTTAACTTGTCATTCCTTTCACTAATTGGTAAAAGCATTCGATCATAAGAATGAGGTAGGTTGTTGTACCTCTCTGCCTCAGAAGGTCAGTTGACATGCTCTCTCTCTGTTTCAGACAAAATGGAAAAGCACAGGCTAAATGCTAAAATAGTTGTGTGAATTACTAAATGGCTATTTACAAAAAAAATCAGTTTCAGGTTGGAAGGAAGTTTTTAGTAGCATACTAGTAAAAAAGTCCTCAGCTCTATCAAGTTCTGCATTCTCATCAGTGAGCCAGTAGGGGGCTGGGGCCTGGGAATAAGTTTAATAATAATAGGGTAGAAAAGAATTGGGTAGAGTGATCTGAACAACTTAAAATATAATAGAGGGCTGAAGATGTGGCTCAAGTGGTAGCGCGCTCGCCTGGCATGCGTGCGGCCTGGGTTCGATCCTCAGCACCACATACAAACAAAGATGTTTTGTTCGCCGAATACTAAAAAATAAATATTAAAAAAATTCTCTCTCTCTCTAAAAAAAAAATATAATAGAGGCTCATTCATTTCATAGATATTTATCAAGCATCTACTGTGTGTACACAGATAAATCTGAGGTCCTACACTCAGATCAAAAATAAATTAGTAAAATTTCAAAACCCAGCTGCTGAGTGCAGTGACACACACTTGTAATACCAGTGACTTGGAAGGCTGAGTCAGGAGGATCACAAGTTTGAGGCAGCCTCAGCAAGTTGGTGAGATCATTCCTCAAAATAAATAATAAAAAGGGCTGGAGTGTAGCTCAGAAGTAGAGAAACCCCTAGGTTCAATCTCCAGTACCAAAACAACAACAACTAGCTACATGGTTAAATACTAAATTCTATACCAGGGAGCAGAACATCTTAAAATATTGCAGATTTTAATTGACATTGAACTTAGTATTTGAATTGGGTGTGCAGAGGCGATCACCAGAGAAACTGAGATCTAGACATTGTTACTGAAAGCCTGACTCTAGGCAGAATGGATAGGGGTAGCCAGGTTGGCTTGGTGTGAGACCCCCTCTAGAAAATGGCTTTCTGCTTTGCTCTGTGCATTGAGAAGTAGTAAGCTGCAGGAGAAAGAAGTGAATATGTTCAGTCTGAAGGTGAGATGAAAGGGATCTGTGTTCATTGCCTCTGAACATTTAAAGAACCATCTTGTGGCATAATATGAATATTTATGGAATACATTTCTGAGTAACTTGAAATCTTCAAGCAACCCACCGAAGTTGTTGTTATTCCTGTTTGGAGATAAGGCAAGAGAGTCTCAGAAAGGTCAGATAAGTTACTTGCTGTGTCATAAAGCTTAGAGATGGCAGAGCTGGGATACATGCCCAGGTATGCTGCCTGTAGCACGATACTTGTTTTTTGTTGTTTTCTTTTGAGATGAGGGTCTTGGTTTAGATTGTTTTTCTTGTTGTATTTTGAGGTGAGGGTCTCACTATATTTCCCAGGCTGTTCAAGTGATTCTCGGCCTCCACCTCATGAGTAGTTGGGATTACAGCTGTGCCTCTGCCCCTGGCTATCGACAAACCTTTGAGCTGCGTGCCCTCAGAGGAGAGGTGTTAGGTTTACATGGTCCAACTGAGCTGCCACTTTCCTGGATGAAAATGGCAGAAACTCACTTCAGCTTACATTAGACACTCTTAGACAAGTGGCCCAGAGGTGGGAGGCAGTCCTTTCCCTGTCACCAGAGCTTCCAGAAATCCAGCCTGACTACTGAAAGTCAGGAGAAAGGAAGTAGCTGGGCCTTAAACTTCAGGTTCTATTCCATGAGCTCTTTGCAGCTCCATTTGGTTATCAGAAGTCATGAGTGGAAACACCAGTGTCTCTTTACAAGTTAATATTTTGTTGTTAGCTGTGTAATAGGACTCTCTTGTAAGCATTTACTTTCTGTGTAGTCAGGTATATTTTGTTTGAAGGCATGTTTCCACTAGTAATTTCTTTTTTTTTCCCCCCTCAAAAAATATTTTTTAGTTGTAAATGGATCTTTTATTTTATTTATTTATTTACGTGTGGTGCTGAGGATTGAACCCAAGGCCTCACACATGCCAGGCAAGTGCTCTACCACTGAGCCACAACTCTAGCCCCTCCACTAGTAATTTCTTTCTTTCTTTTTTTTTTTTTTTAAGAGGAGAGAGAGATATTTATTTTTCAGTTTTCAGTGGACACAAAATCTTTATTTGGTTTTTATGTGGTGCTGAGGATCGAACCCAGCGCCCCGCGCACGCCAGGCGAGCGCGTTACCGCTTGAGCCACATCCCCAACCCCACTGGTAATTTCTTAATTACACAAATGCCGTATCATTGTTGGTATTTTTGTTGCCCATGTTCTCCCTAATGGTAAAACTCATCAGTTTTCTTGTAGAAAATTGAAAAGTCTGAGAATTAAAAAGCCCTTAAAATCCCACTACTCACAGATGATCATTGTTAACACTTTGGTATATTTCCTGCTAATATTTTTTTTAAGGAAAACATGGCAGTGTTTGCTTAAATGCATCAAGAGTGTTTTCACAAAAAAAATAAATGTTTTGTTTTGATAAATTCTGAGGCTTTCCCCTCCCTTTTGTTTTATTTGGCTAGGTTTCTGCCTCAATGCTCAAGCAGTTTCCCAACAGTGGCCTGAACCCAGGTCTTTTCAATGTGGGGCCCCAATTATCTCCTCAACAAATTGCCATGCTGAGCCAGCTTCCACAGATCCCCCAGTTTCAGTTGGTAAGTAGTAGGTTTTCCTTTGATAACTAAAAAGGCTATTTGCTTTTTTTTTTTTTTTTTTTTTTCCTTTTAACTTTGATTTCCTTCATGTATCTTGGTCACTTTTTATGTTTGAAGAGCATTAGTTCAAACTTTTATGCAAACTGTTGCATTTCCTTAAAGGTTGTTCTATCAGCTAAACTGAAGATAAAGGTAGTGGTACTTCTTTATTGATGCTTTTGAATTGGTGACCTGCATGCCAGCGCACAGGCCCTTACAGTATTCTCTGAAAGTCAATCTTAGTATGCTTTGGTTCCCTCACTTCTCTCCTTGTTTTATAGGCATGTCAGCTTCTCCTACAGCAGCAGCAACAGCAGCAGTTACTGCAGAACCAGAGAAAAATTTCTCAAGCAGTGCGCCAGCAGCAAGAACAGCAGGTCCGTGGATGGGAAGGGTCCCCTGTGCTCTGTGTGAGGGATGCCTCTGCCTTACCCTCTGATCCCAGAGTAGAATCGCATACAGTTGGCTTATGGTCTTCCTTTCCTGTCCTTTGTGTCCTTCTTGGTCTGGACGCTGCTCCCCCAGCTGGCTCGAATGGTGAGTGCACTCCAGCAGCAACAGCAGCAGCAGCAGCGGCAGCCAAGCATGAAGCATTCGCCATCTCATCCGGTTGGGCCCAAGCCACATCTGGACAACATGGTACCCAACGCACTGAATGTGGGGCTCCCGGACCTTCAGACCAAAGGGCCAATCCCTGGATATGGTTCTGGTATGGTGTTCATAATGAAGATTATCTTTTAAAAAATCTGCTGATCTAAGCCTGTGGTAGAGGTTGGACCTACATTTCCCTTCATTTTAATAGTAGCCATACAAGGTAGATAAATATTCTTATCCCTGTTTTATAGGTTAGATCGAAATATCTGAGGTTCTTAAGTTTTCCTAGATTCACCACACAATTAGTACATAACAGAGTTGGGTTCCAACCCCTCTGGTTCCAAAGCAGCCTTCTATGACAGCATGTTTACAAAGGCCAAAATTTTTCCTCCTGCCAGGAATTTTTTTTTTTTTATTGGAACATTATAATTATACATAATAGTGAGATTCATTATGCCATGTTCATATATGCATGTATACTCCACAGGGAATTTTTAAAAGACAGTTGTAAGTATAAATATTCTAATTGCCACACCTGGCTGAGGTTATAATCTATTAAAATATGTACAAATTGAATTATTTTATTCATCTGATAAAAATCTCTTAAATGAGAAGCTTGCTGGGTGCAATAGTGCACCCCTATAATTTCAGCTACTCAGGAGGCTGAGGCAGGAGGATTGCAAGTTCAAGGCCAGCATCAGCAACTTAGTGAGACTCTGTCTCAAAAAAAGGACTGGGGATGTAGCTCAATGGTAAAACACCCCTGGGTTCGAACCCATTACAGGAAAAGGAGGAGTAAAAAGAGCTAAAATTATAAAGCAAATTGATAAAAATTCTACCAGTATCAGAATTTCATGTGACTTAAATAGAATAGTACACTTTCATTAAGCTGTGTGAATGCCTGTAATCCCAGTGACTCAGGGGGCTGAGGCAGCAGGATCACAAGTTTGAGGCCGACCTCAGCAACTAGGTGAGACCCTGTCTCAAAATAAAAAGGGCTGGGGATGTGGCTCACTGGTAAAACACCTCTGGGTTTAATCCCCAATACAAAAAAAAAAAAACAGGAATTTTTTTGGAGCTGGCCATGGTGGCTCTCATTTGCAATTGCAGCAACTGGGGAGACTGAAACAGGAGGATCACAAGTTTGAGGCCAGTCTGGGTATCCCTGTCTCAAGATAGATAAAAAGGATTGTGCATGCAGCTTAGTGGTGGAGTCTTTACCTAGCATGTGGGAAGCTCGGGTTCAGTCCCCAGTACTGTGTACACACCCACACACAAATTGTCAGGCAAATCTTAGCTGTTTTAGAAGGGGGGCGGGGGGCATGCTGTAAGCAGAATTCAAACAGTGAGGCAACAGTTATTTAAAAATAAAGTTTAAAGACTTAAAAAAAAAACATATCACTGACTAGACAGCATTTAGACTGACAACATTTAGAATTTATACTGGTAAAGAAGATAACATTCTATGCAAACAAACAAACAACAACAACAAAAAAAAGATGATTGAGAAGACCTGAAATCTATACTTCTGGATGACAAAGTGACTTGACAAATATCTGCTCTCTGCTCTGCCTCCCAGGAGGCCAGATCACTTGCAGGCAAGAGCAAAGACTTTAGGGTGTCCTTGACTCCAGTAGTTTAGGGGAATTAATTTCCAGCTTCCATCAACTGTCTTCTTAAAATTAATCTGCCTGAGTATTGATTTAAATTTAGAATAGCCTTTCTGGGGCCAGGGGACATAGGTTAGTATTAGAATACTTGCCTCGCATATACAAGGCCCTGGGTTTGGTCCCCAGCCCCACAAAAAGAAAAAATACTCTCTCTGCTCCTGCCACCTTGTATTACCGTATGTTCCTCTGCGCTACAGCAGCCCAGGGGGGCCAAGTGTGGGACAACTCCCAGAATGACTCCTAAAAGTGTGGTGACCACTGGGTTCCTGCCTGAAACCTCTTAATCATATTTTCTGTTTCGGATGAAGCCTAATGGAAGATCCTAGGTACTTTCACTTGTCCAGGTTATTCTGAATTTAGACACAGCTTCTGATAATGAAGCAGGGCAATTTGCCACCCATCCCATTTTGTCAGAGTACAGTAGAGCTTGGGTGGTGTAGTTCAGAGATAAAGCAGCACTCCCAAGGAGGAAGGGCATCTGAAAGGCAAAGGCGGCTTTCCCACATGATCAGATGCACAAGGTTCTTTCAGCACTTTACCATACCCAACCCTAGGGCATATCTGTGGGTGAAAAGAAAACCCCATCTTGCACAGCTAGATCAGCATGGCTTAGTGACTCTGATACCTTTAAATGCACCAGGACAAGCCTATGGAGGAACTATTGTCCTTTCCTTTAGGCTGTGAATGACTTAGTCAATTAGTTGTTCAAAATCTAAAATTTTACAATGTATTTATTTCAGTGACAAGTTCTCGTGTTTCATATTTTCTGCCTCTCCTAAAAATTAAAATTATATGCTGGTTAAAAACCTGCTAATTTTTTTTAAAAGAACTTTAAGTTGTAGTAGGACACAATACCTTAATGTATTTATTTTTATGTGGTGCTGAGGATCGAACCCAGCGCCTCACACATGGTAGGCAAGCACTCTACCACTGAGCCACAACCCCAGCCCAAGAGTAGAACTTTGAATATTGGAGTTGTAAAAATGACAGAAGAGATTGTGTGAAATGCTAGGTGTTCATGTGGACATGGCACAGTTGTTAGGATGAGTAATTATGGGTGGCTCGATTCTCTTATCATTTATTCTTTGTTGTGTGCATGTGTGTATACACACTTTTTTTTTTTGAGAAGGGTCTCAAACTCCTGGACTCAAGCAGTCTTTCCACTTTAACCTCCTACATGTGGTTTTTATTACAGTCATTATATAAGCAGCAGTTTGTTTTTGTTTTGGATTTTGGATTGTTGCTGCTGCTATTTTCTGTGCTAGGAATCTCACCTAGGGCTCAGCTACACTGACCTAAAGAGTAAAAAAGCATAGGGAAGGGAGTGAAGGCATGAACAGTGTGAGAAAGCATTAATTTGAGAGGGTATCTTCAAAAGTGTAGGAACTGAGCCAAATGGTGGTGATGAAGAGGTGAGGGATTTGAGTGTGTGGAGCAGAAGAAAGTCATTCTGGCAAGGGCAGATAAGGCAGGCAAAGGGCCCTGCTTGCAAGAATGATAAGAGCAATAAAGGGCATGTTCTGTCGATTGTGGCCCAGGGAAGGCAAGGAGCATGGCTTATCTCTCCCAGAGTCTCAGCTCCTGGTATAGAGCTTGGCACAAATTGAGCTCTCCATAAATATTCATTGAACAGATCTAAATGGCTTGTGTGATTTAAGTTAAAACTCTCTTTTTCGTGGGGCAGGGTCCCGGGGATTGAACTCTTATCACTGGACCACTGAGCCACATCCTCAGCCAATTTTTGTATTTTATTTAGAGACAGGGTCTCAATGAGTTGCTTATGGCGTCACTAAATTGCTGAGGCTGGCTTTGAACTTGTGATCCTTCTGTCTCCACCTCCTGAGCAGCTGGGATTACAGGCTTGCGAGGCACCACGCCCTGCAAGCTCTGTCTTTTGAGGTGAAGAATTACAGGGAAGCTACTTGGTGGACTGAGGAAGTTGGGTTTTGATGAAGTAGCAAGTTCCTAGATCACAGGTTGTGAAGTCCATAGATAGCCAGAGGGTTACTAGTGAAATACCCCCTGCTATTTGTTAATTAGCCCTATTAATCTCTCTTCCTTGGAGATTTGGTATCATACCAGTTATGGCATGACCAGTAGGTCCTTTTTCTCCTGTGGTGCTAGGGATCAAACCCAGGGCCCTGTGCATGGCAAGCAAAGTCTACCACTGAGCCACACCCCCAGGTCCCAATGTCGCCTTTGAACTGATTTTTTCCTCTTATAGTTCCAGGTTTGTGTATGGAACTTGCCAAGGAAGTTTTATCTCCTGTTCTCCCTCTTATCCCTTCTGTTTTGCTTTCCTTACCAAGCCCTGTGATGTGGTTGTGCTCGAGGAAGACTCAGGAATCTCTGCCCTGTTGTGAGCACTTGGTCCCCAAATTTCTGAGGAGCCAGATGCCCACATTAGCTGAGTTTCAGCTGGGTCTGCTCAACTCTTCCCTTTCTGAAGATTTTATAACTCTCAATTTTCTACACTTCATGTATCACAGATTAACTCTTGAGCAGCTAAAATTAAGTAACTTTAATTCACTGTGTATTTTAAAGACATTTTAGAGTAACTTTAAAGAAAATTAACAGTTAAGTACTTCTGCTTCATCTTACCAGTCCTTGCATTCTTTTTAATCTTTATAGAATCTAGGTTATTTTTATTTTCAAAAGCTCTTTCCTGGACAGTTGGAGCTGTGCTTTCAGATGACCTGCAATCTAAGCATCTTGGCCTGGTTTTCTCATTCAAGTGTACAGGTATAACTTGTTTGAGGACAACCTACATAGTCATGAAGGCCATGTCAAAGAAAGTCTTCTTCAATCATTTCATTTTTGCTACATAAGATAAGTGAAAAAATATATTTTCTTTAAATTTATTTAATATCATATTTGTCTCATCTTAAGGATTCCTGCTCCCTATCTCCAAGCAGTCACTTGGATTTAGTAAATTCAGTTGTGAATATGTAGGAGAACAGGGTTCTTTCTATAAATTGCAACACTTTAAAGGAAGGACAGGAAGGATTCCCCCTTGATTTATTATGTGTTTGTAAAACCACCCCAGACCAACAAGGTAAGCACAGGGTGGAGAAAAAGCACGGCCTGGGCCTCAGGGATTTGGATAAGTGGACCTTGAGGAAGACTCAGGAATCACGCAGATGGTGGGAAGGCCGGGTGGGGTCTGCTAGCCTCTGGTCCGGCTGTAGTGGGACCCGCATTATGGCCAGAGGTACCGACGCTGGGCTGCTGCAGGCCTAATGCCCTGGTGTGGTGGGGGTGCCATTCACCTACCTGGGCTGCACACGGCATTCTCCACTGCTCACTCTTGCTTCTCTGTGGGTATTCATGGTTCTTCCCATTGCCCATGCCATTAGTTTTAGTCTTCAGTTTTCCTTTTTTAGAGTCAGTTTGAAGTGTTATGTGGGTGGTGGACCATGTGGGTCTATCAGCAAGTCTTGTACACACCTGTGGCCTTCAATTCTCTGCTCTGTGCAGTAGGGAAACATCCCTGTGACTCTTGCAAAGAGCCTAACTCCCAGGGCTCACACATCACAAACTCAGCCTTTCATTTACTGCCTCCTCTAGTTTCAGGTTATTTCTTGTTGTGTGAATTCTACTTCTGAGTTGGTTTCTCAGATTCTATCCAGCCTCCATCCACCCCATTCTCACCCTGCCAGTTTTCTTCTGAAACACAAACATAGTTCTCATTTTCTCTCTCTCCCTTCTTCTCCCTGCCCGATCCTCTCTTGCTTAAAAATTTATTTCTCTCCTGTCGTAGAGAAAAAAGGTCCCAATCCTCGGCCCAATATGTAAAGACCCTACATTACATGGCTTTTAGTCTCTCTGCATCCCCGGTATTCTCTGCCTCACTTCATCCCATAGTCAGGTAAACATTGGAGTCCATTGAACTTCTTGCCATTCCTGAAACATGTCATGAGTCAGAGCCTTGCACTTGGTTTCCCAGGCCTTGGATCATGTGGCCTCTGCAAAGCTTTTCCTCCCCAGTACCTTTGTGACAACCCTATCACTGTTGTCCTCTGTCCTCCCATGTTGGTTTGGCATCTGGAATCCACCTCCATTGGAGAATGAGTGGCCCCAGTGCACTGTCTGGCTCAGTGAAAAAGTGAATGCATGCTGGCACTGGGTGGACTTATTTAGATGGCAATGACATATATTTTCATACCTTAGCAAAGAGGCAGCAACTTTTTTAGCAAGCAGGAGCCAAAATCAAACTTTCAAATCAAAGTGTCTATTACTATGCGAAGAGACTGTGAATTAACCTGTGAATGACAAAGTAAGGCTTCTGTCTGGGGACTCCTGGTTAGATAATGAGAAATTTACAAGACATGACCGTTGTTCTGTTTTAGGCTTCAGCTCTGGTGGCATGGACTATGGCATGGTTGGTGGGAAGGAGGCTGGGACTGAGTCTCGCTTCAAACAGTGGACCTCCATGATGGAAGGACTGCCCTCTGTAGCCACACAGGAAGCCAACATGCACAAAAATGGTAAGAGCATGCCCATGGTACTAGCAGTAGCCCTTCTGACCTCAGCAGGCTTTGATGAAGCAGCTGCCATATTTTAGTGCATAATTGTCAACAGATTTTATGTCAGATTTTTTTTTTCTTTTACAAAAAGTGGGGTAAGAGCACAGCAAAGTGCCCCATGCCTTTAATCCCAGTGACTTGGGAGGCTAACGCAGAAAGATTACAAGATTTTGAGGCCAGCCTCAGCAATTTAGTGAGAACCTGTCTCTTAAACGGCTGGGGATGTAGCTCAGTGGTAAAGTGCCCCTGGGTTAGATCCCCAGAACAAAGACAAAGAAAAAGTGATGTTGACCATTAAGTGAAACTTTAAAAAAAAAAAAAATCATTTTTATTACTAACCTGGCCTCGGTGCAAAATTAGGATGCACAGATAACCTATGAATATATATTAAAATTGAATAGTCCATATCAACCCACATCATTTCCTAGTGACAGCGTAGCTAAGATTTTTTCTAGTCTGGGAAGAAAAGGTTAACACATTAATTATTGATTTGTGCATTCTAGTCGAAATATTACACTTGAGAAAATTTACTACAGTTGTTGCAAAGTATGGACTTAACAAAATTTAATCTTCTGTGTCTGAAAATTCTGTGCAAGCATCATTATTTGATGCGCTGTCCTCAGCACCACTCATAAGATGTGAGTGGCCACTCACCATTAGAGCTGTAGCACTGTAAGTAAATAAAACAGCATAAGTCAGCTTTCAACAGTGCGCTTGTGCTGAGAATTCTAGATTGGCAGCTCACAGTGGTCAAGAATACATATGCATGTATCTGTATTCCACTGGGGAATACACTGCTGCTCTGTTTACCTTTTTTTTTTTCCTTTTTTGGTCTGTGGGGCAGGGGGTGCTAGGGATTGAACTCAAAGCCTTGCACGTTTTAGGCAAGTGCTGTACCACTGAGCTACTTCTCTGTTTATCTTTTAAACAGCATGACAAACAGAATTATACCGTGTTATCTGGGTGTGGTGGTGCATGCCTGTAATCCCAGAGGCTCAGTAGGCTGAGGCAGGAGGATTGAAAGTTCAAAGCCAGCCTTAGCAACTTAGCAAGGCCCTAACCAACTCAACAAGACTCTATCTCTAAATAAAATGTAAAAATGGGCTGGGGATGTGGCTCAGTGGTTAAGTGCCTCTGGGTTCAATTTCCAGTACCAAAAAATATACACATACACACACACACACACACACACACACCATGTGACAATTACACAGTGAAAGGTTATAAGCCAGGTTTTGGACTTTTTAAAAAATTGGTGCAGCAATTACAAGGTGGTGACAATTACGTGGTGAAATCAAATACGTAGTATGTGATTATTTCAAAGCATAGATCTTTAGTTTTTTCTTAATGAGTTCCTTGATCCCTTCTCAACCCCTCCTTTTTCTTTGTGGTACTGGGGACTGAACTCAGGGATACTCGACCACTGGGCTATATCTTTTTTTTTTTTTTTTTAACATTTTATTTAATTGCAAGAGATGTTGAACATTTTTTCAAATATTTGTTGAGCCATTGTATATCTTTTGAGAAGTGTCTCTTCAGTTCTTTAACCCATTTATTGATTGGGTTATTTGATTTTTTAGTGTTAAGTTTTTTTGAGTTCTTCATATGTCCTGGAGATTAGTGCTCTATTCAATGTGTGTTTAATAAAAATTTGCTCCCATGCTGTAGGCTCTTTCTTCACCTCATTGATGGGCTATATCTTCAGCCCTTTTTATTTTTGAGACAGGGTCTTGCTGAGTTGTCAAGGATGGCCTTGAACTTGATCCTGCTGCCTCAGCCTCCTGAGTCACTGAGATTACAGGTGTGCACCACTGTGCCCAGCTTTTCCCCAAAATTTTTATGATTGGCTATCAGAGAAAGGTTAGAATTGTGTGTATTTCAAGTTACAAGAATTGAAATTCTTAAGTTCCAAGTAAGGGTTGCAAAATTTCCTACCTGCCATGGAATTGAGAGTAGTAGCAGTACATTAGGGTGCCCATTATGGTATTAAAAGAAGTGACTAAGAGAACAGAATCAGCTTATTGGGTTTTTGGCTGGTTTGATTTTGCTCTTTTTTGAGGGACAGGCGATCACAGCAAATAGTGTATCTTATTGCTTTTTGGAACTATATTAAGTTCATCAACTTTTGAAAAACTCCTGCTCTTTTAAACTCCAAAAGATGACTAATAGATCAAAGTACATGAAGTTTGAACTTTTCCCAAAGCTTTCTTGTTCTTTGTGAATTAAAGTTCATGTGGGACATCATGTGAGTACATTGCAGACTTTGGTTGAAGGAACTACATGGTGCTCTCTGCCTGCCATCTCCAAGCATGACCATTTGACTTCATGGCACAGAATTGAGAATGATTTACTGACATTATGGACTAGTCCTAGCCCAGTGACACCTAAAGCTTTGGGCACTTTCACTGCTTCTTTGGGCTAATTCACAATGTTCTTTTGTCCCCAAAGATATGAAAGGTACATGATGATAATAAATACAAAGTGGCAGGTGGGAGGCTGTCTTGAAGGTAGAATGTCCACGTGCCACTTCAGAGCCTCTGGGTAATATTTTCCCTATTTCCTCAGCAATCCCCAAGGATAACTGCTTCCAGTTAATCTAGGCACAGCCACATTAAGAACTTGGTTGGAAGTGTCACTTAAAAACCCTCTAGTGTGCAGCAGGTCAGTTTTTTCCCTATTTCTCACTTGTGAAGTGATCAGCATAGAAACCACAGGGATAATGGTATGATTCATAGTTTGCAAATGTTTCATTGATTTCAGGAGACCATAGAATTTTAGGTCTGAAAAAAATTATTCAAGAGTAAGAACTGAGGCTGGGGCGTAGCTCAGTTGTAGAGCACTTGCCTAGCATGCAGGAAGCCCTGGATTCCATCCCCAACACAACAGGAAGGACAGAGAGAGACTGTGAGATGTGTTGTTATGAACTTGCTGCTGCTGCTCTCCTCGCACCCCCCCACCCCCCGCTCAGTGTTGAAAGCTGAACCCAGAAGTGCTTTCCACTGAGCTTCATCTCCTGCCCTTTCTATTTTATTTTGAAACAGGGTCTCACTCAGTTGTTGAAACTGGCCTTGAACTTATATCCTCCTGCCTTAGCCTCCCGAGATGCTGGGATTAGAGGAATATGCTATTGCACCTGTTTTTTTTTGTTGTTGTTGCATTGATGATGATGTTTTTAGTAGCTGTTTCTTGATTATAGGCTGTCTTCCACACAACCTCTTATTCTACTGCTCTTTTCACTTGATAAGCTTCCTAATACTGTATTTGGGTTTCTCTAAAAAAAAAAAAAAGAAGAAGAAGAAGAAGGGGCTGGGGATGTGGCTCAAGCGGTAGCGTGCTCGCCTGGCATACTTGCGGCCCGGGTTCAATCCTCAGCACCACATACAAACAAAGATGTTGTGTCTGCCGAAAACTAAAAAAAAAATAAATATTAAAAAAAAATCCTCCCCCTCCCTCTCTCCTCTCTCTCTTAAAAAAAAAAAAATACAAAGGAAAAAAAACAAAGAAAATGTCTGTTTACTGGAACTCTGTATGAATGAATTAATTACCTTTCTCTTTTTTAAGGCGCTATAGTGGCCCCTGGTAAGACCCGAGGAGGGTCACCATATAACCAGTTTGATATCATCCCGGGGGACACACTGGGTGGCCATACGGGTCCTGCTGGTGATAGCTGGTTACCTGCCAAATCTCCACCAACAAGTAAAATCGGAAGTAAATCCAGCAATGCCAGTTGGCCTCCAGGTATTGTCCACGAAATGCTTTCTCTTTAATGGTTAATTTCAAGTTCTGAACACACTGCTTTTGCAACTCATTTTACTGAGGCACTTGTTTTCAATTTTTCTATGATAAAAGCAGAGCATGTGCTCTAAGATGTGTGCTGTGGGAAGATAGCAAATCTTTATTAGATGAAGAACGTGGGGATGAAGGAAGGTGACCTTGTAGCTGGGATGTGGCATTCATCCCAAGTCTAGGATGCCTTGAAAGATGGGTTCTTTTGAAGTGTCTGTTGAATTTATTGGTTCAGTCATTGGGCTGCCATTTTGATTCCAGGTATGTAGTAGTGAGTACACGGAGATTATTTGTTGATTTTTTTTTTCTTACTTTCTCCCTTCCGCCTCCCATCCCCAGTAACATATTTTCATTGTAGAAAATTTAGTAAAGCAAAAATAAAAATCAGGTAGTTTGTCCTAGACTTCTTCCTGTGCACATATATATCTGGGACATGAATGAATATAGTTTCATTTTATTAGAGTTGGATGAAATATGTAATGTTCATATGTGATACATATTGCTGCCCAGCATAAGGAAAATAGTTCATTATTTCCATCACATAGCTTTAAATGTGATTTCAGTTGACTAATAAAGCCTGGTTTTTAGTTTTTGTGGTGCTGGGGATGGAACCCAGGGCCTCACATATGTTAGGCATGAAAGCACTTTACCACTGAGCTGCATCCCCAGCCCCAAAGCATAAATTCTCCTGTGCAGCCTTGTCTTTCTCATGATAAGCTGAACCATTTCTTTCTTTCTTTCTTTCTTTCTTTTTTTTTAAGCTGAACCATTGCTACTGGCTGTCACTGGGCAGGCCATGCTGCAGTGGTCATTTATATTGCATTTTCTTTTGTGTATTTTGGGCAATATCTAGAGATGAAAATGGAAACGATACCTGGTCTCTAGCCCAGTTTCTCCCAGTTCTTGGCCTTGAGCCAAGAACTTGTTCTGCCATCAGGCCTGAGTTCCCTGAGGAGCAGGAAGACCTGGGACCACGCCAGGCCTTGACGGGCTGTGGCCTCATATTCACTACTGCAGACAGACAGACATATGATAATTCAGAGGTGCTATTGCCAAGAATATATGTTCAGGGTGATTTTTTTTTCTTTTTCCTAATTTCATGACAAAAATCTGAGAACAGTAAATTCAGTATATAGACTTTTCACAGACCCATTTCTTCCACTAAAACATGATTTTACCATTTTTGAACAACCCCCTACTCCCTAATATTTGTTCTTCTTATCTCAGAATTCCAACCAGGAGTGCCATGGAAAGGTATCCAAAACATTGACCCTGAATCTGACCCTTATGTCACCCCAGGAAGTGTGCTGGGGGGTACAGCCACATCTCCCATTGTAGATACTGACCATCAACTGCTGCGGGATAACACCACAGGTAAATGATTGCTTTATTTGTTCATGCAGGTACCTAATAATTTAACCAGAAAATATAAAAATATTGCTTTGCATGTTTGTTTTAAATTTTTTTATCGGTGCTACAGACTGAACCCAGGGCCTCATGCATGCACTTTACCACTAAACTTCATCCCCAGTCCTTTTTAGTTTTTACTTTGAGACAGAATCTTCTATGTTGCCTCAAGCTTCCAATCATCTTGCCTCGAGCTTACAATCCCCCTGCCTCAGCCTCCTGAGTAGCTGAGGTGTGCTCCACCTTGCCCACCCAAATTTTTTGTTGTATACATTTTGTTTTCTGTCCTGTTGAAATTTAAATAAAATACTTTCAAAGTTTCACTGCTTATACTGCCATTTATCTTCATTATATTCTTCTTGTTCTTTGTTTGTCACATCAAGGGTCTAATTCTTCCCTCAACACCTCGCTGCCTTCACCTGGTGCCTGGCCCTACAGTGCCTCTGACAACTCCTTTACCAACGTTCATAGCACTTCAGGTACGAGGGTGTTCTGTTTCCCTTTGGTTAGCATTTTGCCATCAGTTTCCCCCGTATAATACTTTTAAATGGAAGTTGAAGGGTACTGGTCAGTGTGGGTGGATGCCATTTGTTTCCCCTCTTCTCGAGGATCTTCTGGTCATACAGAGGCAGGTGAGACATATAACTTTGGCTCAAGGTGAGTGATGGTAGAATCTCTGAGAACTGGGTGTTCAGAGGATAGAGGTTAAGACCTGATAGCACAAATGCTCCTCTTAACCAGCTGCCAGTACATCAAGGGCCATGGGAAGAACTAGTTAGGTCTAGGTTATTATTTCTACAGCAGCTACTGATGGTCTGCTTTTTCCTAAAATTTCTTGTACTTATAGAAAAAGGATAATGGTAGATGGCCAGAGTCAAAAAGAGAATCTCAACTAATTTCATCAACAATATTTGAATTCCTTGTGTTTTTTTTTTTTTTTTAATGGAAAAGTTAGTGAATACATTAGAGGCTTTGAAATCATTCAGCTAGCACAATGCCTTATAGATTAGAAGAAAACTCATTAGCTATTGGCACCATGGTTTTGCAGAGGTTGGGCCTTTTAAGCCATGGAAGTCATTAGCATTTCTGTGCTTCATCAAGGCAAAAGCCAAGAAAGCAAATCTTTAGCTCTCTTCTGTCACTACAGGCTTATGGTATGCAAATTGTCTTTTTTTTCTTTCCATATCTGTCATATCAACAGTGCAACAATAACCTGCCATTTACTGAATTTTCTAGCATGAATTCCTTTTTGAACCTCATCTAACACTATGAGTAGGTCCTATCATGATCCATCCCCCATTTTGTAGATGGAAAAACTGAGATTCAAAGAGCTGTATAGTCTGTCGCATCCAAGCCTGAATTATAAATACTGAATACTGACCTGCCTCAGCATTGCACATCCCTAGCTACACCCTGCACTGTACTTTTCCAGGACTTATACTTGGATCCAACTCTTTTTCAAAAAAAAAAAAAAAAATTTTTTTTTTTTTTTTTTTAAAGAGAGAGAGAGAAAGAATTTTAATATTTATTTATTTATTTTTTTAGTTTTCAGTGGATACAACATCTTTGTTTGTATGTGGTGCTGAGGATCGAACCCGGGCCGCACGCATGCCAGGCGAGCGCGCTACCGCTTGAGCCACATCCCCAGCCATTCTTTTTCAAATGTTTATTTTATTTTCTCTCTTTTTTGTTTGTGGTACTTGGGATCTAAGCACGGGCCACTTGACCACTGAGCTACATCTCTAGCACTTTTTAATTTTTTTTTTTTTTTAATTTTTAGTATCTCTAAGTGGCCAAGGCTGTTCTTGAACCTGCTCTCCTCTTACCTCAACCTCCCAAGTCCCTGGGATTACAGGCATGCACCCAGATTTTTTTTCTTTTCTTTTTTTTTCCTTCATGGTACTGCAGGTTAAATCCAGGGGTGCTCTACAACTAAGTTATATCCCCAACCCTTTTAGGTTGTTTGTTTGAGACAGGGTCTCATCAAGTTTCTCAGGCTGGCCTCAAACTTGAGCACCTCCTGCTTCATTCAACCTCTCAAGTCACTGGAGTTATAGACACGTATATAGTTATAGACACCCAGCTTTTTTTTTTTTTTTTCTTCTTCTTCTTCTTCTGTTTTAAAAGATGATGTCTCACTTTGTTGTCCCAAACTCCTGGATTCTAACTGTCTTCCTCTTCCAGCTCTTGAGTATTGGGAACTGCAGGTATGCACAGCTGTGCCCTGCTTTCATCTAGCTTTTACTCCTATGAATGCCCCTATCTTAGGTTGAACAGTGTATCTTTTTCCTGCAATTGAATGTTCACCTAAGAGATGGCTCAAGAATCACCTCAGATTGTCTAAAACTGAATCTGAAGTTCCCCATCCCCCAAAATTGTTTTTCCTTATTTTTCTTAATGATGCTCCCATGCATCACCTACCTTGTCACAAGAGCTCAGTATTTTCTCACTCTTTCCTCTCCCTTGCTCTCTGGACCCAGGCCATGCTGATTCTTAGTGGTGTGATCTGCAGTAGGATTTTTCAAGTTCATTGCTTCTGCTCAGTTCTCTTGCTGTCACCCTCAGACTGTCACTCAAACACCCAATGCTGAGTAGACTGCAGAAACTCCTGACTACCTTATCCTTTGCGCTCTATGAAATACTTTTCACCCAGGATTGGCAGAGGACATATTCTGTACAGGGAGAGTTTGTGGTGAAACTAGGTTTCCATTTTCCAGTTTTCCTGGGCCTATCCATTTATGTAAATCTTCAGACCTGTCTTTGCAAAGCCTCTGCTTGCAACCTAGCACTTTCCTCTGTGTGCTGAACATATATGTTACCAGTTCTGTTGTTTTGCTGCTCTTGCTTCCATTCAAACTGGAGGCCTTTGAGAATAACTGTGTTACCCATCGTGCTACTTTAATGCTTTAAGCACAATAAGCCCTTAGTGAATATTTGCAAATTGTTTTCAAAAATCTCTTTCAGTGTTGGTATCTAATATGCTGGATCTTGGCATAAGAAAAGTGTAGGTTTCTAATGTACTTTCCATGCAGTCCATGAGAACTTATAGGATACTTTAGTTTTGCTGGTGTTCACATTCTAACCATCTATAAGGGTGATGGGCTATATGGAAATTTTCTCCTTGAATTTGTCTTCTCTTTCAAGCGTGTTTAGCTAAGAAAGTTGTAGAAAAATAGTTCATATAATTTTCTCAGTTTACAGTAATAGTTACTGAAAATTTTATAGTTGATATGCTTAAAGAACAATGTTACTTTGTATTGCTGCTCATAAAATGTGTGCTTACTATTGTTTTTTAGAAGATAGATATGCATATATTTGTGTGTAGAGACAGTTTGTGTGTGCTTGTGGTCCATCTTTTTTTGTGGTGCTGGGGATTGAACCCAGGACCTCACGCATACGAGGCAGGCACTCTACCAGCTGAGCTATATCCCCAGCCCTTGTGGTCCATTTATTGCTTCCTGAATTTTTTCTTCTCACAGCAAAGTTCCCTGATTATAAATCCACGTGGTCCCCAGATCCCATAGGACACAACCCCACTCATCTCTCCAACAAGATGTGGAAAAACCACATTTCCTCCAGGAACACTACACCGCTGCCCCGCCCACCTCCCGGCCTGACCAACCCCAAACCGGCATCTCCCTGGAGCAGCACAGCACCCCGATCAGTCAGGGGGTGGGGAACACAGGACTCTCGGCTTGCCTCAGGTAAGAAGGACCTGCTTGTAAGAGCAGCTGTGTCATCATAAGGGAGGATGTGAAAGGGCTGCAGGCGTGTGTGCTTGGGGTGGAGGACTGTGGAAGAGAGTGTGGAGGTTGGGCCCTTGGGCTGGGTGAAGTTGCTCCTCCTTATTATTTTCCTCATCCTTTTTCTGGTTGCCTACAGCCTCTACCTGGAGTGATGGTGGCTCAGTTCGCCCTAGTTACTGGCTGGTTCTTCATAATCTCACTCCACAGGTAATTGTGCTTTCTTGAAGTGTTCTAGACAGGATTTAGTGTTATTAAGAGAAACTCACATGTTGGGGAGGTTAGGAGGTAGAAAACTCAACTATTTCTTGGTCTCCTCTCCCCATTCAAGGCTCATAGCCTACTTTTGAACGAGGGTTCTGGCCATGTGGTCTCACACCTGACTTCAAGGTGTTGGAAATATGTGTAATTTACAAATTAAGCAGTGGGAGTGGGGTGGTATTGTTTGATCTTTTTATTAGTCTCCAGTGCTAGAGATAGAATCAGGGCCTGGCACACACCAGTGAGCTTCCAGTGAGCCTGCCAGTGAGCTTCGTCCTCAGCCCCAGCATGCACGATCTTACATGATGATTCTCAAAGCTTTGTATGCCTCATTTTTAGAGTTGTCGTATAATTTGGTGGTTATGATGTTGGTAGGATGAAGGAAGCAGTAAGGGTTTTCCTATTTTGAAAGGAGCCTGGACAAGTTAACCAGCTGTTCACTTTTTCTGTCTTAGGAAAAATAATAAGTATGCATATATGGGGCTGGGGATGTGGCTCAAGCAGTAGCGCGCTCGCCTGGCATGCATGCGGCCCGGGTTCGATCCTCAGCACCACATATAAACAAAGATGTTGTGTCCGCCGAAAACTAAAAAAAAATTATTAAAAAAAAAAATTTCTCTCTTTCTCTCTCTCTCTCTTAAAAAAATTATGCATATATAAATATGTATATTAAATGAATATAGGGTGGCTGTGTTTGTATTAGAAAGACTTAAGATTAAGTTAAAAAATCAAAGCTACCTAGTACAAATTAATCTCAGTCATAAGAGTAAATCTTGACACTGGATACGTTTACTTTTCAGCACTTAAAATTGGTTTAAAGGGTATTTGGGTATTTGTCCTGTAAAGTGTCTTGTGGATATACTGACATGCTTATGTAGTTAGTTTTCACTCATAAAACAAGCTCAGGGGGATTTCTTTGGTCTTTTTCTTTAAAGATCTCCGAGAAACCGCCCATTTTCATCCAGGAGCCAGTAACACAATTTTTTAAAGCAATTTCAAGTAGTAACATACTTAGTTTCCAAAGAAATTAGCTGGGCGCTATGGCACATGCCTGTAACCCCAGCAGTTCAGGAAGCTGAGACAGGAGGATCGCGAGTTCAAAGCCAGCCTCAGCAACGGTGAGGCGCTAAGCAACTCAGTGAGACCCTCTCTTTAAATAAAATACTAAAGGCAGGGGGTTGGGGATGTGGCTCAGTGGTTGAGTGCCCCTGAGTTCAATCCCCCAAAAAATGTATACTTATTTTTTTTAATTTTTTTTTTTTTAGTTATAGATGGGCACAATATCTTTGTTTTATTATTGTCTTTTTATGTGGTGCTGACGATCGAACCCACTGCCTCACGAATGCCAGGCAAGCACTCTACCACTGAGTCCCAGTCCCAGCCCAGTATTCTTATTTTTCAAAGAACTGAAATGATGGAATGATCAACTAAAATAAATCTATTTAGGCTCTTGATGCAAAATTAGACCATCACATAAGAGTGAAGAGGTTTGTTCATCTAACTAACTCGTGGATTAGGGGAATTATCCCTAATCCCTGAACACTGAGTGGATTGAGAGACTACAGCCTTCAGTCCCATCACCTTTGGGCAGCAGGGGACACAGTAGAGAAAAGGTGGTGGAAATGGTCTCACCTTGAGATGGTAAAGCAGCCATAAGACAGTGCTGGGATGGTCTGGGAAGTAGGCCAGGCATCGAGATTCTAAGTCTTCAGGTATCCAGCAGTGCTTTCTCGTTTGTCTTTCTCTTTACTTCTTTGTGAAGTTGTTTAATGGATAAACAGAAGAATCAAATATTAGTAATAATACTAAGAACCTTGCATGTTAACGTTCTTATTTGGGGACTATTTCACTTCTATTTATATTGTGGTGCTAAAGGAATGGAACTCAGGGCCTCACGCACACTAGGTGAGTACTCTAACACTGAGCTATATCTCTAGCCTTCGTTTCTGCCTTTTTAGGATCTAAGAATTAACACACCTGTGTTTACCTCTTAAAGGAAATAGACCACAGGGGCTGGGGATGTGGCTCAGAGGCAGAGTGCTTGCCTAGCATGTGTGAAAGAAAGAAAGAAAGAAAGAAAAAGAAAACAGATCACAGGTCGAGTCATATTCTTTTGTTTTGAGGTATATTTATGTATGCATTTTATTCATTTTAGTTGCAAAATGGGAAGAGTAGATTTTAGTCCAATGTGTAAATATCTTTTTTTTTTCATGGAGGCTAACTTTATTGAGACCAATTTAGTATGCATCAGAATTCACACTTTATATTGTGTAATTCTGACAGATACACAAATTCATTTAATCACCATTATAACCAATCTGTACCATAGTTCTGTCATCCTAAACAATGTTCAGTGTGTAAATATCTTAAAGTTGCCTTTCCCATCACAAGTGTTGTTTCTCCTTAGATTGATGGGTCAACCTTGAGAACGATCTGCATGCAGCATGGTCCACTGCTGACATTCCATCTGAATCTAACCCAGGGCACTGCCCTGATTCGATACAGCACCAAACAGGAGGCGGCCAAGGCCCAAACCGCACTGCACATGTGAGTATTCCGTCCTGCATCCTCTAGGCAAGCATGCAGGAGATGTACCCGTGAGTATCCTGGAACCTGCTCAATCAAACAGTGATGCATGAGACAAGGACAGGCATATAAAAACACCATTGTTGGGCACAGTGGCACACAGTAATCCCAGAGGCTCAGGAGACTGAGGCAGGAGGATTGCAAGTTAAAAGTCAGCCTCAGAAACTGAATGAAGCCCTAAGCAACTCAGCGAGTCTCTGTCTCCAAATTAAAAAAATAAAAAGGGCTGGGGATGTGGCTCAGTGGTTAAGCACCGCTGGGTTCAATCCCTGGTACCAAAAAAAATAAAACAACTTAACACCATCATGCATGCATTTCCAAGTCTTAGATATTGAAGTGATAGGTCTTTTCTACCTACCTGAGATTATCCTGTGTATTTATAGGCTGATCATCAGAACTCCAAATGTAAATAATTTGTGAAATAGTTGAATAAATTTAAGTACCACAGAACAAAGCAGATATTTATAAAATGTGAAACGTTTTGTCATTTTTCATAAAAGAATCTAGCTGCTTTCTGTAGCCTCTTGTAAATGATGTTGAAATTTTGTGATTTGGGTGGGTGGCAGGGTTTTGCTTGAAGTAGATGGGACTGGATCAGACTCCTCCCTCCCCCAGCCCTCCCCCAGCCCTTGGTGGACAGAAAAGGGCTGACTCCCTTTGGCTGCAGATGCCATGACAAAATTCCATGCACAGAGGGAGTGGGCAGTGGGAAAGCCCAGGCAGCAAGCAGGTCCAGCCCTGGGACAGGGCAGCACTTTTGAGTGTCTGGTGCTGAGGTTGTGATCCTTACCCCACATGGGACAAAAAGAAATGACATTTTTCATCTCTTTCCTTCTTTTAAGATTTGAATTTGTTTTTCAGAGTACTTATAAGTTTGCAGCAAAATTGAGAGGAAGATATAGAGATTTCCCATATGCTTCTACCCCTCCCTCACATATCTAGCCTCCTTTATTGTCAGCATCACTCACCAGAGTGGTCCATCTGTCACAATTGATGAACATACACTGACATTTAATCCCCCAAAGTTCATGGTTCATATTAGGATTTGATTCTGGTGGTGTCCCTTGAATGGATTTGGACAAATGTATAATGGCATGTAGCCACCATCATCTTATCATCGAGAGTAATTGCACTGCATTAAAACTCCTCTGTGCTCCATGTATTCACCCTCCCCTAACACACACAGATGCCTTTGTGATAGTCAGGTTGTCAGGAATATATAAACTCCATACGGTGTGGACACACTGTTATCAGGAGGCTTTGACTCTTTGGAGCTTTGGTCACACCTCACTGCATTGCATCAATTGAAGTGCAGGTTCTGATCTGTAGGCCCAGGGTGGTACCTGTGATTCTACATACTCAAAAGCATCCAGGTGAATTGACAGCAGGGGACTGGAAGCATTCAGTCCCAGGGGTGCTGGAGCGTTTCCCTTAGACCCACAGCTCTCTTTTCCTTCCTTCTCCAGGTGTGTGTTGGGAAACACTACCATCCTGGCTGAGTTTGCCACTGATGATGAAGTTAGCCGCTTTCTAGCACAAGCTCAGCCCCCTACACCTGCAGCAACCCCAAGTGCACCAGCCACGGGGTGGCAGTCGCTGGAGACCGGCCAGAACCAGTCAGACCCTGTAGGACCTGCGCTGAACCTTTTCGGTGGGTCCACTGGGCTTGGGCAATGGAGCAGCAGTGCTGGTGGCAGCAGCGGGGCTGATCTTGCTGGCGCTTCGTTGTGGGGGCCCCCAAACTATTCTTCTAGCTTGTGGGGAGTCCCAACTGTGGAAGATCCCCATAGGATGGGCAGCCCTGCTCCTTTACTACCTGGTGACCTTCTGGGAGGAGGGTCGGATTCAATCTGAACTTAGAACTTTCAACTCTGACCTCGTGACCTTTTTTGGAACAGCAGCAGCACTAACTTGACCTTTTCGTTTTTTTTTTCAACTTGCAATAAATACATTTTTAAAAGGAAAAAAGAAAACGGAGAGAGGAAAAAAAAAAAGGTGGGTCATTGACAGACTGTCTGAGCACATAGTTGCCTCCCTTATAACTTCAGTTTTTTCGTTTGGAATATGAATCCAAAAAGAGAACATATCACTCTTGAAATACTTGAATCATGAACGCCAACCTAGAAAGACAATGTGAAGCAAGTACACATACCATTTAAATTTAAACACAAAAAAAAATTAAAAAAATTAGTTTCTAGTTTTTCACTTTTTTCATGTTATATGGAAGTTGTTGCTAAGAAACATATATACTGAAAAAAAAATAGCTTTTTAACTTTGTTTGCACTGGGTGTGTTTCCGTCCTTAGGTCTACCATGTTTGGGAGGGAGGGAAATTCAAAAGAATTGTTGGGGGAGGGGGGAGGGAAGACTTGACGGAGCCTCACTTTAAAAACAAAAACACAAAAAACCTAAAAAAAAAAAAAAAAAAAAAAAGGAAAAAATTTGTGATTGGCTGGTTGATAAATACCAGTGTGTTCTGGCACATGTAACTGCCCAGGCATGCTTGTTCTGGTATGTGTGTGCACGTGTGTTCATGTGCATTCGCGTGCATCCTCCTGTCTCTGTGTGTGTGCCTGCGTCCCACCCTCCTCCTCCCACCCCACCCTCATTTCTCAAAAAGCTGCATTGCTGACAGTCTGCAGGCTGGCTGGCCGGCCACCCGCTTTTATTTTATTTTTTAAACTATGAGAACACACAAGCACAGGGAGCTACTGCAACTGAAGCCACTCCGTCAGGCTGCATTGAGACGAAGAGTGCTTTTTCACGATGAGAGCAGGGAGCTCCTTTCCACTTGTGCATTAGCCTGAGAGTGAGATTCTCTAGCTTTCCTCTTGACCTAGCAGTAGAGCGGAGCACTGCCAAGTCCAAAAATCAGAGAGCAGGAGGTACCTCTTGGAGCAGCTGTGTGTTCAGTCTGTTTTTTAAAAGTGAATGGCCACTAGGCACACCTGAGCATCTGTTAAATTTCATGCAGGTCCTTTTTGTTAGTTTGAATGGGAACAGACTATCAGATAGTTTTTAGATTATGTGATGTCTCAAAAGCAGAAAATTTGTGTTCCCTCTTTCCTGTGTGAGCAGGTGTGAGAAATTTATCAAAAAAAAAAATCAGGTAATGCTGAATTGAATATTTCTATTGGTTCTCATTTTCATTTGACGAAAACAGTAAGTTGTGAGCAGCCTCCTGGAAGCATCGCAGCTCCTCCCCCTCTGCTCCTCTCTCGCTGAGCGTTACCTGTGCCAGGCCATGGCGTGTTACAGCACCAGGCCATCACTGACAGAGACGTTTACTTAACGAATGTTCTTAAACCAGTGTGTACTTCAAGCGTTTCCCTTTGTTTCTCTGTGTTGTGTATTTCCTGTGTATGTGGTTTTGCTTAGGCAGGAATAACTTAGCAAAGACTTAAGTATTGCACCTTTTTTTTTTGGTTTTGACCTCTTTTTTTCTTTTTCTCTTTGTAATGTTGCTTTTTTAATTTCTGTATTTAAAGACTTTTTTCTTTTTTTTTTAAGCATCAATGTAGTAGTACTCTGGGCCGAACAGGGGGCAACGTTTAATCCACAGTTACCACCAACATGTATGTGCTATGTTGAAATCAAAGTATATCAAACTGCTTGTTGTGAAGAGTGACAGCGGACCTGAGGGTACCCCTTTATACAAAACAGGTGGGGGTTGTGGGGAGGGGGACACGTGCTGGTGACAAACTAGCACTTGTGTGGACGCCCCAGTCTGCATCGTACTGTTCAACATAAAGTGCCGACATTCTGTACCAGCAGATACCTGCCCATTCCAGCCCTTGGTGGGAGCAGACCTCTACTGTCCTCTGTAACTTGCTGCTTTCAAGGGAGTCTTTCTTTCTTTCTTTAGCATCTTCAGTGAAGGACACAACAATGCCTGATGCATTTGACTTTCGGTCACGTCTGTGTAGGTGGGTGGATGGGTGTGTACAGGAAAAGGCAAAAAAGTTATTTGCATGTAAGTGGTTTTTGTGAGACAAAGAATGGGAAATTCTGTAGTCCTGTTGGCATACTCTGTTGATGACAAACCTAGCCTCAAAAGAGATTGACAGGCATAAGTCAAGTGAGCGCTTGCATGAGCCAGTCCGCAGGAAGCCCTTTGCGGGTGGGTGTTCGCACTTGAGTTTGCAGCGCTGGTTTGATCCCACGAATGCCTTGTCCAAACTGACTGTGCCCTCCTCCTGCTCTCCTGTTTCCATCACCACCGTGCCCCTCTCGCCTCTGCCCCGACCATGCGTCTCCTTCCAGCCCCACTGACTGCTCTCCATGTTGGAGCAGAGCCCTGTCACGTGTGGTGACCTCCAGGTGAAGCACAGCTTGTGTTCATACATCTACAAACAGAAGGCTAAATCTTAGTGTCCCTGGGCCAGGAGCTTGTCCCGAGGCTCCTGAGAGCCAGTGGGGACTATCCACTGCCTCTCTTGGTTCACGGCTGTGTCCTGCCCTGCCCTCTTCTCCTCCTGCCTGTTGGGTCCTTGACCTGCACTATGGCTTAGTTGAGTTCCTTACGATACTACGGTGAAAGCCGGGTGCTAGAGCCCCTCTTGTTTACAAGACATAAATGAGGGATTTGAAATATGTAAAAATAAACATGAGAAGCTAAAATGTTCTTCCATCATAAGCTTAAAGGGAAAAAACTAAAAACTTAAAAAAAAAAAAAGACCAAAAAGTGCGTATATATATACATACATATATATACATATAAATATATATTTTAGATGAAGACTAACTCTGGGAGCATTTAACAGTGTTTTTTGTTTTTGTTTTTAACATTTATTTTCCTGCTTTAAAATTTGCAAGCATTCTCAGGAATTCTAGGGTAGGAAGCCAGTTTTTTGAAGATGGTTTATTTAACCGTATCTTATCCTAGATAGATGGCTGTTTCTTTCCTGTTAATAAACTTTTACAAGTTCCTGAAACTTCAAAAAGTTTAAACAATTTTTACTTAAAAAATTGTAAAAAGAAAAGTCTCCAAACATTATTGTCATACTGGGGATCATACATTTTAAAACATATAGAAAGAAATATTTTTTAAAAATTACCAATTTAGCAGCAACAGGTAAATTCATTATCTTAAAAAATATGGGAGAAGGATTAAGAGCACCTTCACGGACTATTTGAAATCGCGTGTAATGTAATAGGGAGTGTTTGCAGAGTGGGGATGCCGTCACCTCATTCCTTTCCCTGTAAGGCTGAACTGGAACCTCCCCGAGCCATTTTAATTTTTTCAATGGAACCCTTCTCCCTGTCCCTTCAACCCCAGCAACAAAAGAAAGAAACAACAGCTTTAAAAATAAAATAAGAGTAATTCTAATCTGTAAAGTAGTACGGTTGGATTGCTGAGAATCTATGTAAAGAGTTAGGAAATATAGGTTAATAATTTTTGGAACAAATTTTAAACATAGGCATTACTAGAGGAAATTATATATGGACTGTTCTATTAATGAAGAATGTCTGTCTCACCTCTGTTTGTCATGGGAAGAGGAGGAGAAAATATAGAAGAATCTAATAAGGAACAAGTGATTTTACTTTCTTAGCTCCCAGCTACTGTTGTACTTGTTTTAATTGCTGTTTTGACGATCTGCTGCTTAATTATCTCCCTCCCTCCTCAGAGATCTGGAGTGTTTCCTTTCAGTTTTGGATGTTGAGTTCTTCTTTCATATCCTTTCTGGGGCCAGGGGTCAGCATTCCCAAGCATGACCACAGCTTCTTTCAAACGTTAAGCTTCGCGGTGGGAAGGAGACTCTGGCTCCACAGGGAAGGGAGTGGGTGGGTCGCTGCCTGCAGTGTCTCCAAAGCCGCTTTAGTGCCTTCGCTCACACACCCAGACATCCCAGGCAGGGGACACGAATGTGCCCATGGTCCAGTCCCTCCACAGCCCATAGGATGCTTGCCCAGGAAGGTGATTAGAGTGGTCCTAAACAGGACCCAAAGGCAGTGGGCTAAATTCAACAGATGAACAGAAATCAAGGAAGCTAAATAGGCTTTTATGTTGTGATATGTGGAATGCCAAGTTCCTTCCTCGTGTGTGTGCCCTCCCTTGCCCAGCGTAGACTTCTCCAGGTGTGTAATGGTTACTGCTCCTGCGATGGGGAAGGTCTCTGTACTGGGCCAGTGGAAGGAGGTTCCTGTTTTTCTGCTTCTGTCTTCTGCCTACCCGCCCTTTGTCACCTTGCTGAAAGGTTTGCTTTATTGGTTGGCAGTGACCTAAGAACAGGTTATGGTGAGGGTATCATTAAAGAGGAAAGCTCTTTTCTTTTCATGGTATTTTTTGGCAAGAGCCATGTCTACCAAGAAGTTAGGTGGCTTTGGTGTACTTAGAAAATTCAGTGGGTGTGTCTTCTTTTCCAGCACATTCTGGCATATATACCGAGGCCACCCTCATTTCATAGATTTTACTTTGTACACATTTTGGACATGTAAGCATGAGTTTTCCATTTTGTAGTAGTGTTTTTTGTTGTTTTTTGTTTTGTTTTTTAAACATTTGATTGCTAGAGTGGCTGGAAGTGTGTATATCTCTTAAACATCACAAACTTGGTTTCTGTCTACCATATGAGTAGCCAAAAGAAAAACAAAGTGTGAAATAGGGAAAGGGTTGTCTTCCATCAGACGGGGGCCTCTGCTGCCAGTGAGAATCCAGTGCCATGACCCCACTTCAGGTGTTGAAAATCTCAGTTCTCTGCAACCCTGGGAAGAAATTATAACACCTCCGTCTCCTTCATCCCTGTCCCTACAAGTGTTCCGTTCACAACGCTCATGAGAGAGGACTTAGCAGTGCTTCAAGTGAAGATTCCAAACCATGGGTTCAGTCCCTAGCACCACACAGAAAGAAATATTCCAAACCACATTCTTTCATCAGCATTGTCCTTGTCCCCTTCCTTCCCTTTTCCACATCAGCCACTTATTGCCCAGTTAGTTTCACTTTAGCAGCTGATGTTCAGTTACTATGGCTGCTGTTCTAAGAATTTCCCCAACTCTTCTGACACGAATGTAGCCTAAGTAAATGGTTCTTCCACACTCCTGTGGTTTGAATGTGCTATATAAGGTGTGCAAGGGAAGGAGAAAGACACAAGAAATTCCTGCCTAAGAATTTGGAAGCACCTTTATTAACATGTCTATAAGAAACTAAAAGTTCACAGACTTTTAAGAGCAAATATTCCTTTCACTTTCACCCTTTTCATGGAGGGGGTGTGGTTTTGTGGGTTAGCAGCCAGATTCCATTTGAATCTCAGATGCTGGATCCTTTTTCATCTTATTTTTCGTATAGTGTCATCTTGACTCTAGTATCTGTGTGCTGAGCAAAATGCTCAGTCTAGCAAAGCCTGTTTCCTTCCAAGTGTAAACGGGGTGTTTTCAATAGACTTGGCTTAGTAGCCGTTTCTAAGGTTAGGGCACAACTGAGTCCTGTATAGCAAAGGTCTCATTCTAGCTGGGCGCGGTAGCACACCTGTTATTCCAGCAACTCGGGAGGCTGAGGCAGGAGGATTGCAAGTTCTAGGCCATTCTTAGCAACTTAACGAAACCCTGTCTCAAAATTTTAAAAAGGACTGGAGAGTAGCTTAGTGGAAGAGGGGCCCCTGGGTTTAATCCCCAGTTCCTTCCCCCACCACAAAAAAAAGTTCCATTTTTCTCCATCCACATAGTTTAAATTCAGCATATAAAGCTTTGTTGTTTAAGGGTTTGAGTTTTTAGTTTTATTTTGTTTTTTGTTAAGATCTTCAGCTAAGAGTAGTCTTTTGTTTTTTGTTTTTGTTTTTCCGGTGCTGGGGATTGAACCCAGAGCTTTGTGCATGTGAGGCAGGCACTTGACCCCCTGAGCTATAGCCCCAGCCCCCAGGAGTAGATATTTTTAGCTGGTCAAAAAACAAATCAATCTTTTTTCTCCAGTGTTTTTGCCAAGTTTTGTCATATTTCATGTCTGTGCGTTAACTATACTACTTAGAAAGAAGTCTAATTCTGCGATGATGATTTTCCTCCTGCAAGAGTAAAACTAAGGCCACTGATGGTGCAGATAAGAATTTTGTATTGTCTGTCTTTAGACCTCATTCACAAAAATAGGGTGCCCTGTAGCCCTGCTGCACACCAGGCTGTGCCCCCTTTCTGTCTTGATCTATAAGAATATCAACAATCTCGAATATTATTTCCATGTCCAGAGTTGTGCACACAATATGATATGATCTGTAGGCTTATGGCCAGTGCCAAAGGCATGTGAAGGTCCCCATTTGTCCAGTGATAGTGTTTTCTTCTTTTAATTTTGACACGGGCTATGGTGGTATCACATTCTTTAGATTTGAAATATTTGTTGACTTCAAAAACCTATGGATATAGTAATAGCTTAATAAAAACTGAGCATCAATCCTCCCTAAACTGCCCACATACCTCCCCACCTCCTACCCTACTCTGCCAAAGGAGGCCATGAACATCTACAGGGCTAAGAAGCAGGAATGCTGGGCAGAGAGTGGAGAGTAGCTTCCCCACTAGCCAAGCATCCACATGTGATCACTTGGACTAGGTCCTGAGAGATTATGAAGTATTTCTAATGTTTGAGTTGTTTTTGTTTTAAACTGTCAATCTCATGCTGTCACCCAGAAAACCACCCCTTACCCTCCAAAAAAGTAGCAAACTGACAGAAACTGCCAGTGTTTGCTTCACAGAATTTAAATAGTTCCCTTTTCGGTCAGCCGCACACCTGGATTTGCTTTTAACAAGACACTGCATGCCAGGAACTCCCTCTCCAGAGGGTCTCTGCAAGGCTCAGTCATTGATTCTTCATTGTGGCAAACACTTGTCCTTTCATGGGAGGACAAAGGTCAAATAAATGCAACAGACAAGAAGTTGTCTGTGAAAACAGTGTTTCCCTGAAGCAGTGTGTGCCTCCTGAGTCATTGCTTTGGAAATAAATTCCCTATTACGATTGGTCCAGTCCAGCCAGCATTGTTATGTTGTGACAGATTTTTCAAAAAGAGTAATTCTTTTGTCCTGCTTTCCTTTCCCTTCATACTGACTTCCTAGACCTCCTGGTGAACTAGGCATTCCTCCTTGGGCACTGAAAGGTATACCCCACTCTGGGGGTGGGAATGGGTGGTAAAGAACTGGAGGCTGTGAGGAAGAGCGGACTCACAGAGGAAGGCAGTAGATTACCAAATGTGAAAAGAGGATTTATGCAAAACAAAGCAAAAACCTCAAGAGCCCTTCAAGAAGTCACATGCCTTGTAAAGGTAGTGTGGTTTTTTGTTGTTGTTTGTTTTTCTACAAGTGATGCATTTTAGCCTGACACTTGCCAGAAATTTCGGGTTAAGTTAGCATAAATGTGTTTAAAACACCACCTCCTCCATTCCCTTTTAGTTTTGTCCCAGAAAGCACTCAAGTGAAGTACCTCTGAATGTGCCTTGGTGAGTTCAGAGACCGTCTCTCTGAGGTAGAGGCCACCCATTGTGGTGAACACAGAAAGACGGTCATCGGTCAGCCCGGTCTTTGGGGCAGCAGAGTTCTCTGGAAGCCCTGGGGCAGCTGTTGAGCTTTCGTTAGCATCAGTGTTGCACATGTAGTTGTGTCGAAGAGATTCTGGGGCTCTGGAGAGGAGGGGATGAAGTGCAATTGCACAAGTGACAGAGGCCCGGGTTAGTCCGAGAGTGCAAGTTTGGTTTTGGTATCTGAGTTCCCTAGTTTTCTCTGTGTGTGTGTGTGTGTGTGTGTGTGTGTGTGTGTGTACACACGCATGCATGCTTGTGACTGTTTAATTTCTTGTGTTTCCGTAACCATGGAGAGTTGGAGTACGGTGACATGTGTGACGCATTCATTCATGCATGTGAAGAAGGCATTTTCTGGCTGGCTCCTGCGTGTGCAGCTCAGGCTTTACGTTTACCCTTATTTACCCTTTCATTCTGTGTCCTGAGAAAGTCATTGTTTTCCCCAGTGGAAGTCCCATCATCTTGCCATTTATGCACACAGGGTATTGCACACAAGGAAAAAGGTTTTGAAAGAGTTAAGATTGAAGTTTGTGAGAAAGAAAAGGAAAATTTGAAGTCATGTTTTATTTCTTCAGCAATTATTATAGTTAAACATAGAAATCTGCAGTGTCTCTTTATTTGTTCTGATGTTTTCAACAATTCCACCTCTTCTCCCCACTCCTATCTTCTAAAGAAATACCAAGTGGATGCTAAGGGCCATTCCCACAGTTCCTCACAGCTCCCCCACAGAGGAAAGCAGTCACTAGATTCCTTCAGGAAGACAAAGGGAGGAGGGGAGCCTGGCTTTCTTGCTTCACTCTCATTCCTCTCTGATGGCCTTGAAATGTATTATTATGCAAATGTGAATTTTGATACTGAACTTAAGAAGAGGTTGTTGGATTTTTTTTTCTTTTTTCAAAAAAAAAAAAGGTCCATATGTGGTCATCATTGCTTCTTTATTTTGTAACGTGAATTGTAACTATGCATTCTGCAAAAGGGGGGAGGAGGGCAGAGGGGAAGAGGGTTGCTTTGAGTCCTTGTTCTCCAGTTTCTGTGTCCATGGTATCCCCACATCATGGAGGGAGGGGGAGTGAGAGAAGATGCGCCAAGGTTGCCACTGTGGGATCGAAAGAGACCTGAGGCCTCTTGCCATGGTTGGCAGGTCAGATGACCAGGCACATTCAGGGGGCCTGTAGCTCCTAACCACCAGTATGGTACAGGATCCCTGATCCTAGCCGTGCAGTGTTAATCCAGGGAAACTGGGACCCCAAAGGCTCCAGTGTTCTCTGGACAAAGAAGTCTCATCCTTTCCTGAATCCAGAACCCTTCAGCTCAGGAAACCATGCCTCCCTTGTGCTGATCTGTCAATTCAAAAATGCTTCCTCTTCTCCTTTTTAATTTCTCTCTTCTTTTTTAATCATTGTTAAGTGAACTTATTCTTAATTATGAGGGAACTGCCCTCCTCTGTGAGGAAGAGGGCTGTTGCCTGCTGTTGCTTGGCAGGCAAGAAAAGATTCTCTTCCCCAACTGCTGTCCTACAGTCAGATGGAATCTCTCTGCTTCCCCCTGCATTTATGATGCTGTTCCTATGGTGAGCAGTGAGTGAGTGACATGGGAAGGCCTGCGTAGTCCTCTTCTTAGTTCTAACAGAATTCCTTTGATCTTGCCTGTGATACATCATGGCACCTGCACTGCTCTGGCCTAGGCATTATTTGCAGCACACACTATCATAAGCAAGAGATAGTTCGGCCTGTATTCAGTGTTTTCCATGCAGCAACTTTTGTTGTTGATGTTCACAGTACTGTAACGAGTAGCAGACTTGATCAGTCTCCTCGTGCCGGTGCAGGACTGCATAGGCATGACCTTATCAGGGTTTCGCTCTGCTAGATTGCCTTTAAACAAAAAACAGATCCCGACGTTTCAACTGTCCACACAAAACTATACCTCGAGGTACAGTGCCCCTGCAATGGAAACCCTTAACTCCTGTCTCCTTTCTGACATTGGTGAGTTATTCTTTATAAAATATAAATGTGTAAATAGCAGGATAACCTTAAAAACATTCTTTGCTGTGAAAGTAACCCTAAAATATGATATTTTCCATACTAAGCCATCAAAAGTCTCAGATCTGAATCCTTTCATGTTTAAGAAGCAAAGACAGAGCAGGTCAGTAGAATGAATCTGTTTCCAGGTGGAGCTGTGTCTGTCGCTCTGCCTCACAGTGACCGCAGACCAGTGTCCAACCCTGTCTTCTTAACTAGCTGCCATCTGTTCCAGTATCCCAGCACTGGGGTGGGGGTTATGTGGATTTCTCTGGAAGATCTGTCCTGTCCTAGGACTCCAGAGGGTTTCTAGGCAAGACTTTGGGTACACACACACACCTTGGATATCACTCTGTAGTTCACAAGGGGATTTAATCCCAGGCATTTCAGTCATATTCTTGTCAGATTGTGATGCTTTTGAAATGTATGGATTTCTTAGAAGGAAACTCATCTAAGGAGACAATGCTAACAACCTTGAAGGCCGTGCGCATCTTCAGATCTTCCTCCTTCCATCAGAGTTGAGGGAAATACCTTTTAACACCAAGCTCATAGGACTCTTGTCAGTTACTAGCTTCCTGGATTTGGGTCCCCATGAGACAGGGTTGGATTGGATCCTGTTGAATGGCTTCTTTACCCCCACCCCAGCTCTTAGTAAACTGTTGAGAAACCCTTTCTAGTGTGCTCTCCCTGGACTTGCTTAGTGACGACTCCTCTGAGGAAGAAGCTGGATGATAAGTACATGTTCATTCTCCACCCACCTTCTGATTCGGGTTCTGTCAACTTGGAATTCTCCTTCTGTTGTTACCTGGAGGCCCTTACCTACCAGTCTCCTTCTTCTGATCCTTATGGGTTCTACCTGCCTTTCTGCCCTTCTCTGATGCTCCCAAAGGGCTTTGCTGATCTCCACACCTCTTTCCTGGGACACCTCCCCACTACCACCCTTTGCACACACCAGTGACCAAAGTGTACACAGTGATCTCAGAAGACAACAAAATGGTGCACGCTCCTGAATGTGCTCCCAGAGACACGTGCACAAGACTCTGCACCCTTGGCCTTAATCTCAGCACGACTTAAGGTGCAGGAACATTTTTAACAAGTTTAAAAAAAAAAACTGGGAGGGAAATAAAGCAGATATAACAGCTAACCACGCCCACTCCTGACTCCCCACAATTTGCTGACAACTTCACATTCTGAATCTGCCCCATCCCATCCCTGTTTTGCGTAACCAAAAACAGACAACAAAAGCAATCTGAGGAGAGGTTTCTTGACTATTTTTATCTTTCTCCCTTTCGATGGAGATATAAATGCTGCTTGGGTTCCATAATCCTAGGGGGCTATGTTTACATAGTGAAATACATCCTACCAAATCAGGAAACAGTGAATAGTGGAAGTCACTTCAGTGAGGAGTCACTGAGGGTGAACCTGAGACATCAGAGGATCTGGGGGTGTGGCTGAGGAGGAGAGGCAGAGAGGTATCACCAAATCTCCTTGTGACATGGGCTCCCTCCTTCCCTCCTTCACAGCTCTCCTTGCCCCCTTTAAACAGAAGGTGCAGAGAAGGCATCAAAAGGAGGCTGGATTTTTTAAGAGGCAGCTTTCCAACTTTGCACACAAACAGGTAACAGAAGGTACAGCAAAAAAAAAAAAAAAAACCTCTCATCTGAAACACTCAGCAGAAACAAAACCTGTCAAAAGGACTAAATAGCTGCACATATTGATGCTCTCTGCAAGTTACCTATAAGTGTTTTGTTTTTCTTATACTTGAAATAGCTTTTACAATATTATTTTGGTGGCTTTCTTTTCTCTCTTCAGATGGGCAATAGAGAAAGAGGATGATGGGATTTAAGGACACTTGGGGGAGAAAAGGGAGGACATGGCATTGTCTTTTTTATTAAATAGAGGTTTAATCAAACTCCCATATGTTGACATTGCTCCTCGTGTTACTGGTTTTACATGGACACAGAAACTAGGCACTTTAGAGGTGCACTTGCACAGCAGGCTGGGCCCCCCTTTTCTATATTTTATTTTACTTTTTTAGTATAGTGGTACTTAAAATCACTGGTTCACTTAAAAACAATAAAATGTTAAACTCTACTAATGTACAAATAAGCTGAAAAGTTGCATTTTATGTGTATTTTTTGCCATAGCAGGTACTGTATTTCTCATGCTGGATTTCAAAAAAAAAAAAAATATATATATATATATATGTGTGTGTGTGTATATATATATATATCAAAAACAAAAAAAAACTGAAGGGTGGTGTTTTATTGGATTGTGACAGGTTGAGTAATAAGGAATTTAAGTCGTTGTCATTTCATTAAAACTGAGAGATGATGTAATGCATATATGAGAGTTTTCTGAAGGGTTTTTTTTGGGCTTTTAAACAGCTTATTTTTGTTTTTGTTTAGTTTTTTATTTTATTTTATTTTGGAAAGATATGATTGTATTATGTGCAACTCAGTTGCTTACATTATAACTACAAAATATTTTTGGGTTCCTGGAAAAAAAAAAAAAGAAAAAAGACTAATAAATGTGTTTGGCTGCTAAGCATTTACTATTGTGGTTTCCTGTTTTATTCTGCCAGTTTAATTTCCTCCTTTGTTGAAAGTTTTATCATTTTTCCCCCTCCTCTTCTTGTCTCTCCCTGCTCCATATATAAAAGCTTTAAATTTGGGCCTCAAATTTGTCCATTTTGTCTTGCTGTGTGGTATTGTTAGGTTGATGTCGGACTGGTGGGTCCATTTGTGCTGCTTGCTGCCTGCCCTGGTGCTGTGACCTGCCACAGTGCAGGGTTCAGGTTCTGTAAAAGAAATTCAGGTTCTCCTGCCTTTGACTGTTGTCTGTTGAATTCCAATTTGCATTTGGTGGGAGAACACTAAAGTGAAGGAGAGAAGATTCCGCCTCCTGCTGCAGCTGTGCCCAGGGACTAACCAGCCAAGTGGCTTTGTCCAGAAAATGCCATGCTGAGCCCCCCTCCGCCCTGTGCTGGGTGCTGCAGAACTGCTGAAGAGCACCACCTCAGCTGTTGGGCCAGGTTTTCCTGTCTCCATGTCTCTTGTTTGTTGCCTCTAGAATAGAAAAAGGAATGCATAAGAATTGATCCCCCCCCCCCCAATTCCTAGGTACTTTTGTATCTGATTTAATTCTCAGAATGGTGCATGAGGTAGACATGGCAAACCCTTTTCATCAGGAAGCTGAAGCTTCAAATGATTTAATTAGCCAATAACAGGCAACACTGAGTGCTCACTATGAGCTGGGGCGTGCTCCAGGCACATGCTCCTGGTTTAACTGAAGCTCCTCTCCACTGCTATAGGCGTGACCATAATAGGAACCCAGGTGGCATTCAGAAGTCATGCTGGCCCATGCCTATAATCCATTAACTTGGAAGGCGAGGGCAGGAAGACTGCATGTTCGAGTCACGCTTGGGCAACTTAATGAGACCTTGTTTTAAAAAAGTCACTGGGGCTGGAGGTATAGCTCAGTGATAGAACACAGTCTTAACGTGTGTGAGTTCCTAAATTCAATCTCCAAGCACCACCAAAAAAAAAAAAAAAGTTGATATTATGTAAAAATGCCTATGCTGAAAAACACCTGGATATCAGAGAAGAGGTTTAAGGAAATTATTATACAAACTGGTAGGCTATGTTCCATTCAATTCTTTCATCTTAAAAGAAGTAAATACTGGGGAATGTGGACAAGAAAAGATGACTATATATTCAAAAACACTTTTGGAGCCTGCCAGTCCTAGGTATGTGCTCTTTTATTATAGTATAGAGATCAGCACAAAAATAAGGCCTTCGTCGTTACCAAAGGCTTTATTTTAGTTTTGGATATTTTCAAAATGTATTAGTGGCTAAGGAAGAAGGTATTCTAGAATTAAAGATGGTTGTTAAAAGACTTTAGTATCTGAATCAGTCTTTCTCCGTGACCACATGGAAAAATCCATCTTACCACCTTGGGTTCTTAGCGACTTTGTCCAGACCTCGCCAGCCACACACGCCCCAAATTGCTCCCCACCATTATCAGTAATTTCAGCATCCTTGACCATGGCCTCTGTCCGCCCAGCTGGTTCCTACTCCTATTGGATGGCTGCTTTGACTTCATTGACTATTCCTTCTAATCCAGTTTAGACTTCATAGTCCATAATTCCAATAACCTGCTGCTAATATTCATAAATTCCAGCAGGGTGTGCTAGTGCACACCTGTAATCCCAGCAGCTCAGCAGACTGAGACAGGAGGATAGCAAGTTCAAAGCCAGCCTCAGCAACTTAGTAAGACCCTGTCTCAAAAAAGGGCTGGGGATGTATGTAGTTAAATACCCCTGGGTTCAGTCCTTGGTGCCAAAATAATAATTATCTATTATTATTATACACACACATTTTGCCCCCATAAATTCCTCTGCCACTCTGTTTTGTTGATGTGACAAAATCCCCACTTTGGGGATTCTATTCTCTACAAGCATGCAAAAGCAGCCCAACATTGCTGAGAGAAAAGTCTCTACAGGGCAAATAAGGACTCCTTAAATTCTCTATAACCCACAACCAGGTGGCCTGGCAAGTGTCCTGTGCTCATCTGATCAGCTTGCTCCTTGCTCCCCCTCCTTTAAGACCTTTTCTTCCAGGCACTGGCATGCACCTGTAGTCCCAGCTACTCTGGAGGCTGAGGAGGGAGAGGTCTTCAGCCCAGGAGTCCGAGGCCAGGCTGGACAATGTAGTGAGGCCCCAGTCTCAAAACAAAAGAGACCTTTCCTGATTTCAAATCTTAAACCCCATGCTCCTTCAGCTGAGGATTTTGCCCACCAATACATGGGGGAAAACAGAGGTCTAAGTGTAATTCCCTGAAATTTTTGTAAACCCTAAGCAGATATGTCTCCCTTCCTCATGCTAGTCCCTCCTCTAGTGTTTGGAACCCTTCTCTTCCTGCTCCCTTGGGTTCCTGTCACCTCCTTGTCCCCTTTCCCCTCACTGTTCCCCTGGGGCCTCCTGCCCATAGAGGTGCCCCTCCCAGGTTACAACACTGCCTATGAGCACAGGTGCTGGACCTGCCTTGCCAGCCACTGTCTCATCTTAACTCCGTCTGGTTCCTGCCCCTGCCATTCCTCTGTGCTCACCACAAATCCTGGCTTTCCATCTGCTCTCCAACATGTTTCTCTGTCTCCTGTGTCTTGTGCTTTGGTCCCCTTGTGTCTGTCCCGGAGCCATTGGGTCCCACCAGTGCTCAGACCAGGCCCTCCTATTTTTCTCTCTTCCAAGAGTCTAGATGATGCCATCCACATTCCTTTTTTCTTTTTCCTCAGATTGTGTACCCCTCTGGGCTCTGTCCTAAACTTCCTGTGTTCCCGTCCTGTTGCTCCCCTTGGAGGCTTTCACCCTGCCCTGTATTTTTGTTTTTGTTTTTTGTAGTTGTACAGAATGCTTTTATAATTTTATTTGTTTATTTTTATGCGGTGCTGAGAATCGAACCCAGTGCCTCACGCATGCTAGGCAAGTGCTGTGCCGCTGAGCTACAGCCCCAGCCCCCAGCCCTGTATTTTAAAGTACACTGTTAATACCAATTCTGCACAAGTTTATCTTCAACCCAGACGTTTCTACTCTCCTGTCTATCCAACTACCTAACTGCCTGTTTCTAAGACTAATGGACAAATTGCTTCACCCTCCTGGTCAAATCTACTCCTCCCATCCATTTTACCCTTCACAGCTCACCTTATTTATTCAAACCCACACCTCCATCAGGAAGCCTGTGCCACCAGGCTGAGGAGGGAGAAGTCTTCAGCCCAGGAGTCCGAGGCCAGGCTGGACAATGTAGTGAGGCCCAGTCTCACTACATGTCATGCATGTGGATCCACAAACGTGTCTCACCGCCACCAACTCAGGTCCCACTCTATGCTCACCTGGACCAATACAGCGTTATCCGTTCTCTTCCTCTTTACCCCAGGCTAGACTGTTCCCTGCATAACAACCAAACTTAGGCATGTGCTTACCCTCCATGGACATCTCTTGAAATGCAGACTCCACACTACTGTCTACAAATCCCCAAGCTGCTAACTCCCTCTAAGCCCACTCAGCACAGGCCCCCTGAGCCTTCCTTTTTCCCAGTGACACCAAAATCCTGCCCACCTCATGGCCATTATCCTTGTTCCTCTGTCCCCCACACCATGGCCTAATCTCTGACCAAATAGGAAGCCTCACTTGGTTATTCTGTCAAAAACTAGCTGTTGGGGCTGGGGTTGTGGACAGTGGCAGAGCACCTGCCTAGCATGTGTGAGGCACTGGGTTCGATCCTCAGTACCACAAAAAATAAAAATAAAAAAATAAAGTTACATCAACAACTAAAGAATATTTAAAAACAAACAACAACAACAAAAAACTGTTACCACCTCCAACTATCCTAAGGAACTCTATGCTCTTGTCCTCGTTGATTTTCTTCACAGAACTTATCACTATCGCCAGGCGTGGTGGCACACGCATGTAATCCCAGCGGCTTGGGAGGCCAACAGGAGGATCATGAGTTCAAAGCCAGCCTCAACAACAGTGAGGTGCTAAACAACTCAGAACCTGTCTCTAAATGAAATACAAAATAGGGCTGGGGACGTGGCTTAGTGGTTGAGTGCCCCTGAGTTCAATCCCTAGTAACCCCCCTCCAAAAAAAGAAAAAAAACCCTGATGACTGTAAAATTACCTTTCTTATTATTCACCTCCTTTACTGGGATTACAGGAATGTGCCACCATGCTTGTTGTTTTTTGTTAGTTTGTTTTTGTTTTGTTTTGTTTGGTGCTGGAGACCACAAAACCACTAGTACCAAAAGGAGCAGAGTTTATCTATAATAAACTGCGTGTGTTATATCCAGCCCTTACCTTTGAGTTCCAGACCTGTGTATGTAATTGTCTACTCACCATTTGGAAGCATTTGGATACCCTGCAGACTCAGTAAGTTCTAAACAAAATTTGGTCCTGCCTGCTTGCCCTGCCTCACCCTGAGGTAGCTGGCCTCACTAAGCATAATGTACCCAGTAATAAACATGAAGAACCTGGAATCACCCTTGATTCTTCCTCCTGTACTACCTGAGACTCTTTCCTTTTTTTGGCCCTTGTCCAAGCTAGGCCACCCACACCAATAGGTCTTACTGAACTCACTGCATTAGCATAGCTTATTTCTCACATCCAGCAAGTCCAGTTCCCTGTCCCTATTTTTTTTTTTCCCTAGTGCTAGGCATTTAAGCCAGGCTTTGCACAACCAGGTAAGTGCTCTGCTACTAAGCTATGTCTCCAGCCCCCTGCCCCATCCATTCTTTTTTTGGGGGAGGTGGTCCCAGGGATTGAACTCAGGAACACTCAACCACTGAGCCACATCCCCAGCCCTATTTTGTATTTTATTTGGATTAGAGACAGGGTCTCACTGAGTTTCTGCCTCACTGTTGCTGAAGCTGGCTTTGAACTCAAGATCCTTCTGTCTCAGCCTCCCAAGCCGCTGGGATTACAGGCATGTGCCACTATGCCTTTTTTTTTTTTTTTTTTCCTGGTGCTGGGGATGAAATTCGGGGGCACTAGACCACTGAGCCACATTCTCAGCTCTATTTTGTATTTTATTTAGAGAGATGGTCTTATTGAGTTGCTTAGGGCCTTTGCTAAATTGCTGAGGCTGGCTTTGAACTTGTGATCCTCTTGCCTCAGCCTCCCAAGCCACTGGGATTACAGGCGTGTGCCACTGCATCTGGCTTCCATTCTTTTGTTTTGTTTTCAATGTACATAGACTACATTGATACCCAGGATGATGTTTTTCCAAAACAAATCTGTGGTGGTCATCCTTCACTCTAAAGCCTGTTAGTGGCTTCTTGATGCTTAGAATAAAACTTCAAATATCCTTATTTCCAACAAAGTTCTTGTCTGACTTCCATCTACTTCCCTAAATTCACCTCTTGCTCTTACCTTTGTCCTTTGTACTCCAGTCTCATGGTATCCTATTGCCTAGTTCAAGGTGAGACCTTGAACTCACATATACACTTTGGTATATGTATCTTGGAATAAATGGTCCTAATGAGTAACAGGATATTACGTCAAGAATTTGAAGTCAGATCAGGTGTGGATGTGCACACCTTAATCCCATTGATTGTGGAGACTGAGGCAGAAGATAGCAAGTTTGAGCCCAGTCTTGGAAATCTGGCAAGACCTTGTCTCAAAATAAAAAATTAAAAGGGCTAGGGATATAGTTCACTGGTAGAGTACCCCTGTATGAAATCTTCAGTATTTGGGAGATGGGGAAATGACAGCACCTGTTTAAGAACCTAAGCTTTTAAAAGCTGGAAATAAAAATGAATATAGAAGAAAACAACCAAAGACTTGTTTGTTGAATTAGACCACAACTGAGAGGAAAAAAAAAAAAAACTAGACTCTGATTGAGAGATGTTGCTCCAGTTAACAGTGACAACCATCCAGCCTTTAAAGATCAAGAATGCTTCGGAGGACCTGCAAACTGAGGAGGTAAGCCCTGCAGTTCTGCAAGAGGTTTCCCAGGGAGGAAAGGCGAGTTAAATCTTGGGGGAAACTCCCACCAGTTCCTTTTCCTGGAGGGAGAGAGAAATAACCAAGAAGGAATAGCTGGGAAGGGAGCAGCATCAGCACCTGTCAAAGCAGGAAGGAAAGAGGTTATCTGAAATGCTAAATATTTCAACCAACTAGGGGGTGTGAATGTGTACAGGAAAACAAGATAAAAGTTATTTGGTGCCTGGCATGGTGGTGCACACCAAAGAGGCTGAGGCAGGAGGATCGTAAGTTAAAGGCCAGTCTCAGCAAATTAGCAAGGCCCTAAGCAATTTAGCAATACTCTGCCTCAAAAGAAAAAAAAAGGGGGGGGGGTGGCTGGGGATGTGGTTTAAGTGGTGGAGTGCTCGCCTAGTATGCGTGAGGCACTGGGTTCGATTCTCAGCACCACATAAAAAAAATTTAAAAATAAAGATATTTAAAAAAAGAAAAAGAAAAAAAACACTGGCTGGGGATGTGGCTCAGTAATAAAGTGCTCCTGGGTTCCATCCCCAGTATAAGAAAGGAAAAGAAAAATGTGGTGCAAAAATGATAATGACATAGAGGTGACATTGGGAAGTTTTGCCCCTTTTTCTGTCCATCTCTATTCCAGGCCCTGCATGCCATCCCCAGCCATATTAACACTTTTTTATGCAAATATAAGCAAATAAATACATAAGTTAGGGAACAAGTCCTTTTGATTAGTCTTTTAGAGGAAGTTATTGGTGATCACTGAGTATGATTTGGAGGAAGGGGAGAGAGCAGAAGTTTTATTGAAGTGCTAAGGATTAAAGCAGAGAGTAGAATGAATTTGTTGAACCCCAATTGTCCCAGACAGTGAGTAAGCCAGGGAGCCAGCATCTTTTCTTGCCTTCACACCTCACTGCACTCCTGGGATCATCAACTACATTTTGCAGGTGAGATGACCAAAGTGCCAAAAGATTTAAGTAACTTGCCCAAATATAGGGTAGTGCAAGTAACAGCAAATATGGGGTAGTGCCAGGAGTGGTTGAAGAGGAAACAGCCAGAAAAAAGAGGACTTTACATTAAGGAGCTGTTGTAACAGAGCAAGGGCCTGCCACGGAGCCAAAGGGGTCCTCAGTTACTGGTTCTTGTGATCATGCCAGAAAGATGTTAGACATGTCACTCAGAGTAGCAGGCATAATTTTATTAGAAAAGGTAGAAGGGGAAAGAGGATATTTAAGGGAGAAGTGGATCCTCTCAAGAGAGGAAAGAGATGGCACACCCCTCCTGTCTACAGTTTTATTGGGGGGAGGGGTCCCAGAAAGTTTCCAGACAGTCCCACCCAGGTCAATTTTGACTTGATTGACAGCAAGATTGTGTCAGACTTCCAAATCCCCACTGGGCATGGATGGTAAAGCTCCAAGGCAACTCTGGATCACTTTGGCCCATGCTGAATGGTTCTAATTGTCACATCTCTCCCAGTTCTGGAATCTTGTCTGTGTAAGGCTCATGAAATTTACCCGCTTCCTTGTAACTTGTGTTCTCATTGGTAGACAGCAGCCTTTCAGACCTGCATTTCTCCTGAGGAACATAACATATCCTGTGGACTTAAGCCAGGCAAGACAGTGGGTAAATTGCTTTTTTTAAAGAAAGCTCATGAGGATCAGCACAGTAGGCCCAATTTATAGAATTATCTCCTTGACCTCATATTCCCACCACTCATGATTATTACCTATTAAAGTGATGATGTTTCTTTTTCTTTTTTTCTCTGTGTTTGTGTGTGTGAATGTTACTGGAGATTGAACCCAGGGGTTCCCTGAGCTCTATCTCTAGCCCTTTTTATTATTTAATTTGAGACAGAATCTTGCTAAGTTGCTCAGACTGGCCTTGAATTTGGAATGTTTCTGCCTCAGCCTCCCAAGATGCTGAAATTACAAAAATGTGCCAACATGCCTAGCTTTTCTCCCCCCCCCCCCACCTCCAGTACTAGGGATGGAACCAAGATGTGCTTTACCACTGAGCTACATCTCCAGCCCTTTTTAAATTTTTTAATTTTATGACAAGAATTTTGCTAAATTGCCAAGGCTGGCCTCATCTTGCATCTTTCTGCCTCACCCTCCTGAGTTGCTAGGATTACAGGCATGCATCCCCATGCCAGGCTGAAAATGTATGTATTGTGGAGGAGCCCTATGCATTTAAAAAAAAAAATATTAGAGAATGGAGCAAAATAGAGATTAAAGATTTAAGACAAAACAACTGACTAAATGGAAAGGTAAAAGGCTCCAGGCAGAAAGTCCTATTTGGAAGAGGAATAGTGACATTAAAGTGAATTTTAGGCAGATAAGAGGGCTAGAAGACTGAGGGATTATTTGACTCTGCATGGTTTCATAGTGGAAAGGGAGAACAGAAATCATAGTACATCAAAGCAACAACAGCCCTGAAGCCCTCTGGAAAGAGGGTGAAGTCACAGGGTGTGGTGGCCCAAGTAATCCCAGTGATTTGGGAAGCTGAGGCAGGAAGATCTCAACTTCAAAGCCAGCCTCAGCAATTTAGCAAGACCCTGTCTCAAAATAAAAATAAAATGGTAGAGCACCCCTAAGTTAAATCTCCAGCACTCCACCCCACCCCCACCCCCACCCCCACAAGTTCCCTCCAGCAAAACTCGTTCTCTGCATCCCAAAAGGGGAGGCAAAAGAAGACCATGATGGTGAGCCCAAGTAACTGGTAGTCTTCTCTGATGGATGACCAAGGGTTTTTGTTTGTTGTTTTGTTTCTTTTTTAGCAGAACCAGGGATAGAACCTGGGGGCACTTTACCACTGAGCTACACCCCCAGCCCTTTAGATTTTTGAGAAAGTGTTCCACTAAATTGTCCAGGCTGGCCTCTAGTCTCAGCTTTGCGAGCTGCTGGGACTGGAAGAGAAAGGTGCTCTAGCCCGGGGGTGGGAGGATGGTGTGACCTGGGCATGGTAAGTGAGCACAGCGTCCAAAGAGGGGCGGATCTGGGTTTCAGGTCCTGCCATGCTTACTGGCTGGGTGACTCTCAGCCGGTCTTTCAGCTTCTTGCACTTCCCTCATGAGGAATCTGGCAGAAATCCATTTTTAATCGCATTTTGGCACAAGGGGCCCACTTGGTACACAATAAATGTCAAGTTCCCTCGTTCATCTTTGTTGCTGCTCGGAAAGGAGCTTGGTGCCCTGCAAGCAGCAGGAATGAAGTAGGGTGTTCGGAGTATACCAGGCATCACTGAACTGCTGACTCCACACAGATCTTAGTGTGCCTTTTTCGGATGGAAAAGTCGTGGTGCAGAGAGGCTCACGGTTCTCGTAAACGAAGAAAAACGCTGCAACCCTACGTGGCAGAAGCCTTGGAATCCTCCAGTGACCCCAGCGCTCAGAATCCCGGGGGCCGGGACCACGCGGAGGAAGTCCCACCCCGGTGAAGGAAGTCACGCCCTCCCTGTCTTCCGCTTCCGCTCCTGCGCGTCCTCATCACTCTCGTGGTGTCGCTTGTTGGGAATGGCTGCGGGAGGCGACCATGGCGCGCCTGACAGCTACCGCTCACCGCTTGCTTCCCGCTACGCCAGCCCCGAGATGTGCTTCGTGTTTAGCGACAGGTACAAATTCCGGACGTGGCGGCAGCTCTGGCTGTGGCTGGCAGAGGCCGAGCAGGTAACGGTCCCAGGACTGAGGGACGGGCGGGCAGAAGTGGCTCCACTCCAGCACGTGCTGGGCGGGGCGCCGAGTGTGGGCTTGGCCAGGGAGCCAGGGCCCGGCTATTTTAGGTCTGGTGTTCGGCGTTCTTGGAACTGCGGCCCCAGGAGGACAAGGGCAGGAAGCCTGGAGCCGCACCTGTTGCCTGCCATCCTTAGTTCTGGGAGTTTGATGCGCAGAAGAGTGATGGGAAATGCAGTGTATCCTCTCAGGGAATGCTGCTAGGCCATTCCTGCTGCAGTCCACCTCTGACTGCGCTCGCTAAAACTCATTGCCTACCGTAAAAGACCCCGTAAGCTTGGTAGAGGTGTCTGCTCATTGCACCAGAGAAAAGCCAAACCTGGAACTCGCCTGGTCTGCAGTAAGCCCCCCAGCTATTAAGAGCGGAGCTGGGATTTGGACCTGGGTTAAGTCCCGAGCCTGAGCTGAGCGTTTAAGCCATTTCATCTTCCATAGTGCTTGTGAAGTAAGCGACAACACTAGAATCTGTGTTTTCTAGGCCACTCTTTCCAGTTCACTGGGCTCTGCTTCGCCTCTGAGAAGGGAAGATCCGGGTAGGAGTTTATTAGATGCGATTTATGGTTTCTTTTATTCAGGCAGCATGTACAGCTACTCAAACCGTGCGTTTCAGAAATAAGTTCAGAGGGGCCTTCCCACAAGAGATGAAGGAAACTGAAAGTGATCCAGAGAGCTGTAATGTTTCTTTTCAAGTTTCAGAGTAAAGTGCCACCACAAGCAAGGTTGCAATGTCCTCGCAAAGGGCAAAGTAAAAAACGGAACAGTCTGGTTAGTGTCTAGGACCCTAGAACCTGGAACTCCCCAAACAGGAAACTTTGATCCTAGATTCCCTGCCTAGCCCCCATCACTGTGCTTCAAACATCAAATGATATACTTATGGCAGACATTCATGAGGTGCCTTCTGTGTCCCAATCGCTGCTCCAATTTTGTGTTTTCCCTGTAAAAACCCAAAATAAGACTACATTTTGTAGCTCAGGAAGCCCCAAAACAACCTTGTAGGGGAAGTATTATTAGCCAGTTCATGTCTGAGGGAATACAGGTATTGAGAGATTTATGGACTATTGGCTCGGATAATAGTAAACAGTAGGACCTTAATCATGAGTTGTGCTTTGAGATATACTGTATATACTCTTCTTGTTGGATATTCCATTCTGTATATGAGATTGATAGCAGTCCTTTTGAGATTGATAGCAGTCCTTGAAACCATTTATTGTCTAGTCTACACATTATCTGAATGCATATAATTTTTGATCTGGATTATTTGTTAGAGTAACTAAATTAGCAGCATAAGTTACATCATTACTTAAGTGGTTGAGAGGAAAAAGCACTAAGGAAAAACCACTGGGAAATGAGTGACCAAGAGGAATGCAGAAAATTGCAGTAGAGAAGAAAGTACAAGTTTTGACAAGATACATTGCTTGTCTTTAAGTGTCTGCCAAAAAAAAAAAAGTTTGGGAGAGAAAGCACATGTCCAAAGTGTGTCTCCCTCCTGTTTTACTTAAAAAGGAACCCTGAGATGTCAAATCTAGTGATGATCTAGGTCTCAGGCAGTTCTGCTACATATGGTCACTGAACTCTTGAAATGTGGCTAAGAACTGAATTCTTTTTTGGTACTTGGGATTGAGCCCAGGAGTGTTCTCCTACTGATTCACATCCCTAGTCCTTTTTCTTTTTTATTTTGAGACAGGATCCCACTAAGTTGCTTAGGGCCTCTTTAAATTGCTGAGCCTGGTCTCCAGTTTGTGATCCTCCTGCCTCAGACTACCAAACTGCTGGGGCTATAGGAATCTGCCACCACACCTGTCAGGCCTTGTAAATTTCAAGTGAGATTTGAATAACTTCATTATTTTGAATCCAGGGTTCTGAATGTGGATGATCACCTTTCCTCATTACTACCCTCCCCGGGGTGGGATGGGGGATTTCTTAAATATATCATTTTTTTTTTTCTGCCCCCTGCTTTTTGGGTAGGCTAATTTTTCCAGTGATAGATGAATGTAACATGTAAATGTGTTTATTTTCTCATTGCTATATCCTGGGAATTGCTTTCAGCTGTACTGAATTGTTCTACATAATTTGTTGGTGAAGTTTACAGAATACTTAATTTTGGTTTCTCTGAGTTAATCCATCTAGGTTAAATGTAAATGTACCACACTTACGTGACAAACCTTAAGGATTAAATAATAAATAAAACAGAGCTCTACTTGAGGGCCGTATGGTGGTATACTCCTCTACTCCCAGCACTAGGATCCTTTGAGCCCAGGAGTTTAATACTAGCCTGGGCAACATAGTGAGATCATGTCTTTTAAAAAAAAAAAAAAATCAAAATCAAACCCAGAAAAACAGTTTTCCTCTCACAGAGTATACATATATTCTAGATTGGGAAGACAGTAAGTATGTAAAAAATGTCATGTGGTGATAACTGTTATAAATAAACCAGGCCAAAGGATAGAGTGACACAAAGGTGTTTTACAGTAAAGTCAGAGAAGACCTCTGAGTAAATGACAATTGAGCCCAGAGGCTGGCACATAGGAGGCAGTAAGCCAAGAAGAGGTGTAGGGACAGAGGGAACAGTCAAGATCAGGATTGTTTTATATATTGGCATTTAGTTAGGGTATAATTTACCTTGATTTATTGACAAAGTTCTTTCACACAGTACTCCTTCCCCATTCCCCTCTCCCCCTGTTTACTTTTAGGTTGGTTGCCCCAGATTTTAATTTGAGAATTGGGTGGTAGATTATCACTAGCATTTTTTTTTTCAATGTCACTTCAAGTAATTGTGACACTGAGGTTGTTTGACTTTATTTTGCCTCTTCTGCAGACATTGGGTTTGCCTATAACAAATGAACAAATCCAGGAGATGAAATTAAACTTGGACAACATCGACTTTAAAATGGCAGCTGAAGAAGAGAAGCAGTTGCGACATGATGTTATGGCTCATGTACATACATTTGGCCACTGCTGTCCAAAAGCTGCAGGCATTATTCACCTGGGTGCCACCTCCTGTTATGTTGGAGACAACACAGTAAGAGCCCATGTTGTTTATTCTTAGGACTTTGTCTTTACAATGCATGTATAAATTTTAATTTTCCAAAGCATTCTTCTTTATAAATTTGCTGTGGCTTTAGAAAAGAAAGGACTATAACTGTTAAGTGAAACCCTTAACTAGTAAAGCCATCTTATAATCAAACATGGAAAAGTAAAAGCAAGTATTTTCCTGAGAGTTCACTAGGTACCATGCTCTCTTCTGACCACATTATAGGTTTTATTTTATTTGTTTATACTTCACAACCACCATAAGAGATAGATGCTATTATTTCCATTTTTAGACAACTTTTCTCAGTTTTAAAAACTCAGTGAAGTTTACCATTTTAAATGTACAGTGAGTGGTAATAAATGAATGCATTTGCTCGGCCGTCACCACACACTGGTTTCTGAGTACATCTCCCAGGAGTTCTTTCCTGCCAGTTTGCAGTCAGTCCCTGTTCCTCCCTCCTATCCCAGAAAACCACTGACCTGCCTTCTGTTTCTGTTTTATTCAGCTTTTTTGCTCCTGTGACTAAAAAACCCTACCAGCACAATTGTAGAGAAAGAAAAGTTTATTTGTAGGCTTAAGGTTTCAGAGGTCTCAGTCCATAGACAGCAAGCTCCATTCCTTGGGGCTCATGGTGAGGCAGGACATCATGGTGGAAGAGTGTGGCTGAGGGAAGCAGCTCACTTGATGATCAGGAAGCAGAGAGAGATCTCCACTTGCCAAATACAAATATATATTTCAAAGCCATGCCCCCAGTGCTTTAACACCTCCAGCCACCTTGTCTGCTTTCAATTACCACTCAATTAATAACATCAGGATTAATTAACAGATTTGGTTAAGGCTCTCATAACCCAATCATTTATCCTCTAAACCTTCTTGCATTGTCTCACCATGAGCTTTTGGGAGACACCTCACATCCAAACCATAACAGTCTCTATAGTTTTGCCCATTACAGAGATTTTATACAAATGAAATTGTGCCTATAGCAAAGAATAAAAAGGGAGCATGGCTCAGTGGTAGACTGCTTGCCTGGCATGTGTGAGGCCCTGGATTTGATCCTCAGCACCACATATTAAAAAAAAAAAAAATCCACTGACAACTAAATAATATATATATATATATATATATATATTTTTAAGAGAGAGAATTTTTAATATTTATTTTTTAGTTTTCGGCGGACACAACATCTTTGTTTGTATGTGGTGCTGAGGATCAAACCTGGGCCGCACGCATGCCAGGCGAGCGCGCTACCGCTTGAGCCACATCCCCAGCCCCACTAAATAATATTTTTAAGAAATAAATAAAAAGGTCTGGGGACATGGCTCAGTGGTAGATACCCCTGGGTTTAATCCTTAGAAACACACAAAAAAAATGTGGGCTGGGGATGTGGTTCAGTGGTGGAGCATTTGTCTGGCAAGCATGGGCCCTAGGTTTGATTGCCAGCATCACAAAAAAAAGAAAGAAAGAAAGAAAGAAAGAAAGAAAAAGAAATTTGACCAGTAACTTAAATTGCTGTCAATACTTTGACCCCTCCTCATGCTGGAAAGGACCTCACATGTTAAGCAAGTACCCTACTGCTAAGTTACATCCAGCCCACTTACAGGCATCTATGTAATTGGTCAGATAATAGAAAAACAGTCTTCTTGGAAAGATTCTTTTTAAAAATGTGCCCATTGTAGGGTCGGAGTGCAGCCTAGTCAAGGCTGGATTTAGTCCTCAGTACCCACAAAAAAATACCCAGTGTGTAGCTGGTCTCAGCAGTTATTGTCATGTATAAGCATGTGTTGGAGTTGTCTGAAATACATCTCTACTCTCCCTCAGGAGCAGCTTTAAGTTTTCTAAACCTTGATGTTCTAGTCTGTGCCTTTCCTTGTTAGCAACTATGGTTAGAAAAAAGGAGGAGAAAAGTAGTAGAATGGGAACATATGGCAGTTTCTGAGAGCCTCAGGCAATCCTCTGAATAGATACAAATACATTGACTTGCACATTTTTTAGTCATTTGTAGATACAACATACATATAAATGTGAAGCTTCTGCTACAGTGAATCCCAGAAGTCCTACTGTGCATTTGAAACAATAATCTGAAAAGACCCATCTTTGTTAGCATCTTCTGGCATATACAGTGGGTTGCTAAAGGTGATTTAGCTGCTAGCTAAGAAACCCAGCTGTGATGGTCAGAAAGTGTTAGGTAAAAATACTGTTTGATAAAGCGACCATTCTATTTTTCTTTGCAGGACTTGATTATTCTTAGAAATGCTTTTGACCTGCTTTTGCCGAAGGTAAGAGATGGGCAGCTCTCAATTTCCCTCTGACAAGAGATGGGGAATTATATTACAAAACATAATACTAATCTCATCATTTTCTCAGGTCAGTGTTCCCATATTGAATGTGTAGAGCTAATTGTCTCTTGAGTTAAAACAATGTAAGTGAATACTTTTTAAAGCATAGCCTTTTAAATGAAGGAAGTAAGGAGAGGCATGTTGCTGGAATATAGGTAAGGATCATGATTTTATTCTGTTTTTCTACAATTGACAAAATAATTTGTGACTTTTTAGGTAATCAGTTTGTTTTTTGTCTTATTTTTGTTGTTTGGGTGTTTTTTAAGTGTTTGGGATTGAACCCAGGGCCTGGCACATGCTAGGCATACACTCTACTGCTGAGCTATATCCCTAAGTCCTTTTATTTTCTATTTTATTTTGAGATGGGGGTCTCACTAAGTTGCCCAAACTGGCCTGGAATTTATAATCCTCCTGCCTCAGTCTCCTAAGTCACTGGGATCAAAAGTGTGCACTGCCACACCTGGCTTCAACCCAGATTTTTGTTTGCAGTCCTAGGGATTGAAACCAGGGGCTCTTTACCATTGAACTATAGCCTCGGCCCTTTTTATTTTGAGATAGTCTCACTAAAGCCTAGGCTGGCCTTAAATTTACAGTTCTCTTGCTTCAGCCTCCTGGGTAGATGGGATTACAGGCATGCACCACTGTACCTGGCTCAACTCAGTTTTTTGATTGCTGATGGTTATGATCACAGATCAGGGCACTTTAGATTATGAAAATGAAAAAGTATGGATGCTAACTTTCATGAGTTGGAGGTCTAATTTTATGTAAAATCATCTAAAAGTTTAGTTCTTAATTATGTGATGAAGTCATTGTGAATTCACCATTTTTCCATCACGTGGTCTCTTTTGTAGCTTGCCAGAGTGATCTCTCGGCTTGCCGATTTTGCTAAGGAACATGCCAATCTGCCTACCTTAGGTTTTACACATTTCCAGTAAGTGACAAGATTACTTCTTGGGAATTGGATTTCTTATGTGTATATGGATTTCAGTTAAAAGGGAGACTTTGGATTTGCCTATTCTAGACATTTCATATAAGTGGAATCATTTACAATGTGTCACCTTTTGTGACTGCCTTCTTTCATTTAGCCTAATTTTTTCAGTTTTCATTCATTTTGTAGCATGTGTCAGAACTTCATTTCTTTTTCTAGCCAATTAACATTGCATTGCATGGATAGCCTACATTTTGTTTACCTACTCATCAGTTGATAGGTATTTGGTTTGTTTCTACCTTGAATAATGGTAGAATAATGCTGCTGTGAATAAGTCTATGAAATTAATTTGTTTGTTTATACCAGTAATCTATTAGCAGGAGTTAACAAGAACAAAAACCATGAGATTAACTTGGGGGTGCTGTGGCTTGTGAGAAGCCTACTATAGACCTTAATAGTGCTGTGCCTTGATGTCACTAGCTGTTAGAACTTGGACATATTGCAGCATGATCATATTTTATGTTCAGAAACAAACCATGAGTACATTGATTTAGACTTCAGAAATAAAGCCATTGGTTGTTATGTTAGAGTCCTTTCTCCATAGCATGCTTGCCCTCACAAAGGCTGCTTTTACTACCAATCCAAGATAGCCTTCTCCAGTGTCATTCTCTCTCTAGGGGTGTGGGGGTCTGGGGTGGATACTGAGGATTAAGCTCAGAGGTGCTGTATCACTAGGCTGCATCCTTTTTTATTTTTATTTATTTATTTTTAAAATATTTTTTTAGTTGTAGATGGACACACTATCCTTATTTTATTTATTTATTTTTATGTGATGCTGAGGATCGAACCCAGTACCTCACACATGCTAGGTAAGCGCTCTACCACTGAGCCACAACTCCAGCCCCATTCTTTTTTATTTTGAGACAGGTCTCAAAAGGCTGGCCTTAAACTTGGTGATCCTGCTTTCAGCCTCCTAAGTAGCTGGGATTTCAGGCATGCTGCCTGACTTTATTCTGCTAATTTGTTCCTCCCTGTACCTGCCTGGAATGGCCTCAAGCTTCCACTGGCAACTCAGTCTACAGGGATGTCCCCTACTACTTTGGTGAAATGTTTCCCTTAGTGTTACATAGCTTTTCATTTCACTTCCCCCAAGGTATAGAGTAGATGTGTCCTGCTGCCTGGTCCCAGCTTCCCTCCTTGATATTCACAGTGACTCCCTGGAAACAAAATGACTCTCGGCAAGTTGAAGTTCTTGTAAAGGGACTAGTTTCTTTCCCTACCAATCAAGAGGAATTTTTTTTCCTTGTTATTTTGGGAAACTTTTTGTGTTGCAGACTAGAACTCCAGAGTCCATTGTTTGCCCTGGCTCTGTCAGCTGGAAGGGAACTGCCCAGATTCAGTTCCTTAGGAAAGAGCCACTTGGAAATTCTCTGGGCTTCTTTGAATTTGTACACTAATAGCAATATAACTGGAGGCCCTCGGGAGTCTTCAGGATCCTCCTTAATTATTATTTGCTCAAACTTTTAGCTCTAGTTTTGTCTTCACTGGTTTTGTCAATTCTTAACTTTTTGTCAACCAGCTTCCAAGAGGTAATGGCTGCTGGGCATGTTTGGGCACACCTGTAATCTCAAATAGCTTGGGGTCTGAACAACGAGATTTCCAAGTTTGAGGCCAGCCTCAGCAACTTAGTGAGACCCTGTCTCAAAATAAAAAAGAAAAAGGGCTGGCAATGTGGCTCAGTGGTAAAGCGTCCCTGGGTTCAATCCCCACTACCAAATAAAAGAGATAATGGCTCATTCAAAGAAGACATGAAGCCTTTGTCAAGGTACACCTTGGTGTGAGACCTTCATGTGTTCTCTTTGGGTTGTTTTCAGGCCTGCCCAACTGACCACAGTTGGAAAACGTTGCTGTCTTTGGATTCAAGATCTTTGCATGGATCTCCAGAATTTGAAGCGGGTCCGTGATGACCTGCGCTTCCGTGGAGTGAAGGGCACCACTGGCACTCAGGCTAGCTTCTTGCAGCTCTTCGAGGGAGATCACCAAAAGGTATTCTGAAAGTGACCTGGGAAATGCATAAACTTGTTAGTGACAGCCCAAGAAATAAGGCTGGCCTCCAGAATGGACGGAGATTGATCCCGGAATAGTCTGTAAGGAAGTCCAAAGGCCAAGGCAGGATGTATTGTTGATGTACACTCACAGTGGACTCCTGGGTTTCTATTGGGATGTGTCTTTTCTCTCCAAGGTGGAGCAGCTGGACAAGATGGTGACAGAAAAGGCAGGGTTTAAGAGGTAGGTATGTGGGGAAAGTGTCGGCCTCTCAGATAAGTTGATAACAGGCCTGTATTCATTTTACTAATAATTTGATAGTTACTTTTCTGGCCTTTTTTCTCTTAGTTCTACCCATTTTCTTCAATCTCTGACCTGGGTTTTATTTTCTTATGACCTGAATTATTTTTTAATTTTTTTCTTTGCAGTATAGAGAAGTAAACTTAAGGCCACATTCATGCTACGCATGTGCTCTGCTGAGTTATACCTGCTGTCCTGGATTCTCTTCTCTTTCAATTTGCAAGAAAAAAGGAAACTATTTATTTCTGAATTCTTCAAAATAGCCTTCTCTTCTTTGTTTCTTTCCTGGGGACTTCATTGGGTTAGTCTAAACCTGACCATTTCAACTGAGGTCTAGTAGGCTCCATGGCTGCTTCTGCCAGACATTTCCTTCAAGCTTTGGCAGAATATGGGCACACTAGGTCACATTCTTCATTGGGTAAGGACAGCTTCCTAAGGACTAGTAAAAAGGGTGAAACAACAGTTTGTTTAGGAGCAGTTTACTGGTTTACTGGTCAGGTCCTCTGGGTTCAGTGGGACTGAGCACACTACGTGGTATCTCCATGTTGCCTAGTATCTGCTTTTGTTTGTTGAAGAGTCATGTTTTGAGGTTATAACAACTCTGTTTTCTATTTATATCTAGGGCTTTTATCATCACAGGGCAGACATACACACGAAAAGTAGACATCGAGGTGTTGTCTGTGCTGGCTAGCTTGGGAGCATCAGTGCACAAGGTGAGATTTACCATGAAATGGGATCTTTGGACACCATAGCAGACTGAATCAACTTCAGACTTTCACCCAATCCTGCCTCTCAATCATACTTCAATTTTAATAATTTGGGACCTGTAAACGGAGCCCTTATATTAAGGGGTATCAAAGGGAAAGAGTAGTGTCAGCATTCTCTTTAGAGTTACTTCAGTACTGGACATGGTGGCACATGCCTGTAATCTACTCAGGAGGATTGCAAATTCAAGACTAGCCTTAGTAACTTATTAAGACCTAATATCAAAAAATAAAAAGGGCCAGGAATGTAGCTCAATGGTAGGGAATCCCTGGGCTCAGTACCATAAAAAATAAAAAGCACTTATTGCAAGGATTGTAAAATGTCCATCTCTTTGAGGTTTGTGTTAAGATTAATCTTGCCATTGCCATTCCAAGATGTCTTAAGTAGTGCTTCACAACAGCATTCCCTGCTCCTTTAACTTGTCATCCCAACAAGCCTGAGTGAGATGCTCCCAGGTGCTCTTGGATAGGGTGTGGTGTTCAGTTCAGCATTGGCACAAATAAAGAGCTCACCTTCTCTCCAGACTCATCCCACCTCCTACCTTACTGTCCTGTGTACCAAACATGTGAAATGATGCCTGTTCCTCTGCTTTCCTCCAGATTTGCACTGACATACGCCTCCTGGCAAATCTCAAGGAGATGGAGGAGCCGTTTGAAAAACAGCAGATTGGTGAGTGTTAGGTGGAGACCTGGGAGCATCACAGCTACTGGAGAGGCATATGAACATGTGCTAAGAGCTCACCCAGAGGCAGGCACCCTGTCCCCTGAAGTCTTTCTGCCTTTGCATCTTGTTGTCTTTCATGGACAGGCTCGAGTGCAATGCCATACAAGAGGAACCCCATGCGCTCAGAACGTTGCTGCAGCCTTGCCCGTCACCTGATGACCCTTCTCATGGATCCACTGCAGACAGCTTCTGTGCAGTGGTTTGAACGCACACTGGATGATAGTGCCAACCGGTCAGTGACGGGGATGTTATAGTGTGTTGTGAATAGGACAAAAGAATGGGCCTGGAAGCAAAAGGATAAATATTTGAGTTTGGCATGGTGGCACATCTATTATTCAAGCTACTCAGGAGGCTCAGGCAGGAAGATCACAAGTTTAAGGCCAGGCTGGGCAATTTAGGGAGACCTATCTCAAAAGATCAGTTAGACTTGGGATGTACAAGCTCAGTGGTAGAACACTTGCCTAGCATGTATGAAACTCTGGGCTAAATCTGCAATACTAAAAAATAAACTAAAAAGGACATATTTGAGCACCTCTGAAATCTCGTAGTGAGGGCTAAGGGTGTGGCTTAGAGATAAAGCATTTGCCTAGCATGCACAAGGCTCAGTCCATCTGCAGGACTGCAGTGAAGAAAAAGAACAATGTGAGCTGGGTATGGTGGTGGATGCCTGTAGTCCTGGCTACTCAGGAGGCTGCGGATTGCTTAGGAATTTGAGGCCAGCCTGGACAACAGGTAGACACCCTATCTGAAAGCAAAAAATAATGTGGTGATAATGATTTAATGTATACAGGGTACTTTTGGAGGAAAGAGGAGGGAATAGTGTTGGCAGAACAAGGAAAAGTTTCAGACTTTTCTTTGGGGGTGGGGGTGTGTGTGGAGACACTAGTGATTGAACTTGGGCATTTTACCACTGAGACCCATCTGAACCCCCAAATCCCCCCTTCCTTTTTTTTTTTTTTTAAAAAAAAAAAAAAAAGAAGGTCTTACTAAGTTGCTGAGGCTGGCCTCAAACTTGTGATCCTCCTGCCTTAGCCTCTTGGGTCACTACGATTACAGTTGTGCACTTCTGCACCTGGCTGGCTTCAAACATTTAAGACAAGATAAGAATCATGTTTAAAGGCTAAAGGCAGGAGAAAGAACACCTTAAGTTACTAATAGCTGGGTAGCACTGAGGATTGAAGTCAAATGTGATAGGATGCAGGACAGGATTACAGGCAGTAGCCAGTTTATGGAGGGCCTCATAGGCTCTGTAACTCTGTGAACTAATAGCAGATAATGGTTAATGAGTATTAGAATCTAAAATCGTAACAACATTTTTATTAGTCATATGATGGGTCAGAAGGAGTTTATAAATACCTATAAGGTACTAATATGAACATGGTTTTCTAGTACGCATTCAAAGCAGATTCACACAGTACTCTTGTTGTTTGCATAATATTGGGATTTCTTGAGTGGAAAAGAATGTTGTAGTTAAAACTAGCTCATGTGAACTCCCTTCAGAAGTTAGCCTTTTATAAAGTTGTCCTTTACAATCTGAGGGGATTATTTTCAGGGCCCTTCATAGAAACCCCAAATTTTCAGAAGCTCCAGTCCCTCATATAACATGGGGTAGTATTTGCATGGAACCTATACAGGCACTTTAAATCATCTCTAGATTGCTTATAATACCTAATATAGTATAAGTGCTATGTAAGTATTTGTTATACTGCATTATTTAGGGATTAATGTCAAGAAAAAAATATGTGTGTTCATACTGATGCCTCTTTTTCTTTTTTGAATATTTTCCATCCAAAGTTGGCTGAATCCATGGGTGCTGCATGCTTGGTTACAGAGGCCAACTGTAATTTTTATCAGGTGGTGACCTAATCTGATTTGCCTGCTAAGACACCTTGGCACAAATTGTAGAATCAGTCAGATCCTGTCAGAACAAGTTAGAAGGCTGCTTTTAAAATTCTAAGCTCATGTTGGCACAGTGGCTATGTAAATGGAAAGAAAGGAGGTGGCAGAGTCAGGCAGCTGGGTGCAGAGGGACATTCCTGTAGTCCCACGTGCTTAGGAGGCTGAGGGAGGATCATTGGACCTCACAAAGAATTCGAGCCAAGCATGGTGGTACACACCTGAAATCCCAGCAGCTTAGTAGGCTGAGCCAGGAGGATCTCAAATTTGAGGCCTGTCTCACCAACTAGCAAGATTCTTAGTACCTAGTGAGACCCTGTCTTGAAACTAAATTAAAAAGGACTGGGGTTATGGTTCAGTGTTAAGAGTGTTCCAGGGTTCGATCTCCAGTATCCAATACCCACCCCCCCAACACACCCCCCCCCCCCCCGAAAAAAAAAAAGGCAGAGTGATTAGCCTTGGTGTTTGACTGGGGTTAATATAAAGAACTTGATGATTGGGATGACAGTGGCATTTACTGCAGGAGGAGCTCCAAGAGAGATAGCAGGTTTGCAGTAGGGAGGGGGCAATGAGGAGGAAGCTGAAGCTGGGGTTTGAGGTACCTGTGGGTCAGCCAGGGGAATGTCTCAGATAAGGTCTGGCACTGGGGTGAGTGGTCTGGACTAGATGTGGTAGTTTTGAGGGTCATGAGGACATGGGGTGGGGGAAGTCACAGACTGATGAAGAAAACTGCCTGAACAGTACATACAGCATGAAAAGCCAGTGGGCACCTCTTTGGGACATGCCCAAGATATTGAATTTGTTTGTAGGGATAACTGAATGGCTGTTTGCTTTGTAGACGAATCTGTTTGGCTGAGGCATTTCTTACGGCAGATACTATATTGAACACATTACAAAACATTTCTGAAGGACTGGTGGTGTACCCCAAAGTAAGATGCCTGGATTAAAAGTAAAGTATTGGGGGGGTTGGAATGTGGGAAGGAGAGTTCTCTGGAGTGTGTGTTTGGGGTGAGTGTTTTATTCTCGTCCATAGGGTGTCTCTCTTAACCTGGAGCTGTTTTTTTGTTGTTGTTGTTGTCGTTGTTGTTGTTGTTTTGTTTTTTGTACCAGGGATTGAACCTGGGGGCATTTAACCCCTGAGCCATATCCTCAGCCTGTTTTACTTTTGATTTTGAGCCAGGGTCTCACTGAGTTGCTGCTGAGGCTAGCTTTCAATTCGTGGTCCTCTTGCCTTATCCTCCAGAGCCTCTGGGATTACGGGTATGCACCATTGCACCTGGCCTACATTTCAATCTTATACTCGAGTTCTTAGAGTAGAGCACTGAATTAACAAATTTGAGGTTTTAGGAGCTGTTCCTATGAAGCAGCTTCTGAAAATTAAGTTTACTTTGATTTTAAAAATCAAAGTAACTGGGTGTATTGGTGCATGCCTGTAATTCCAGTTGCTCAGGAGGCTGAGGCAGGAGAATATCAAGTTCCGGTCCAGCCTGGGCAATTTAGTGAGACCCTGTCTCAAAAATAAAAGGGCTGGGGTTGTAGTTCAGTAGTAGATGATTTCTGGGTTCAGTCCCCAGTACTGAAATCAGTCGATCTCTGGATTTGGTGGGGGTGGAAGGGAGTTTAAAAAAAAAAAAAAGTAAACAATACAGTTCAGAATAAAACAACTCATTTCTCTCCATTTGTAACTAATGGTAGTCCATGTCCCTGCTTTGTATTTTACTTGACGAAGTTGGTATCTTTCTATGTATATACTTTCTTGAGGTGTCTGTCTTGCTCATTCACCTTTTCTTTTCTTCTAGGTCATTGAACGGCGCATTAGGCAGGAACTGCCTTTCATGGCTACAGAGAACATCATCATGGCCATGGTCAAAGCTGGGGGTAGCCGCCAGGTGTGCAGCCCCTCATGCTCTTGGAAAAATTGAGAGTTCCTGCTGTCTTCCCTTAGAAAAACTGTTGAAGAAAGGCTTTTCTTTCATGACCTTCTGTCATAGTATTGGCATAGAACAGTGACTATATTCATTCATTTGTTCATTAGTCCTTCCTTCCTTCCTTTCTTTTTTTTTTTTTTTTGGTATTGGGAATTGAACCCACGGGCACATTATCACTGAGCTACATCTCCAGCCCTTTTTATTTTTTTTATTTTTAGACAGGATGTAAGTTGATTTAGAACTTACTAAGTGCTGGGGCTAGACTTGAACCTGTGCTCCTCCTGCCTCAGCCTCCCAAGTCATTGGGGTTATAGGTGTGTGCCATCCATCGTTCCTGGCACAGTGACTATATTCTGCCATCTTTGGAAAGAGATTGTGTTATACTCAGTTTATTAAAAAATGAATGTGGCTCAGTGGTACAGTGCTTGCCTAGCATATGTGAGGTCCTGGGTTCAATCCCCAGAAGCACCAAAAAAAAAAAAAAAAAAATCACTTGCCTGGTGTGGTGGTACATTCCTATAATCCCAGTGGCTCAGGAGGCTGAGGTAGGAGGACTGCAAGTTCAAGGCCAGCCTCAGCAACTTAGCAAGACATATCTCAAAAAATTTAAAAAGGCTGGGGATATAGCTCAGCTGTAAACACCCCTAAGTTCAGTCCACAGTACCAAAAAAAAAAGTGTGTGTCTGTCTCATTTGTAGAAAAAGATCAACCTTAGTGAAGGAATTAGGTTTGGGTTTCCGTAGGAAGTGAGCGGAAGCAAGAGCAAAAAGTTCATGAGGGTTTTGAGAAGAGGATCATCCGTCTCAAGATCTTCCTAAGATGTGGTCAGAGTTGAGATATGTACAGACTGAGGGCACCATCTCCGCCTGGAACAGTTTTGTTGTGAAGTGTCTAATGACTTTTCAAGTGTGTTCAAACACAGTTATTAGTGAACTAACACTACCACTTTTTTTTCCCATTAGGATTGCCATGAGAAAATTAGAGTGCTTTCCCAGCAAGCAGCTACTGTTGTTAAGCAGGAAGGAGATGACAATGACCTCATAGAACGAATCCAGTCTGATGCCTACTTCAGTCCCATTCACTCCCAGTTGCAGCATTTACTGGATCCTTCTTCTTTCATTGGTCGTGCCCCCCAGCAGGTAAGCATCCATCAGAAGCCTGAGGAGTCTTCCCCTCTTTACCCTGTTGAATTGAAGAATAGAGGTTACTCTTGTTAGTGCTCTTTTAACTAGGAGGCTAGTTAGAAGTCAGAATACATTGGTGGCAAAAGCTGTTTAAAGATTTGGCTGTTTTGAGTTGCCTTAAGTATCTCCCTGCTCTGGATTTCTTGGTATTCTTTTCATCTCACAGCAGTATTGTAAGGGTTGAAATGCGTAGTGCTTAGTGTAAGGTAAGTACTTAAAATGTTATGTCATTTTCTCTTAGCTTTTGGGAAAAGACTAGTCTTATCTGTAGTAGACATAGATAAGGGGGTGAAGAGGAGGTTCATCACTTGGCAGCTGGTCAAGTGGGGCAGGGGAGGAGGAGGAACCAAGAATACCCTCATGGAAGCTGGGTGGAAATGGTGAGGCCATCTCACGGAACATAGGTTGGGCTGGGCTGGAGGAAGGTGGTCTATGTGGGCATTGTGGATTGAATTGCCTCTGGCTAAGGAGAGGTTTTTTTTTGGCGGGGTGGATACTGGGGATTGAACTCAGGGGCACTCGACTACTGAGCCACATCCCCAGCCCTATTTTGTATTTTATTTAGAGACAAGGTCTCATTGACCCTAGTGCCTCACCATTGCTGAGGCCGGCTTTGAACTCGAGATCCTCCTGTCTCAGCCTCCCAAGCTGCTGGAGTTACAGGCGTGTGCCACTGTGTCCAGCTAGGGAGAGATTTTTGATAGGCATTTGAGGAAAACAGATGCTCAGTGTTGGAATAAAGCCTTATTAAATTAGATCTTAGTGATATCAACTGATGCTAATACTTCCTGAACATTTTATTTTGTATTTTTGCTTTCCTCTTTGGCAGGTACAGAGATTCTTAGAAGAGGAGGTATATCCCCTGTTAAAACCATATGAAAGTGTGATGAAGGTGAAAGCAGAATTATGTTTGTAGAGTTGGAAGAGAATTAAATGAAAAATCATTGCTGGTTTGTTAACTTTATTGCTGACACATGAAAGTAATGTTACTGTAGTGCCTTGTTTTAAAAAAATAATTGTTACCTTAAATTGATATGTACTGGGATTGAACCCAGAGCTTTCTGCCACCGAGCTACATTCCCTGGCCTTTTTTTTTTTTTTCAAACTAAGTTGCTGAGTCTGGCCTCAAACTTTTGACTTTCTGGCCTCTGCCTCCTGAGTTGCTGGTATTACAGGTGCTCTAAGGTCCCTGGCTGAAAAAAACCTGTTGTTTAGAAGATTTACATATGACCCAGAATTAGGAGAATAACTAAGATTTCATCTAACAAGGATAAATTTAAATCAGCTTTTAACTCAGTATGAGCCAGAACTGAGAAAACAGTTCCTGATCTAAGGGTAACCCAGAGCACCAACATCCAAAGAAGATTTTGTTGTAAAGTAACTCATCCCCACCAAGATGTGTTCTTATCAAATGTAGTCAACTGGACACAAATTTAACTAGTTAAATTTAGTTAGTTCTTTTTTTTTAGAGAGTGAGAGAGAAAGAGAGAGAATTTTTAATATTTATTTTTTTTAGTTATCCACGGACACAACATCTTTGTTTTGTATATGGTGCTGAGGATCGAACCCGGGCCACATGCATGCCAGGAGAGCGTGTTACTGATTGAGCCACATCCCCAGCCCCCCTAGTTAGTTCTAAATGTAATTAGAAATCAAAACTAAGCTTGGTTTCTCCGCTCTGAATTGTGGTATGACATCTTTACCTCATGAGTGCTATGTATAGGGAAATTCTTAAGAGGCCTGTCTTCTATTCTAGACAGGAAAAAACACATCAACAATACTAATATTGCATGGAGGAAGAGTGACTTGATTATCTTTTGTCATAAGAGTTAAAACCAAGATCAGCGGCTGGGGTTGTGGCTCAGTGGTAGAGTGCTCACCTACTACGTGTAAGGCCCTGGGTTCGATCCTCAGTACCACATAAAAATAAATAAAGGTATTGTGTCCAATTACAATTAAAATATGTGTATAATTTTTTTTAAAGCCCAACGAGATCAGATCAGTATTTTTCTTTTTCATTTTTTTTTTCTTTCCTTTTTGTAACCAGGGATTGAACCCAGGGATACTTAAGCATACATCCACAGCTCCTTTTTTCTCTTTGAGACAGGGTCTCACTAAATTGCTTAGGGCCTCTCTAAGTTAGTTAGTTGGCTTTGAACTTGTGATCCTCCTTCCTCGCCTCTCAGGCTGCTGGGATTTCAGGTGTGTGCCACTGTGTCTGGCTGAGTACCCATTATTAAAAGTCTGAGACAGGTTTGGATCCAGACATTGGAATGGTTAAGAGTGAGACTTCCCCTCCTCGTCAGCTCAGGCAGAAGCTGAAAGCTACCTAATTGTTGGGAATGTTGTGAGGGAGGAAAGAAAGTTTCCTCATAGAAAACAAGGAAACAGATAAAAACCTTGTTGTGCAATTCTGGTAAGCTTCTAATCTGCAGTAACTGGGGGTTTGGCATATTTTTCTTGCTGGGTAATTTCAACAGGTGGCTTTGTTTTTTTTTCTTTCCTCCTCTATTCCCCTCCCTCCTCACCAATGCCAATGAAACCCTGGGGCCTCACATGCTAGGATGCTAGGCAAGTTCTCTACCACTGAGCTATATCCCCATCTTTTTAAAATTTTGAGACAGGGTCTCCCTAAGTCACCCAGGCTGGCTTTAAATTTGATGATCCTCCTGTCTTAGCCTTCAAAGCAGTTGGGCTTAGAGGTAAGCACTACTGTGCCTGGCCTGTTCCTTTTATATTTAATACACTTGTAATTATACTCTTAAGTATAATAGTATATAACCTTATTTTCCCATGTAACATTTTAGAGGTATTTGGGTGAGCTACAGATTGGCTGAAAGAGAGAACACTTGTCTCTTGTTTAAGGTTTTAATTTAAATTCACAGCCAATGTGAGCAAACTTCAGGATCATCTGGACACCAAGATCTAAATGGATCTTGGGTCAGCTAGCTTTTGGTTCAACTGTGAACACCTGGGCATTTGTTGCCCTCTTCCCTTGGTAATCCTAGATTTCAGTCAAGAACCAGGAGACAGCTGGGCACAGTGTCACTTTCCCATAATCCCAGCATCTTGGGAGGCTGAGACAGGAGGATCTTGAGTTCAAAGCCAGCCTCAGCAATGGCGAGGTGCTAAGCAACTCAGTGAGACCCTGTCTCTAAATAAAACAAAACAGGGCTGGGGATGTGGCTTAGTGGTTGAGTACCCCTGAGTTCAATCCCTGGTACAAAAAAAAAAAAAAAATCCCAGAGAGCCTGATGTTTGTAAACATAACATGTCAAGTAGAAGCATAAGAGTTGGAATTTTCTGGAATGGTATAGATCCTGGTTGGGTGTGAGGGTTAGGTGAGACTGGAATTGTACCTAAGATGTGGATTTATATTATTATTGTACCGGGGATTGAACTGAGGGGCACTTAACCACTGAGCCACATCCCCAGCCCTTTTTTATATTTTATTTAGATACAGGGTATCGCTGAGTTGCTTAGGGCCTTGCTGAGTTGCTGAGGCTGGCTTTGAACTCACGATCCTCCTGTCTCAGCCTCCAGCAGGCGTGCACCATCATTCCTCACCAAGATGTGTTCTTACCAAATGTAGTCAACTGGACACAAATTTAACTCATTAATTTAGTTAGTTCTAAATGTAACTAGAAATCAAAACTAAGCTTGGTTTCTCTGCTCTGAATGTGGTATGACATCTTTACCTCATGAGTGCTATGTATAAGGAAATTCTTAAGAGGCCTGTCTTCTGAAAAATGTAGTTTGGTGAGTGTAGATGGTAATCTGCCTTCATGGAAAGTCCAAACTGAAGAAATGGAGCTGGGTTTCTGGCTAGAATTTCAAGATCATCACTTCAGAGATACTAGATGGTCTGTACGTGCTACTTGGACAGAAGGTCAAATGAGAAATTAGTTTTTTTGTTTTTGTTTTTTTGCTAGGGCACTCAACCACTGAGCCACATCCCAGCCCTATTTTATATTGTATTTATAGACAGGGTCTCATTGAGTTGCTTAGCCCCTTGCTGTTGCTGAGGCTGGCTTTGAACTTGTGATCCTCCTGTCTCAAGTCTCCTGAGCTCTGGGATTATAGGTGTGCACAACTATGCCTGGCAGAGAAATTAATTTTTGAGTGTATGAAAACAATTCAGCTACAAGGCTTTGTATATCACTACTCATAATAAGGTTCTTTAGCCTTAGAAAAGTCATGCTTGATCTGGCCTTTCAGATTCTTTATTTTTTAATCTTTTTTTTAAGCTGCAGCTGAACACAATACCTTTACTTATTCATTTATTTTTTACGTGGTGCTGAGGACCGAACCCAGTGCCTGATATGTGTGAAGCAAGCACTCTACCACTCAGCCCCAGCCCCAGCCCTGGCCTTTCCGATTCTGACTTAACCTTAATTGATTCTGCAAGTTCTGTGGTGGTCTTGGGACTTTTTCTCCCATAGTGGGGCATAAATTATGGTTAGGCGACATTCCAGCTCAGGATGGAATAAGAGGTTTAAGGGCATCTTTAGAAACTACTGCAAACCCCCTTTCATTAATTCCCACAGTGGAATTCCTGGGAAATGCAGTTCATATCTAATGGAGGGATTAAGTGGCCACTTGTATATGAGGTTGGGTGGGAGAATGGAGCCATTCCAGTTTCTCTCCTGGAATAAACTGTCACTGCTATGACTCTAGGGCACAGCAAAGTAATCTATTAAAGTATAAAACTACAGGAAAGTATTATACCTCTACCATAGTTTTATATGACAGCCATTATTTAAAAAATTTTTAGTTGTAGATCGACTCAATACCTTTTATTTATTTTTATGGGTGATGAGGATTGAACCCAGTGCTAGGCGAGTGCTCTACAGCTGAGCCACAACCCCAGCCCCCCAACAACATCCGTTTTTTAAATGCAATCAGGATAGAGTATAGGAAAGTACTTGAAACATACTATAATACAAAAAATCCAAACATAAAAATTAAAGAAGAATCTATCCCATAGTTTATTAAACAAGTGAATTGCTCTGTTTTTGCTTTTGTTTTGGTAAGAGGGATTGAACCCAGGGGCTCTCATCACTTAGCCACATCCCCAGTCTTTTATTTCTTATTTTGAGACAGGGTCTCACTGTTTCTAAGAGTCTTATTAAATTGCCTTAGGAGTTCTGTTTGTTTGGTTTTGGTGGTGGTGCTAGGGATTGAACCCAGGAACTTGTGAATGCTAGGCAAGCACTCTACCAACTATTAAATTGCCTTAGGTGGCCTCAAAGTTTTGTGATCCTCCCAAGGAAAAAGTAATATATGTATTCTTTGTGTTTAAAAAGCTTCATTTCTTTGCTGGATGTGATGGTGTACACCTGTAATCCCAGTTACTCAGGAGGCTGAGGCCAGAAGAATTGTTATTTCAAGGCTGGACAAACTAGCCAAATCCTGTTTCCATATTTTTTTGTGGTACCTAAAGAAACAAGTACTTGGGCTGGGGCTATAGCTCAGTTGGTAGAGTCCTTGCCTTGCATTCACAAGGCCCTGGGTTCAATATCCGGTACCCCCACACACACAAAGAAGAAAAAGAAACAAGTACTTTTTATTTTTTATTTCTGATCTAGATTTTATACAAATTTTTTTATTGGGTTTTGTTTTTGTGGTGCTGGTGGTAGAACCTGGGGCCTGTTGCATGCTAGGTAAGCACTCTACCTTTGAGCTACACCCTAGCCCCACCAAGAATTTTTTTCCGTGCCCATCTGCACTGGGATTACAGTAGTGAGCAAGACAGTCTGTTTGTGTTTCTGATGCAGAAAGCAAACTATGCAAAGCAGTTTGAGACTCCTCAATAAGTAAGATGTAATTCAACATCTGAGTACTTTAAATTTTGTAAATTAAACTGGGAAAAGGTGCTCTTGAAATGGTGCAACTTTTCAATTACAAGAACTCCACACTGCTGACCTTGGGTTTTAGCTGGTGAAATAGTTCATGTTCACTCACCATGGCGCAGATGTGTATTCTTACTTGAGTGGTGCTTGGCAGATTGTTACAGTATACCTGGCTCCATCTACACCCATCTGGCATTGCCAGAATCAAGAAGGGCCTCGTCCTGGGTGCTGTGTCCTACGAAGCTTTTAAAAATTTGACATTTTTCTTTCTCTCATCTAAGTAATGGAAGTTGTGTGTGAGTGGAATTCCTACAAAACATTTACAAATTAATGTTTCATGAAGTTAGTCTCCCATTCCTTAAAAGGGATGTCTGCATGGCTTTTAGAGTCAGTATTAAGCTCTAACAAATGTTCCACTGGAGTGCCAGTGAAGTGCTAGAAGCACTTTAGAAGCATTGACATATCTTTAGTTTTCTATGATGTCTGTTGGAAATGTAGGCAGAAATGATGAGCCCGATTTGAGACCCTGTCTTAATAATAAATGAGAATGTAGTTTAGTGGTAAAGCACCCCTGGCTTTAATCCCCAGTACTGCAACAACAACAAAAAAAAAATTGGTGAGGTTGGGAAGACGAGGGAGATCTAGTATTCATTGCTTTAAGGTTATTTTTTCTTTTGCAGTACTGGGGATTTTAACCCAGGGGTGCTCCACCACCCAGCTACATCCCCAATTTTTTTTGTTTTGTTTTGTTTTGTTTGAGACCTCAACCTGGGGATCCTCCTCCTTCAGCCTCCCAAATTAATGGGATTACAAGTGTGGGCCACCATGCTCTGTACTTTAATGTGATTTAAAAAAAATATATATATATATATATTTAGTTTTAGGTGGACACAATATTTTATTTTTATGTGGTGCTGAGAATCGAACCCAGTGCCTCATGCAGCGCTATATCCCTTGAGCCAAATCCCCAGCACCATTAATGTGATTTCTTTTAAAGGCAGAATTCCAAGCAGTGTTGTGATTGGGAAGAAAAGTAATCTTAAAAAAAATAGGTTCAGAACCTGTTCTGCCATTTAATTAGCTCTTATTTTGGCCTGGTCCTCCTTCCATAAAATGGGAATGATACAATTCACCCTGCTTTCATCACATAAGTGTTTCAAAGACTTGCCAAAATGCTTGGTAGATCACGCATGGTACAGTGAGGGCGTGATTTAAGACTGTCTTGTGTTAGCCTTTGCCTGTGCTCTGATACCACCCGTCAACACCATTAGGAGTCCTTGTTTAGGTTAATAAGCACCTCTCAAACTAAATTTACGTGTTCAGAATTGGGCGAAAAGTCTTGGGGAAAATTTCTGTAATGTGTGGTAGCTTTGGGTGATTTTTCTCAGGCATGTTCTTTCCAAGCTAGGCATAGGAGAGATGGGCCACCGTTTTCCTGACTGTTGACTCCTAGCAAGTCCACATTCTCATTTTATGGATGAGCTCAATGTTAATAGGCTACGTGGCTCAGAAGCAGGCCCTCTGACAGAGCGCCCAGCATCACACATGCGGAGGGTGGACTTCTTGGTCATGACCTCGACCAATCTGTTTTGAATTGTGTTAGAGTGAACCAAGCTGTGTTCTGTGCACTAGCAAGGAATGGCCGTTCCCTGGCCTTGCTGCGCCCACCCGGCGCGGACTGCTGGTTCTCTCCAAACTGCGTTGGGCTCGGCACCTCCAGGCTAAGAGCCGGTCTCCGAAGCCGCTCGAGCCCGGTCCTGGCGCGACGGCGCTACGCTCGGGAACGACTACCGCCCCCAGCATGCCCCGCGGCCGGTCGCGCGTGCGCAGAGGTGCCGCAGCGCGCTGACGGGGAGCGAGCCTCGGGTCCGCGAGCGCGTTGGGGATTGGCGCTGAGGTGGGCGCCGGCAGGTGAGTGCGCCGAGACCCGGAGAGTGGCGCCGGCGCCCACCTTCCCCTGGGGTGGTGGCTGCCGGGCAGCTGTACTCTGACCCACCGACGGACCGGCCGTAGGCGCGGTTGAGGAGCGGCGGGCGAGGCCGGCGGGCTCCGGGCCCTGCGTGCGCTGGCCGGCTCGGTGCAGGGCCCGCGGGTCGGTGGCGCCCCGGACTCAGGCCTCCGGGCTGCGGGCTGCGGGCTCCGGCGGCTGGGAAGGATTTTATGGAAAGCGCACCTGCCGCCCGGGCGTCTTAAGGACGGCTGGCTCCAGCACGTTCGCCGGCGCTGACTCCACGGGTTCCGCTGGAGCCTTCGCCTTGGCCGCTCACTGCGGGCCCGGCGGGGGCGCCTCGGGGAAGCGAGGAGTGCGGTAGCCAGGCCGCCCCGCGTGGGTGGGCCCGGAATTTTGGAAATTAGTGTCTCGTTACCGGGAGGCACGAGCTCCCTCCCGGGAGACAGAGGTTAGGTCACAGAGCTCGGAAATATTCCAGGAATATTCGGAGTCATATTGGTAGAAAAATAGGTTTTATTCAGAGCAGATTTGAAGGAAGATGGCAGAAACTTCGTTGTTTCAAAAGTTCCATCTCCAAAAGGCTCTGTGGCAAGGAAAGTTGTTAGGAGGGGAAGGGGCGTAGTAGGACAAAAGACCGGACTTTCACAGGTGTTCACAGGTTCCAGTCGCTGGAACCTCCTTATGGCTTAAAGGAGCGAGGGCTTCTGTGGCAGGATCTCTCTCTCTCTCTCTCTCTCTCTCTCTCTCTCTCTCTCTCTCTCTCTCTCTCTCTCTCTCACACACACACACACACACACACACACACACACACACAAACACCTTGTTATTTATTTATGTACGTATTTTGGAACCAGGGATTCAATCCAGGGTCGCTTAACCACTGACACATCCCCAGCTCTTTTTTTGTTTTTATTTTCAGACCGGGTCTTGATAAGTACTTAGGGTCTAGATGATTTGATGACGCTGGTCTTGAACTTGTGATCCTCCTGCCTCAGCCTCCCTAATCGCTGAGATTACAGGTATGGAACACTGGGCTCTGCAACACCTTATCTTTTTTTTTTTTTTTTTTAAAGTATCTTTTTTTTTTTAAATCAAGAGTTTTTTTTTTTTAATATTTATTTTTTAGTTATCGGCGGATACAACATCTTCGTTTTGTATGTGGTGCTGAGGATCGAACCCGGGCCGCACGCATGCCAGGCGAGCGCGCTACCGCTTGAGCCACATCCCCAGCCCAACACCTTATCTTTTTAACTGAGAAGAGAAAGTACTACAGAGGGCTTTCTTCAGAACTTAATGTACCGAAAGAGAGGTTGTTGGTGATGGAGAAACAGATTGGAGGAACAGTTGACAAGGGTCTTAGCCTCCCCCGTCCTCTCTCTCAGGAGGAAGCCATTCTCTTCAGATGAAGTCCGGTGCAAATTCAATCTGTTTCAATATTTGTGTTGCTGATTCAGGCTACATTTTTTTTTTTATGGACCTTTATTTTATTCATTTGTTTTTATGTGGTGCTGAGAATCGAACTTAGTGACTCACTTGTGCTAGGCAAGTGCCCTACCACTGAGCTACAAGGACAGCCCCAGGCTGCTTTTAATATGGGATAAAATAAAGTTTCTTTAAAGATTCTTTTCAGTGACTACATGACTGTATTGAACTTTCCAGTAACTTCCAGTCTTTTCAGACTAGTGCTTCATGCAAAATTTGTGGTAGATGGTTGTGTGTGTGTGTGTGTGTGTGTGTATGTATGTATGTATGTATTGGGGGGATGGCAATTGAATCCACTGAGCCACATCCCCAGCCATTTTTAAACTTTATTTTGAGTTGGGGTCTGATCATGTTGCCCAAGCTGGCCTTAAACTTGGGATCCTCCTGCTTCGGCCTCCATAGTCACTGGGATTATAAGTCTGTGATTCCTGGCTCTTCTTGGTTTAGTTTGGTTTTGGATTTTTTTGTGGACTGTTTGGAGATGTTCTGGAATGTTTTCCTTTTAATTTTTTCTTGGTAAGTTCAAGTTCTTAATCAGGCTAATTCACAAAAAAAAGAGAAAAAAAAGTTTTCAACTTTAACTGGTTTGCATGTAGTTTTTTTGGCTATAGTTATGATTAAGTTTGTAGGTACATATATTTCCTCTTCCTCTTCCATGTCTCCCAATTCTCTCTGAACTCTAACCTTAAAGTTACATCTTTTACATGTTCATTTCTGTTCTCCTTGATTGATTTGTGATTTTGAGTTTGATCTTTTTGTTTTTTGATAATTTTGGTAATTCTAAGTAAATGTAGTGTTTCGTTGTTGTTTTTGGTACTACTGAACCCAGAGGCACTTTACCAATGAGCTGCATCCCCAGTCCTTCCCTCTCCCCATGCCTTTTTATTTTTGATTTTGAGACAAGATTTCACCAAGTTGCTTAGGGTCTCTGGCCTGGAATTTGTGATCATCCTGCCTCGACTTCCCAAGTTGCTGGAATTACAGGTGTGTGCTACCATGCCTTCCAGTAAATGTAGCTTAAGATTTTTTTAATTTTAATCTTTATTTATTTGTTGTTGTTATTTTTTGCAGTGCTGGAGTTCAGACCCAGGGCCTCATAATTCTAGGCATGCATTGTACCACTAAGCCACATCCCAGCCCCCTTACTTTATTTTTTTGGTGCTAGGCATTATATCTAGAACCTGGCTGCACTACTGAACTACATACCACCAACACCTGAATGTAGCTTTTGCATCACTAATTTTTGTGACAGCCTCAGCTTTAGTACTCTTCCCTATCCCTTGTTAAGCATGGAAGTATGTGATCTATGGAACAGAGATAAGTGGTGAAGTGTTTATGTAGATTATATATGGGTAATAGGTGAACATGACCTATAACCAGAACATTAACTTTAAAAGGTTCTAGGATGCTGGGGGTGTAGCTCAGTGGTAGAGCACTTCCCTAGCATTTGTGAAGCCCTGGGTTCTATCCCCAACACTGGGAAAGGGGGGAAAAGGGAGGGGGAGCAGTGAACAAAATGTTACTTCCATATAAAAATGTATACTAAGGGGCTGGGGATAAAACTCAGTAGAGTGCTTGCCTCACATGCACAAGGCCCTGGGTTCAATCCCCAACACCACCAAAAAAAAAAAAGTATACTAACCTTCCTTGGGAATTTGTCACATTGACAGAAAAGTAGTACTTTGCAGAAATAAACCTGATATTGGAGTGAAATTTGAGAAGGAACTCAGGAGATAATTATCTCTTATTATTATACAGCCATCTTTCTGTGCCTGGACTGGATTCAAGAACACCTTGCCAGCTTAGAATCTTAAGAAGTGTTCTGTGTGTGTGTATTTCTTCTCGGTTTCCAGTGAAGGTTTTGGCAATAGCCCAAAATCTTGTACATTGGTGATTTAACATCAGCTTCCTGGGCTCATTCACCAGATTGTCTATGTCTCAGCTGGTAACAGCAGTAATTTTCCACAGCAGCCATTCATGATTTCATGCACACTGTTACAGGAAGTGGGAATAGCACAAAGTGTGGTACACACAGAAGAAATAAAGATCCTGTTTCTTTGTCATTGTATATTACACATACACTTGTACAGGAAATGCAGATTGGAACACAAGCCAGGTGGGAGAGGTTAGAACACCAGAGTCAGGCTTCTACCTATATTAATACTCATTGATACAGTTATTGACTTTTATGAACTTTTTGTCCATTTTGAGTAAAGCGGAATTCCTTACATTTAGTAGGAACTTGCTGACCCCTCCACTTCAGGGCGCGACAGAGCCGGGATTCGAACCAGCAGATGTACGGCCCACGAGTCGGGTGCGTTACCAGCCGCGCCACCGACCCGATAACAGTTATTGAATACCTGATGTTTCACAGGTACTGTAATTGTCACAGTGAGCTGTAGGTATTCTATTTTACATATGTGTAAATTGAGACACAGGAGTTGAGATAATTTACTCACACTGCAACAAAGCCAGGAGCTCTAAACTCCTGCTCTTTCAACTGTGTTGTATTACCTTATCAACAAACATATTCATGTCTTTCTCATTCCTTTTCATTTTAATGGAGTATGAGGGTTGAACCCAGACACTTGGATGCTAGGCAAATGCTGTACCTCTGAACTTTACTCCCAGTCCACTCTTTCTCATTCTTACACACACACACACACACACACACACAACTTTTCCTGTGATCTTCTAAAAATAATTGCCATTTCTCCTACTTTTCCTTTCTAGACTTGTTCTTATACAGCAAACTCTATACCTCTCTCTTCTGTTTACTCCTTAATGCATTGTAGTATGGTTTGCACGCTCAACTCTACTGCAACTGCTCTCATGAACTCCAATCACCCATTGAATATCTACGTGTGTGTCATCTTCTAGGCTTATAAAGATGCTGAGGCAGTTTTGTCCCTGAGAGTTTAGGGACTAACAAGGGAGAAAGGGATTTATACATGTTAGTATAATATGTAACTATTGGCTGGGCATTCTTTTTTTTTTAATATTTATTTTTTAGTTTTAGGTGGACACAATATCTTTATTTTACATTTTATGTGGTGCTAAGGATTGAACCCAGTACCTCAAGCATGGTAGGTGAGCACTCTACCACTGAGCCACAATTCCAGCCCCTGGGCATTCTTTGTAGTCTTGGGAGTTGGGGAAGGGATACTTTATTGAGAAGGTGCCACTGGGCTGCCAACAAGGAGAAACATTAAATTGCTCTAGAAGTATGCATGTCTTTTCGGGAGAAGCTGTCTCTCTTCAGTGAAAGATGACATGGTTGAGAGATAAAGTATAGGTTTTAGAGACTTGACAGGCCTAGGAACTGAGCTACAATCACTTCTTTGTAATATCTGCTTTCAGTGTAAGCTCTATGAAAGTGGGCCTTTGTCTTCTTCACCTCACCCTTGTCTCCTAGAATAGTGGTAGGTACTTGGTAACTGTTGAATGAATGCTTCACAGGATTGTTGTGCTCAACACATGGTAGATATTAGTAGTACCAGTGGTAGCATAGGACTGAAGTAATGAGGCCAAGTTTTCAGTCTGTTTTATAACTGATCTTTACAGTACTACTGTTTGAATATTACACAGTTAATCAACTCCCCTTCCTTTTGAAAAGTTAGGCATTAGGTTGTTTTGGCCTATCTAGCATCTAGTCCAGGTTCTTCTGGGAACAACAGCTCAGTTTTCCTTTGGAAACAGTTCATCCCTGACCACGTGGGTAGTGGGTACGTGACCCACATTAGATCAGCAGTTAGTTAGATGCATTCCTTCTTTAATTTTAATCATAGGTTGAATCTTAGGTTGAATTTTGTCACACAATGACACACAGTTGAAGCTTCTTCATAACCATGTGCTAATTCCTAATATTTAGACACTGGAGCTGCTGTTGCTTTGCTTTTGCATTGGTGGTACAGGTGATTGAATCCTGGGGTGTGCCATTGTATATTATACATACACTTATACAACCCTCGTCCTTTTTGTTTGAGATAGGGTCTCACTATAAGTTGCCAAGGCAAACTTAATTCTTTACCCTCTCAAGTAGCTGGGATTGTAGGTGTGCTACCATACCACATACCCAGCTTGCTGTTTATTTCTGAAGATTTGATTATTTAACTTTTCCTCAATTCTGTGCCCTACCACATAGTCTTTATTACATTTCTATAGTACATAATTTAAGTTACGAAGAGTCAGCTTTTCTGGCTTGCAACTCAGATTCCCTTTACTTACTGTTACATAACAGGAGGTCATGCAACTTTAAATCATTGAAATAACTAGCTAACTTGAACTGAAGAGAAGTCTCAGAGGAGGGTGAAAGCTCTCTTCAAACATAAAGAATGTAGTTCATCAAGTGCCACTGAAAAGACCAAAGAGTGGACACTAGCAAATAGATTTTGGCTCAAGTTAGAGCCAAAGCAGAGCTGTCTGGGAATGGACAGTCTGTCTTGATACATGGAGATATATATTTATATCCACAACAATTATTCAATCCAAGACAAGATGATTGGGAGGAGTAATATGGGTTTAGTAATCTAAAGAGTAGTTGTCCTAGGTGGCCTGTGAAGTTTTACACAATTCTGAGATGATTCTATGATTGAAATTTGAGTCTCTATACTCTAAGACAGAGATCTTTCTAGGACAGACTCATTTTTGGCTTTTCCCTACTTGTCCACCTTCTTGTACTCCTGTGTCATATTATAAACTAGTCAAACTGTCTCATAGAAAGTTGAAAAAGTCAGCAGTATGAGATGGAGATTATAGTTTATCTGTATGACAATTATAGCTAAATTCCCATTTGGATTAGGAATGGATTCCCCAATAGGGATCAATTAGAGTGTATTAAAAGATGACTGATTGGGGAATGTGGAGAAAGAAGAGTTGATTAAAAAAGCAGTTAAGTAGCCAGGTGGGTAGCACATGCCTGTAATCCCAGCAACTCAGGAGTCTGAGGCAAGAGGATCTAAATTCGAGGCCAGCCTCAGCAATTTAGTGAGACCCTGTCTCAGAATAAAAAATAAAAAAGGACTGGATATGTAGCTCAGTGTTAAAAGTGCCCCTGTATTCAATCCCCTGTATGTAAAATGATGATAATAATAACAGGAGGAGGAAGAGAAGGGCTGGGCTGCTGAGCAAGACGGAGAAGGCTCAATCTCAAGTACCTCCCCCCCAACACGCACACACATACAGAGAAGCATTTAAGTAGAAAAGAAAAACTGATGTGGCCAGCGCCCTAGAGTCATAGGAAAACAGTTTCAAAAACCTGGACTAAGTCAGTAGTTTCTGTTGCTGCAAGGGGCTTAAGGCATCAGGCCACAGAAAGAAATCACTGGAGGCCTTAGGGAATCCAAGCGGTGAGAGAAGCTGGACCACAAAAGCTTAGTGTGAATTGATTGATGAGGCATGGTGCAGAACTTACACTGCTTTTTAAAATGTCAGTAGAATAGATGAAGAGATAGAAAGATAGGTGGCTTGAGTGAGTCCAGATACAGTTGCTTTGTTTCAATTTAATTAAAGATTCAGGAGATCAGAGGTTATATACACTGGACATGAAGGCAGTGGAGAGGAGGAGACTGGGTACATAAAGGAAGGTACTACAAAGGAGCTGGATTGAAGAGTTAACCTGGGGGGGCTGGGGATGTGGCTCAAGCGGTAGCGCGCTCGCCTGGCATGCGTGTGGCCCGGGTTCGATCCTCAGCACCACATACAAACAAAGATGTTGTGTCTGCCGAAAAACTAAAATAAATAAATAAATAAATAAAAAAAAGAGTTAACCTGGGAAGGGAGAAGACCATTCTCAAGAGAGGGAGATGTAAAAAGATTGTGCAGGTTTTTTTGTTGATTTTGGGATTTTTCTGGTTCTGAGGTCAAATCCTGGGCCTTATGCATACTAGGCAAGTGCTCTACCTCTGAACCAAGGTCCTAGCCCAACTGTGCAGTTTTGATTTGTAGAAGAAGGGAATTGAGGGCTTAAGCCAGGGCCTCACACATTCTTGCTCTGCTACTGAGCCACATCCCCAGCCCTTTTTCTTTTTTATTTTGAAACAGGGCTTCACTAAATTGCTGAGGCTGGCCTCATATTTGAGATTTTCCTGCTTCAGCCTTCTGAGTGATTGGGATTATAGGAGTGTGCCACTGTGTCCAGCATGTGGTTTAATTTTAAAAGAAAGAGGAACTATGTTTAGGATCTGTTCCTTTTAAGAGCCCTATGCTCCTTTGTTTATAAATCTTTAAACAAATTTCTCAGTGACCTTTTTTGCTTAAAGCCTCAAGTGTTTTAAGCCCCTCAAAAACTCTCACCTGCTGCTTTTCAGAGCCAGTTGAATGTTGAGTCAGTTAGCTAACCAGTGTTTTGTTTTTACTCCCAAGACGGTTGTTGCTCCTTGATGGTGGGAATGACAGAAGGTCTGTGTAGTTCCCTTTCTTTTGCTTTCCTTATCACCATCCAGATACTGCCAGGATGTAAATATTAAAGAAATGACCCTGGGAGGGACTGAGGTAAGTAATAAGATTATTGTAGATGGTTAAATATCTTGCATGAAGATCTTGTGGGAAAGGGTGTGATTGTGACCCTTAGCAGGTCCTCACAGGAAGACTATTTTCCTGGGCTGCTGAGCAGAAAGGAGAGGCCCATACCTTAGCTTGCTAAATTGTAGGGGAGGTTCTGCTTTTCCGGGTCTGTTTCCACAGTTCATGTTCTACCTTACAGTCATACCTTAATCTTGTTTAAAGGATCACTATCTGTGGTTACAGAGAAAATATTGACTCAGGGAGGGGACAGTAGCCCCAGCTGGGAACCTGGTAGGAGCAGGAGTAGGGCTCATGGGAGAGCGTTTGATTATTGGATTTCTTTTGCTCTTATGCTGATTCCAGTTTTGGAGGAAACAGTTCAGAAAATTGAATGGTGAGTCTGTCTGAGTTCACATAAGGGACACAAATAATGGTGGGAAAAATAAACATGTTTTCAACAAAAACTACTGGGGGAACCAAAGGAGGATCCATTTCTAGAAGTTTAGCATCCTCTAGTTACCCTGCCATAGGATTTGATAGGTTCCAAGTTTCAAGACTTCATTTAGCAGAATGCTCTGAGAAAAAATAGGCAGGTTCAGAATCTGAAAGAAGTACACTGTGTAAGAAAAAAGTCTGAAGCTAGTGTTGGGGTGAGTGAGAGGTGCATGTTGAAAGATGAGACTTGCAAGGGTTAGCTATGGCTGCCTGGTTGTGGGGGTTGTTGTAAGTCAGCAAATACACTTTCCTAAAGACAGAGGGAAGGAAAAAAAAAAAAACTTTGAAGAGGGGAAGGAAATAATTGGATTGTGAAAGAGTTTCTGTGACTGCAGGGTAGATAGTAGATAGAGCGAGGAGAGCAAGATCAGAGTC